TTACCTTTTGGAATAAAGGCATAATTTCATTCGCAAAACGGCTTCACATTCAACAGTTGCTTTACTGCTATATTATTAAAAATGAGCTTTAAATATGAATCATAGAGTTAAACAGAATGGATTGAAGAGGAGAACAAATATATAAACTTTTTCATTATATTTTCATTCTTCGTTTCAAGGGAGTTACATTTCATCTCAATTATGGAGCATGTTCTAGCAAAAGAGCATCAACGGGAAGGTATTTCGATGTGCTGAAAGAGTCATAATCATGGGTGTTCTTACACTCGTGCACTGATCTGTGATTGATTATGCAGTTGCAGTCAAAGTGTGTTGAACGTACTCCAGGTACTGAATAGCGGAGATGAAACGATGTTGGTTGATTGCTTAGTGGTATTAATGCGTCGTTCGGCTCGGTGCTTATTGGTTGCCCAACGCCATTTATTATCAAAAAAATTTGCACTGAATGAAGAATGGAATAGCAGACATCGTGCACTTAGTGAACTTGGTGTAGAAGGAGGATATGAATGGATTACTGCTGTTCAGAAGAAGTTTATCAGTGCTGGATTGGCCAGGTTTGCTCGAATTATTTTCCATTTACCTATTATAACATCCAAGAATATTCCCATTATTCAATTTTCATTTTGGGAAGAATTTTCAATATCTGTAATATTTTTTGTGAATGAATGGATAGTGTTCTTTGTTATGCTTTATATATTCGCAACGATAGATAGATCGAAAATATCCAGAAAACAATATTTCCGAAATTTATTCACTTTTGAAATGTCTCTTTTTATTATTTTTCAGAATTTTTGATTCTTTTCTTTATATCCTTTATGGTTAAAATTTGTTACCTTATTCGTGCAATGATATTTTATAGTGCGGTGGACGTTGATGCAGCAGTTTGTATAGCAGAGGAGTTGGATCAGTTAGATGATGTGCTAAAAATTGTGTACAAATTACGACACATCGAAATAACCGGTAGGATGCTGCCTTCAACAGAATACGCCCTCATCAGGCTACTTTTGAAGCATCATAAAACTGACATTCTTCTTGCAATCCTGGCCGACCCTGTAAGCGATATATCTTCGTTAACTGTGTCTGATATAATGAAGAGGAAGTAGTTCTTTTTCCTCAACTTAATTTCCTCAATTGTCAATTCGTTTTTTTTTAAGAACATTTGTTTTATATCACCAACATTTATTATTATTATGGATTGAGTCTAGCTATTAACTGTCAGAAATTATCATAATTCATTATTCATTGCTTTTGACAAAAACACTCGCTTTTGTCAAAAGGAACCTTTTTTATTTATTTATCTTTTATTCGGTTATCCTTTACTATAAAATCCAATGATATGACTGTGATCTTTTCGACTTATTCTCGTAAATTAATTGCTCGATTCACAGTGCGTTCTCGTATTTCTCATTTCGAACAAATGTTAGTGTATTCTGACATTTGCAGTCTTTCCAAAGAATGTACGTGTAATTCAAAGATGTTTCACTATGTTATAAGGGTTTAACAGCTTTTCGGTTTTTTCAGATCAATTATGGTATTTTTTTAAACGAACATTCAGCTTGTCTAGTTATAGATAGCTTTCTGGAGGCAGGTAAAATCACAGGTAAGTATTAAAACTATGTTGCAATGTAGTTCTTGAAACCTCATTTTTTTTTTTTTACTTCACTAAATCATATAAAATAGTTTAAATATTGATCTGCTTCTAGATGCCGCAAGAATTGCCAGTTGTGTAATGCTTCAAGAAATGTTCCAGTCAACTTTATTGAACTGGTTATGCATTTATAGTAGTCTAAGATGGACTGAATTGTCTGTTGAACAAAGAGTGTTCGAGAAACTTCCGTCCCTGGATTATATTGTTGGAACAGAAAGCAATATAAAGGATGTCGATGATGAACACGAAGTGTGTCAGAGCGATAATTTCTATGTTTTACTTTTTTAAATTAAAATTTCAGGCATCATTTTTTTAAGGTATTATATATATAACATTTTGGAATTCTTACAAATTACCGAAATTCATTATTCGTTGTAGATGTAGCTAACAAATACCGGATCACTGTGCTGAAGATTAAATAACCGTGGTGATTTTGTTTAAATGGTTTATTTTAAATTCTATTAGCGAAGGATATATACTACCGGTGTAAGCTGTTTTCAAGTGTTTTGTACAGAAATATTGTAGATGATCTTCAAATTCCCATATTTGAAAAACGAATACAACGACATGCATTTCGATCTTACCGATCCAGATCAGCTTATTGGGAAAAATTTACTTTGGTTTAGTAATTGCGTTCCATTAAATGAAAAAGAAGTTGGGAATATTCGTTTAATAGGATCTGTTTTTTTTGGCAATTATGTTTTGGCAAACCAGTTACTTCAAACGACGAACATCTTTTCATCGGTGGCAACAATTTGCCAATCCAAATTGCAGCAAATAACAATTAAAACTGATGATGTCAAAAAATTAGAGGTTACACTGCTTTCTGAAAACATTAGGGAAGAGTTAAAGATTAGTACTTTAATAGATTGATGGAACAAATTCAAACAAGAAATTTTTTATGTAGCGCATGACTGGTGAACACTTGTTTAATAGTTTTTTGTTAATAAGTGGATAACTTTTACTGTCATATTTTCACATTCTAAACTTGCTATCAAGAATTGTATGATTCAAGTAGAAAAACTATGGAGTGCACGTTTTACTATTTTTTTGTTTCTTGATTTCAATTATCTCTATTTTATGAATCAGTTCATCTTCTATAGACAATAGTCGATAAGGTTGAAAGGAACACGGACGAGAAGCTGTCAGATATGATCATAAAGCATCTAAAAACTGTGCAGAATGTGGAAGAGAAAAATCTGATGGAAATACAACGCAATATTTTCCTTAACTGGAGACAAAATCGTGCTGATCTCATCAAAGCTCAGGTGGTTTCAGACAAAATATTAAAATTAGGCATTAATTTCACTGCTAAAATAATGTTCTGTGGATTCTGGATTAAAAATTTTAATTTCGAGAGAATTTAGAAGTTTGAGAAAAGTTAGTTTAAAAAAGATTTCAGGTTGAAACCCTTGATTTAAAGTTGCGACTGAAAGAAACCTGTGAAGAGCGACAAAAATTACGAGATCGTTGGGAAATGTTGAATTTCTTCGAAAATCGTTTGAAATGGGAGGATATGGCAGCTGTGAAAGCAGAGTTTTTAAAGGCTGAAGAGGGTAAAAGGAAAAGTAAAGAAGACTTAGAGCGGGAATATATAAGTGAAGTATTCCATAAGAAAAGTGCTAAAAAGTCTTAACCAATACAGATTTGTGTAGAATCGACAGCTTGAAATTTAAATTTGAATTTGAAATGACTTTGTTTAGGCGAATGTTCGAACTCTTTTTAAATTCCACAATGAAGTTGCAAGAATTGTAATAGTTTGCTACCTTACAGTATTTACTTGCAGTCTTATTTATATAGATTGTTCATTTGAATGGGGAGCTTGTGCGATGTATATGTAATCATAAAAGAGTGATAAATATTGCAACATGTTTCGGAATTTATTCTCAAACAGTTCATTGCATCCTTCATATTGTTCTGAGACAGTTTTGATTGCTTGGAGAGAAGCGATTGATAAAATAGATAAAAAAGAAAATATTCTGAGAAAAAAGAAAGAAATAAAGTTCGGGCTATTAGTCTGAATTACAACTTTCCAACTATCTGATAGAGGATATCGAGTGCTCTTGCAATTATTTCCTTATTGATGGTTGAATATTAAATCAAATCCATTTACAGAATGCACAACTGAATGGCATCGAAAGAGTTGCACGCACGCTGTCGCATATGTAAGTTTTTAAATCTGTCTCACTAGCTTCACTTCAAATTTTTCTAGCTTTGTTAAATCTCAGTCTTCCATATAATAAATTCTATACGCGCAAGTATATTCTTCAGTGGCGGAACGCCTCTCAGAAAGTGCGCATATTGTTGACCACGACCCATCGTTGGCTCTATATCGATTACACGTATGTTTCAAAAATCAAAACTCTATTAATATTCAAGATTCAAAGAAAATCCTTATATGAAGTGCTTAGGACCATAGAAGCTTATTTCTCTTTCTTTCATAGAACATATTTTGCAATAATTTAGTTTCACCCACTTAGAAATTCTCAACAATATTTATACCGACACCAGCAAAAGAGTCACTTTTTATTTTGCTGTTTTGTTTCTGCAAAGAGTTTGATATATTTTCAAGAACAGTTCAAGACATAATTAGAAAAAACTATAGAAATAAAGAAATATCGTAAAATACAGATCATTGAAACTTTTCACAAATCTATGCGAATGAAATTCGGGCTTAACAAAAAATTAGAAAGAAGTCGAAATCATTGCAAACATAAACAGGATGAAGTGTCAAGTTTAAGACTCAGTTCATTAATTTAAGAAAATATATTTGCAGGAACATATCGGAAAAACTTTGGCTATACTTGTGGCTCGAAAACATACAATGGCTGATTTGAATTCTCGTCTTCAAGGTGCATGTTTCGACCTGGACAATGTTCTTTTGTAAGTAATATCACGTTTCATTTTAAAAAGCTTAGAAATGTGGTATGGGAAATCATTTATCGCACTCCTTGTATTCTGCAAGTTACATTTAAGGCACTAACTTACAGAACAGTGCGGTCAATGAAAAAGGCAGCAGCGAGTTTCCAGAACATTCAGGAAATGCTTCGAGACTGCATACATTACAAACAGCAACTGAACTGCTCAAATAAATAATAATTCTTATCAAAAGAAGAACTGTATTATAATTTAAAAGCGCGAAAGAAACAAATTCCTTTGCAATAACCTAAACTATTCGCAGCATGAAACGTATAACAAAAGGAAATCCTAATAAGTCCAGCAACGAAAGTGTACATTTTTGTAAAAGCATCATGATACTTTAAGATTTGCGTTCTAATATCTCAATATTTTTGGCTGAAGATTTACGCTGTTCAAATTATTGACATTTTTTTAATTAAATGTAAAGAGAACCATCAGCTGGTCCAATATATCCAACGCCAATTAAAACTACATCTACAAATGTCCAAATACCCAAGCCACCAAAGCTGAATAATTTTCCTATTGCACTTTTCCACATCCCCAAATAAAAACGATCTGCACCAAAGCCCCCAAGTGTAATTGAGAGGAACATCGCTTTCCACCAGCTATATCCTGAGGACCAGTTGCATCTGAAAGTAAATCTGTAATTCAAGTATAGTCATATATGTATATGAGGATAGTCTCTTATCTCGAACCCTGCATGAACTTTCTACTAACATATATTTTTTCCTTTAGCGCACAACAAATATACAGATTTAAATTCTCCAATCTGATATATATTTGAGTGCATTTCGAATGAAAATGTCACATGAGCTATAAGTTAGCAGTTATAACAAGTTCTGTGACGGGTAAGCTAGGTGCGATTATCCGATTACAGAAATCTTAACAAAATATTGGCATGGTTACGATTCGCAGCGTCAGTAACCTGGAAGTGTAAAATAAGGTGTTCCATAAAACTCCGAAGATTTACAATAAATATACCTCATGTTCTTGTAGAAAGCTCGTCGACCCTTGCATATGACCCATTGATGCACCTGGCATGTCGTACGAAACAATCGAGTTGCCACTGTCGAACAATTTCGTATCTACAACGCTTTTCTAATAACGTGGGATGCCCTTATCTTTTTCGGGCACTAGAAATTATTGAGGACGAAGTGTAATGATAAAGTTATACCGGAGTGCAGTGGTGCTCCACAGCATCTGTCTGCCAACAATACCGGCACTTTGCTTCTTTTTGTAGTGTATACTGACCAACACATTGTCTTTTCGTGGTACAGTTTAAAGTTATTATAGTTCCGTATTCACATTCTGGAAATTTGCAATCCAGGCAAGAACCATATAATGGACAGTCTGCTTTACCGCAACTATAAGAGATTTCACATACACTACATGAAAAGAATCAGTTTTCTCATGCCTAGACTATTTACTATTTCACTTGATTCCCGACAAGGATTATTTCCATCTTGAGTGCTCTGAAAAAAAAAGCCATTCGGATTATTTCTGTCTTGAAAGCTTTGAAAAAAAGAAATGCTTTGATATTCCATAGTCACGTAACAATGAAAGGATTTTATTTCAAAAATACTTACAAAGAGTCGTCATCTCTTAGAGGTCTTTCGTCTATCTTAACGAAGTTATTTGTTGAACAGAAAATGAAATATGTAGTTAGTAATAGTGAAACATGAATCATTATTTTGGATATTTGACCATGCTGCTAACTTATAACCTAAAGTGGACAAAACGTGTAGTTCCTAATAAATGCAATTACTGATATAAACTGTTGCTGCCAATTTATTGAATACCAGCCACCATTTTTTTTGGAGCTATAGTAATAACATCTTTGAACTGAACAAAAAAGAGAAAGACTTCTAGTCATCGCACCTCTTTTTGAAATTTCCTCAAAGTTCACTCAGGTCTGTTATCCGTAAAAAACAACATAAAGTTCCACAGAGTTCAAAATTTGCACACAGATGATAGCATTTGTCAACTAGCATTTGCTTGCATATGGATGCACAAAAGGGAGGTAAGACGAAGCAGAATATTTATGAAGTTGTATACATCAAGACAAACGATATTCGGATTATGTTAATGATATCAGGATCAAAAATTTCCAGATACGTTAAATTAAACGCTATTTGAATCACAACGTATAAAATGGAATCAACAGTTTATTCAGGAAAGGGCCGCACTAACAAACTGCGCAACTGGACGTAGATCTGTAGGAATGTTTAATCGAACAAATGAACAATGAAGAAGCTCTTCATGTTTCCATCGTTTTGTTTCATCCACAATAACACTGTGACTTTCAATTTGAGCAATGAAGCAATGAAGCAATGAAGTAAGTAAATCCAAGTTACAAAAGCTTTTTTAAGCCGATGGAAAAGCATTCTTCTGAGACCTATTCAACACTATGAGTACAATGGAAGATTTTCTGGAAAATATGCAATACATATATCTAAGAGCAAAATGAATCTTAAGACCTTAAATTAAATCATCACTTATTAAGCTTTTGTTGGTTCTATTAATAAATGATCCATAATAATTTAGAATCCTAAAGAAATGTTTCTTTTCGCCGTTATCTATAATCCTAAGGATGTAGCAAAATAATAACTGTCAAAGGAAACACACACCAGTTTCTTATCACATCCACAAAGTCAACTGGAAGATGCTCAACATCAAAAGAATCCGTAATATCGAAATTATTGTCAAAAACGGCTTCCACTGTATCCGAAACAATTTTATAAGGGCTCAGTGTCAACGGAAATTTACCAATAACTAGCTCACATATCGTCAAACCAAAGCTCCATATATCCGAACATATTCTGAAAAGACTGGGATTAAATTTGACTATTCATCACAAAGAATGAGAAATAGAAGAAAAAATGTGAAGCCTCACTTTTGCTTCCAACCCCAACGCCTTCCATAAAAATCCATCCAAAACCAATTTTTGTCATGAATTTTTTCATTCTAAATCACTCACAACTGCTATTGTAAAAACATTTCTGCAATTTGCATTAGAAAGCCAAACAATTCGAAAATATTTACCTTTTTCGTTTTCTTTTTTTTTTTAAATTGAAAATTATGCCATTTAATAAAGATACCTATAAGGGCCACCTTGCATACGTTCTGGGGCCATGTACATACTGGTGCCGACAAAACTACAAGCTACAGATCTCTCCAGTTCTTTCGAAACTCCAAAATCGGATATTTTGACATCACCATGCGTGTTCACCAGGATGTTGCTTGGCTTTATATCTGTAGGTTATTAAAAACAAACAAACAAACAAAATGTTTGAAACAACAAGATAAGAATACCAAAAAGTTTATTTCCAACATCTATATTTAAAAAGAGATACGAAATAAAGCGGAAAAATCTCCGTATCTGTCTTATAATACTAAATTAACCTCTGTGCATCACTTTGTGTGTCCAGAGATAATGAAGTCCACAGATAATGGAGACAGCGGTAGGAACAAGTACCGAAACAGGCAACTTCTTATAACGATCCAATGATCCACCATCCATGAATTCCATACACAAGCAGAGTTCGCCATCAAGGAGTGCGGCCGATAAGAAATTCACGATGTATGGGCTGCAAGCATACTGTACAGGACAAAATCAGTGCATTCAGCAAGACCGACAGTGCCTTCTACCCTAGCTTATAAATTTGAAGTGTCGTAGCTATGCTTCTTACTTTTTTCTTTACTAAGATTCATTAGATATTCATTTCAGAAAGGAAGTAGTTCTGTCCTGAATACTTCACTATTTGAAATGAATTCAGTCTTAACTAGAGATACTAAGAGGCGCAGTTACAAAACTAAACACAAGTCTTTCGCTTTCTGAATTTGAATATGCTGAAGAAAAAGTTTTTTGCAAGGAAAAAGTTTTTGCAGTTCTGAAACACCTGTACTGCAAGCAAAACTAATTAAGAATTGGAATAGACACTTTTCTGAGAAGCTGCAGCTCTCGAGCAACAACAAAATGTTCTGCATAACCATCAACAGAAATACATTTTAATGCCACAATCCGATCATGTTCCACATCTAGGGCTCTGCAAGTTCAATTCTATTTTTAATGAACAAGACTTCAAATTAAGCTACACTTTATCTTAGCAATCTATTTCCATTCTTTTCTCCTCTTTTCTGATTGTTTGGTAAAAAAACTAACTTGTAAACAGTACCAGAATAACCGAATCCAATAGTGTCAAGTCGCTTTAACATATCCGGTATAATGCTTGCTAAATTACCATCCAGAAGAGACTCATCTTCCGAAACTAGTAACAATTACTAATTTTTAATTTACTAGAACCATCGGTTTCATGAGACCAGCTTCGAAAAATGGTCAAAAATAAATTACAGGCCATTTATAAACCAAAGGGAAAGGAGATGTGAGAAAAGCGAAGCCAAACTAGTTTTTTTTTTTTTCTGCTTTTGCATAAATTAATCTCTAAAATGTGCTAAGGTCAACTTAAATGGATCCTTAGTGGACGAATTCTCGGTGAAGACAACATGACCGCAAGCTCTTCATTGGTTCGAACAGCCACAAGATCGCCATCCTCATCTTCATCTAAAACCATTTTTTTCACACAGGTAACGTACTCAGCTCTTTTTTTTTAAAAAAAAAGTCTACTGAACAACTCCCACTATTCTATTTAGAGATAGTACTTCGGCAGATAATCTATCAGCGTTATTAAAAAAATTTAAATTTAGTTCATATAAGTCGTCAAGTGGGATAGGATAATCCTTTAGAAGGGCATTTAGTCTGAGATGCTGGACTTTGTTTTACTTTGATGTTACTGTTTAAAGAGTGATTGTTTATTGGTAATGGAGAAGTACAATAAATATTGATGATCAAAAAAAATTCTAAGATAATTCTTAATAGTTTCCGAAAAGTCCCTTGCTAAGTTTAAAAATGGAAAGTTAAAAGATGAATATTGTAAAGGAATTAAGCATCATGTTTAGAAAATCATACTACACATTAGACTGTTACAACTGTTAACTTTACAGCGGCAAATAATGAAGTATCTAAGAAGTTAATTAAAGAAAGCTGGACAACGATAATTTCACGAACAGCGAAAATGTTGAAAATGCTGCTGGGGTGATATAGCGGCAAGAAAGGTATCGAGAAATACAGTCGCAATATCGTCTACGGTGACATCGCGTTCCTTTCCGCTCGATTCATCCAGGACGATAATGTTCAGTACCATTATATATAACTTATATCTTCACGGTAAACAAGAAACCACTCACCAAGGCTACCTATCTGGAACTAACTTCAGATTCGTATTTCATCACATAATACATACATAATCGTATTCAATCAGAAGAAAGACATAACGTGGGAATTTCATATATATCCATTGCTAGGTAAGGACAACATTCCTGCTGTATTAGTTCTGTTTACCGTGAAAAGAATAAACAAGAGAAAGTGAGAGAGAAAAAGAAGTACTCCGTCATCTACCTTACCTTGCTATCGACCTGTCTCGACTATCTGTACTTCAAACATATGTTTATTAGTCAAATCAGAGAACTAATCATCCTCCATCCTTCTATTTTTTTTTTCTTTCTCTCTCTCCTTCCCTCTCTCTCTTACCCAGTAATGTTCGATTGAAAAACGAGAAAGAAATGACACTCCGCAAAGTTATGATGTAGAGAACTGCAACGGAATGCATCTTATAGCGTTTTCCTCGTCTTTAGTGGAGCATTATTTTTTTTGATGGCTTGAACTCTTCCTCTGCGCCGTACTTCTGTAGAAGATCGCTTCACAAATTCAGGTTTTCTTAAACAATAATTACTATATAAATTTTATCCGCAAATGAAAGTTCAACTATCAAAAACGCGGAGTGACACTCTAACATCGTAATGAATGCAGCATTTTATGATTTCAGAATAATGAAGACTGATGGATATGTATTCCTGTTTATGCATTTGGTGCTTTGCTTGCTGCAAACTCCAACAAGCATTATATGGCGTGCAGCTGTGATCAATCTTGGTAGCATTTCTCATGTTATGGATCACATATCACTTAGCAGATGTCATCACATCTGAACGAACCCTTCGATCAGGTACCATTTCTTCTATTCCACTAATCTTAGAAGTTGTTCTGTAATGAGTTATTTTGACGTAAGATAAATCGCTGGAAAGAAGGAAAGGTGAATTTATATCTCACTATTGCGATCAGAATAGGCATTACTTGCACTTAAAATTCATCAACAAACAGCCTTCAGTGGGCAGTGGCTATGACATGTGGGGGATGTACGTTTACGCAGCATGCAGCATACCGTCATCATATCTGCTTATTTGCGAATAGCGCTTTGTAGTACTGTCGATTGCATTTTTGGGAATAGTCTACTCTCTGATTCTCCCGTTTATCACTTCACAGATTTTTTTGTAACTCAATAAGCAACTTAATGATGATACAGTTTGGATGTGTGTTTTCATCAAAAAAGCCAAATGAGAAATTGTCTCTGCTACATAAAAAAAACATGTATTTTTCCCCTAAACTGAGGACTTTAAAACTTAAAAGCATTTCTTCTCCAGTATGTATTATATTAAATTCCTCCAAGTTTAAAAAAATTTATATTAAAAGACATTTTCAAACTGATGACGGAATCATCCAATATGATTTTTAATGCTACCACACAATGTGATTTCAAATGTTATTTGTATTTGTTGTCATTTCATTTAGTGAGTATTGTAAAACAGTGTTCATTTCGAAATATTTATTAGTAATTCAGTGATAAAATTCTGCTGTTGTTTTAATAAATTTTATTGTTTTAATAAATATTAGCATACATTCTTCACTCCAATCTAATTGTCAGTGTGGTCCTTTGTCTCATCCATTTCGTTTCCTGCATTTCTTACCTTCTATTTTGAAAGACGAAAGAACTGATGAAAATATGTGTTTCACCTCATAGCATAGCAATTTTATACACCTTACTTATATTGACTTTAATTTTATTGGATTCACCTGCATATCACTTGGGAAGTAGAAAAAACCATATAAATCTACAAAATTTTATTTAATTCTGGATATACAAAGATTTGTCAAGTCGAGAATGCATTCTTACCGAACGAAGTGCTTGTTGATGCTCGAATGAAATATCAGTTTTCAGTTTTATTTATGATAACTTCTAGTGATAAATGTTACGTATATACAGTAATTGTTTGAACAGCCTTGTAATGGGAATGGGCACTCTATTCATAATAGTTTTTATTAAAAATATATATATAAATACCATGGGTGCATCTTTATCGAATTCTTTAAAAGCAGAGTATGAACAAGCAGGCTATTTTTACATTTTATCTTCCTGTTTAAAAAGAACCATAAAAAATAAAAACTGGTTCAAGATATATATGTTTAATGAACAGAACGGTTGATGAGAAACCACGTTCCAGATGACTTGGCAGTACAGATCACTACTGCTGTTATGTCTATTGAATGTTTATGCAACACTGAAATCAGACAACGAACCGAAAGGACCAAAAGTAACTGACAAGGTAAATGTGCCATAATCTTTCTGTAGTATTCCTCTCCATTTCTTTGTTGTAGTGCATCGAAAAATTACAGGCCTGAAAGTGATCAAAAAATAAGGAGGTGAAGGTATAGTTAGTAAACATATTACATATATGACGAATATTATTAATATTATGCATGCACCAGAACACATGCAAATTTATGTTGCAAGAACTGCTTCTTGCAACAGTTCAATCTGCTAGTTGAATTATCTCCAGTTGTTCCTTTTCTTTCTTTACACATGACCTCTCCAATGTTCATTCTCTTGGTGCTTTTGATTTCGAAATAGAAAAGCTAAAACCATTTCCAAGTAATGTTTTAAAGGTAATTTTGACGATAAAAATTGGAGATGAAGAAGCAGGCATAATAACAATTGGCTTATTTGGAAAAACAGTTCCGAAAACTGTAAAAAATTTTATCCAGCTATCAAAGAAAGCAGAAGGAGTAAGTACATATTATAATATAATTTCTTTTGAAAACAATGATTTTCGAAACTGTTCAACTAATTCCTCATAATCGATTTGTTTGGTGTTGTAACTGTAATTCTGGTTAAAAAGCAAGTCATTCTGATTTTTTTCCGGATTTTCAGGAAGGATATACTGGCTCAAAATTCCATCGAATTATCAAAGATTTCATGGTACAGGCTGGCGACTTCATTAATGTAAGGATTTTTGTATAAACGTCTTTAATTACTCAATATATTGTTCTTTTTATTGTCGTATCTTTTCGATATTACTTAATATGACACTTGTTTGCTTTAGGGTGACGGTACCGGCAGTATATCTATCTATGGTAAAAAGTTCGCCGATGAAAATTTCAAATTGAAGCATTACGGTGCAGGATGGGTTAGCATGGCAAATGCTGGACCAGATTCGAATGGTTCTCAGTTCTTCATTACTTTAAAAAAAACACCCTGGCTCGATGGCAGACACGTCGTTTTCGGCAAGGTACGAAAGCTAATTAAGTATTTTTGTTTCATTCTTTGTGGCTTGTTTTCAACTTCCTCCTTTCCAGGTCCTCAACGGAATGAAAGTAGTAAGAAAAATGGAAAATACGAAAACATTAAAACCTAGTGACAAGCCCGTAGAGGATATCATCATCATAAAAGCAGAACATATTATTGTAGATGCTCCATTTGCAGTCCACAAGACTGACGCAGAAGATTAAATAAGATGCTTTTTAAAACAGACTTAAAAATTTTGGAAACATAATTCATCTGTATTGTTGAGAAAAGGAAACTTTGAAAACAACTTCCGATATCTTACACCAAGAAATTGTTTCTGTTGTTACTGTTTGTGCATTTTGGTGATTAATTAAAATTAAAGAAGTACAAATCAACAGCAGTGTCGTACAAAGAAAAGTTCAAAATTATTTAGATGGATGTCCTAAATCTTAGTTAAAATGAAGGGCCTGTAGAAGGGAAAAGCAAAATCAAATACCATTTAAGAGAAGAAAGCTTTGACACGAAAACTGGAGTAGTCTACGGAATGAAGATTAATTAGGAACAGCTGTGTATCCACACCCGAGAAATGAATTTTTACATCTATTTTTGAACCTTCAATGGTTTCCAACTCCAGTTCACCAGTTGGAGGTACCATTATACATATATCGCCATAACAAATGATAGCTTTCATTATGCCCTGCAATCATTATACTTTGAAATAATTCTCACACAGTTAACTGGGAACCTTATTTTTTTGTAACTACTAAAGTGACTGCAAATGTCTAAATCATTATTTTCCTCAGTGGACAATAACTATAAGTTTGTATGCTAACAATGCTTATAACTGGATTTTGATAGCATAGAGAAGATGCTTGAAGTGTTTCTAGGATTTTGGTAGTCTTTAGTACGATTCCATTTGATTCTATTGATACAATATTGATCATCTACATTGTATTAATCAGAAAGTCTAGTGGTCCTGCAAGCGCCATACATGTTAGGAAATATCACCTTGCATCACCTCTAGCTGCAGATGAAATCAGACTATTGTTGGAACAGAAGTCCGTGACAGATATAGCTTTGAATTTTAAACCTTTCCAAATATTTAGAAATTCACGAATAGTAGTAAATTAATTTATAAGGCTTACATTAGCTTTTTTGATACCGTCTAGTCGAAACTCGATGTTTCTAATCTTATGAACACCGAAATCAAACGACCAGCATAATTCACCATTTGCTTTGCTTTCTTGACAACAAATATAAGCCACATTCTTCATCTGGTCTACTACTCGACATACATTTTCTTGCTTACTGACCAGGCTTTGCCAACCTTTTATTAAATCAACACCCCTTCTGTATTGATCTTTCGCACAATCATACTCCAAACTAAAATATTTTTAGAAAATTGCTTTCTAAAAATGCCCATCAACAGTTTAGCATGCGAATTCAATGACAGTAAACCTTGCATAATACATAACAATCAACTGCTTTCCCCAACCTCTTCCTGTTCTTCTAATATTTCTCTTTCTAACATTCTTTCTTTTCTACCATGACTTAAAATTATATCCGAATAATGTGGACTAGTACAAAGAAATAAGTTCTTTGCTCAGCAATGATATAAAATGTTCCTTTATAACAGTAAATGCCTTTTCTTACTGACCAGATAGAGTAACCAACCTGAATACTTTACTAAGAATTTCCTTTTCAGTTGGCATAAGCACTCGTCCAGTGGATGTTCCATTTCCAGTTTCTCCTCGTTGTTCCCGCCATTCTTCTAATCCTGTTGTTCTTCCTTGTTCTTCAACGTCACGCAACTGCATGGTGGGACTGATGAATTCAACCAGTTCTTTCATATACCTTCTTTCCATTTCTTTCTTCTTCTCTTTCGACATCAAACTCGCGTAGCGAGCGTTCAATTTCTAAAGTTTTCGTAGAACTTTTCATGATATGTCAAAAAGTGATAAAAGAGTAATGAATATTTTTCCCATCGTATTACTTCTTCGAAATACTTAATGCACTTTTTCATTATTTTATTCAGTTGAGCAAATCATCTTTTGCTTTTATAAATACTTCCATAATAAAATGGTTTACTCGTATGAAATTTCTCAGAACTATTTCTCGGCAAGAATTCCTTCTAGTAAGCGTTTCAAAATGACTAAAAGTATATCTCCATGTAACATCTCGTACATGATCCAAACCAAACGCGATAACATAACTTAGGTTCTTTCCCCATCCCTAAAAAACGTATTATTCATCTAAGAGTATTGTGGAACAAAAGCAGAGTGAGCAAGATCGGAAATGAAAAGATGAATTGCATATATACAAGCTTAAAATACATCTATGCGATGCATATTATACAATATCGAAAAAGAACCTTTTCATATAATAAAGGAGTATCAATTATATTTTCGCATGGGTCACAGTGCACCCATCTGTCTAGATCCTCTATCCATATTTCACACCAAACATGATCTGTAACATCGTAAACCCACCTAAAAATCAGATACTATCTTTTTTAAACTGATTATTCATGATACCAACAAAATATACACAATCTAGTGTTTCAGATAGCATTACAATGCTTGTAATTAATATAAAGAATAAACATAAATTATTAAGAAAGAGGCTAGAAAATCACGAAGAAAAACAGTGGATTGAAAATTACATGGAAATGAATTTAGACCCTATCTCTATTTTGAATTATGTAACTTCACTGACTATCAATAATTTTTCTAACTTAAGGGCCAAGAACCAAAAATAAAAGAACAATAAACTTCAAGAAATGATATGTCCTTAATGTTTAAAACTATATGATATAAAATTCATATAAAGTTTAATTGCCTTCACATATGATATAGCATTCCTTTGAAGCAAAGAATTAAGCAACATTGTTGCTAATAATTGGAAAAAGACTAATGAATTCAATCTTACCGTGTTTCAAAACCTAGTGCTCGGGAACACAGTGCAAAACAATTTGCCCATTCACCACATCTGCCACATCTAAATTACGAAGCATAGAGCAAAAGATATATTTATGGGAATGGACCACAAATACACGGATTTGTAAAATTCAGAAATAAATACCTTGTTTCCAATAACTTGACTGGATTATTATAGCGCGGAAAACGAATATTTGTGTCGCATTTTCGACACTTATAAACTTCAATCCGATAGGCAGCCCACTTTCGTTCTTCTTCCGTTGCAGAAAATTCCTCTAGAGAAAATCCCTCTGCATACACATACACAGAGACATCCAAATATCCAAAAGTTTCAAAACTAAGAATCAGCAAAAATCAAAATTAAATTTTCGTTCAATTTTTTTTCGTTTTTTTCACTACAACCTTTAGACTGCTCCGCATTCTGACCACATAATTCACATTTCGGAATATCAGTCCACATAAAAAAATCCGTTTTGAACCAATTCAATAACGATTTCACAAGTTCAAATTTGTTTGTTCTTCCATTCACCTTGCTTGCCTGTATCAGTTTATCGCAAGGTATAAGGCTTCTAGCTAATGCTTGTGAAATTTCGTCTTCATAAATTTGCATCTGAAATGAAAATTTATAAAGTCGCTTGGATTGACTTTTATCTCGTGTCTTGCCTAAGGAAACTGCAGAAAAATAAAAGCTGAATATCATTCGACTAAATATACTTGAGTTCAAAATAGCTGCTACAGATTATTTGCTGCGTTTCTTACCCGTTGTGAATATTCAACGAATTTTTTCAAAAAAATTCTTTCATTTGATGTTGCAACAAGGCTTTCTTTAAGTTGTTGAATAATTCTCGTTTCCAACATTTCAACGCTTGTACCCATCATTCGATCCACTTCACGACCACTACATAAGAAAACAAACGTTGGCATTGCATTAATTCCGAATTGAGTGCTCGTTTCTGTAGTTATAAAAATTAGGAAGGCTTAAAAATATCACGGTCGCGATTGATTTGCTGATATATAGATTAGTAAGTGTTAGGTTCTAAGTAATGGATTTTTGTGTTTAAATCTTTAAATCTCTCCTAAGTACTATTTCAAATGCCCAGGCTAGATATTTAAATACAAAAACATCACCATAAATTATAATGCTGATGATTATAATACTGTTGCGCATAATGATTGGTTGAAAAAATTATAAGAAAACTCAGAAGTGAATCACAACGCTTGTAAAAAGATTAAATTTGGTTTTAAAGAAAAGATACGAATGAATTAAAGGATATATTACAGATAAACGTGCATGAACGAAAAGAATAACATGCAAAGCTGAAAGACCACTTTTAGTGAGTCAAGCTATGAGAAGCAAAATAAATTATAAAGAGAAAAACAAAATGAAAAAAACGGACGTCTGCATATTTCCACATTGACTTTGATAAAAATGACTTGTAGATACTTTTCAGACAGACTTTCTATATGTGGTGAAATTGCACGACAAGGACCACACCAGTTGGCGTAAAAGTCGATAACAACAAGCCTCATAGCTGCTTCTGCAAGGAACTGCGAGAAAGTGAAATCATCGGGCAGCTCACGAACAACCATCGTATCGTGTTCCAATAAAATACTCTGCAAACAAAACTAAACTGCATGTATGTCACAAAATGCAGAAACATCAGATTTCTGAAGCAAATTTTTCTGTAACAGAAAAATATACCTTTTATGAGAATATTTACTGACAGTTAGGTAACAATCTTCGAACTTGGTCTAAATAGGTTTTCCAGCCTAATAATAATATTCTCTTTTATTTTATTCCACACCAATCTTCTCTATTCTATCCTACTTTGTTCCATATTAACCCTCTATGCCATCCTTTTCTATCTCAGGTCAATCTTCTTTATTCTGTTTTATTCTATTCTACGTCAGCTTTCTTTATCCCACATGATTCCCCGTTCCTTAAAACATTTGAAAATGTAGTTCTGCAGTATCCTCAGCCCAGAGCACTTTCGTTATTGTTGGGCGCAAAAGGGGGCAAGTTGAAAAGTGATATAAATTGAATTATTCTTTTAATTGTGAATTATTAGAAACTCCAAAGAGATCTCTCAGTTTCACTTCCACTAGTCATTGAGTAGAACCATACTATTCAATTCTATAATCGCTATCAACTTTATCCTGCCTTGACTTTCACTTATATCTAGAAATCTAAAAAAGGCGATCATTACTATTTATGATCAGTAACGTTCTCCGAACCTAAGAATCACTTGATCAACTTATTTAACTGTTTAACTGCATTTTAATTTAGTTGTCAGTTATTGAATTACTTATTCAAATGAAAAGTTCCAAATTATTTCCTAACAAGAAATCCATAAAATCCTATCGATAGTTCGGCCACTTCCTTTTATGGATATTAAATATTTGATCACTGTTTCTATAAAAAAGAAATATTCGATTTTAATCCACAGCGATAATATGAATTTTTAAGTCTGCGACATTTACGCGGAAAGAAACCATTATTTGCTGTACAACTGACGCGCAGACATTTGGATAACAGTAGACTCCCTTATTTCTAATAAGTTATTTGTAGAGTCTGACCATCAGGAAATGGTTATGCAGTAAAAAGCTTCTGAAAACTGCATGAGAACAAAAAGAACTGAGATATGTTTGTGAAACGTAAGATGATGGTGGACAGTATGGCATTCCAGTTACAAGTAATAAAAGTAAAGATATAGTTAGATAAGGCCATATCAGTTTTCTATTTGCGAATTCTCGGAATTTATGATTATTGTACTATTTCTGCCTATCTTTGACTTCACTGTTATTAGTTATGTATTGTCTAAAAGCATTAATATTTAGACTAAGAAAGACTAATAGTACCGAAAATTCAAAAGGTACATGGTCGCAAAAAAAATCCTGAAATAAACATCTGGGTAATGGAGAATAATAAACGGTACCCGTGTAATGATGTCACATACCCGGGATTTGCAACTGTTAAACTGACAGTGTAATACCACCCAAATTAATTGATTTCAAAGTCAGCGGGCAGTTCATTACAGTTATTATACAGAACGAACTAGAGAACTGCTAAGAACGATCAAAACGAAATATCAAATTTGTGAACGCACTGCATGTGAACGCACTGCAATAACAGTGTTGAAGTCTCATTTTACATTAACCTTGCATTTCAAAACGAAAACGTAATCTCTCATTCAGAATCTAAAAGTTGTTTAGCATTTAATTAAGAATACCGAGAACCGAATTTCAGATTAGAGCAACCGATTCTGCCACCCTTGTTTATCCCAAAAGGAAAATATACATGTACTCGACTCACGGGTGCTATGAATTAGGAGATATCCGTAGTGGAAGTATGTCTGGTGATGATTCCTTCCTGAAATTCAACTGTTCCTATCCTCAACGCTACATACTCAAGGGAAACAAAGGTTTATTTTTATTTCATTCATACTAAAAAGTGAGAGGAAGCTCACAAGGCAGTAGTGAGTTTATTGCTAAAACAGCGTCATCTGATTCAACGTTTCACCCATCACAATTAATAATATTAATTAATAATATTAATTAATAATATTCAACGTTTCACCCATCACAATTAATAATATTACAATTAATAATATCACAATTAATAATTAATAATAATATTATTAATAATATTAAACATGCAAGTTTTACATAAAGTAAATCATGCTTACACTATTTATCCTTTGTTCCATTATGGCAGAAAAACCTGATGACCTGCAAAAATTTTGCCCGAATTCAATAATCCAGTTAATAATCATTCTCTCTACAGAGTAACTAATAGAACAAACACAGATGAAATTCTAAATATTCTTATATTTGTTCACATCAAAATTCCCAGTACACATTAAGTGTTCAAATATCTAAATATTCAAAACTTGTTGAAAGTTCAAAAATATGCAACAATGGTTATATGATATCGAAATATCATTTTTCAGAGATAGCACTCGATGATGACAAAACTATCTGATAAATGATGGACAAATCATTTGCTAAGCAATTATAAATTAATTTTAAGCTCCAGTGCTATAAGCAACATATGTATAATTTAAAAAAAAATGACATTTTATAATTAACAGTAAGTCTAATAGAGGTTACAGTTACAGTAACGACTGGGCTATTGAAGAACTAGTAGAGGTTTCATCGGTAGAGAACTGTGGAGTTACACCACTACAGTCTGCATTAAGTAATTTATTTGTGATTCGATGCATACTCATTCGATTCTCCTGTAGCTCCTAAAAAGAAGTAATTTGCAATGCAATAAAAATTTGAAACCAAAATTTCTTTTTAGATTTAAATTTACATGACAAAAATACGCTCCAGGCAGTTCAAATTTTTTAAAAACGAATATAGAAAGCTAAAAATGCAAAACTTACTTGCAACGTATATTTCCGGACGAAGAATGGTCGGACAAATAGCTTGTTAAATTTGTAAGCAGCTCCCTTATATGTATCTCTCTCATATTTGGTAAATTTATCAATCTCTTCTGTATCAGCCAAATGTTCCGATTGATCGAATATAAACTTAAAGAATCTATAATTCATAGCGGGCAATTAGAACCGTTAAAAAAAAGTTTAAAGTCAAATATCACGGTTTACAGTTATCAATTTGGAATAATTTGGAATCTGAATTTTTTTGCAAAACAGTATAAAGACCACTTTAAGATACTAATATACAAATTTAATAGTAAGCATTCAAAAACCATTTCTTGCGTTTTACTTAGCAGCACAGCAGATCTATCCGTGTCACTCGCTTTTCGTATTCCTACACTCTTTTGCTGCTTCCTATCCGGGAATGCACCGCTTAGCATCTAAAATTTGAAGTATATTTATTCTCGAATACTGATTTTTATAAAATTATATTAAAGGAAATTAAGATTTTTACCCATAGCACAGGTAAAGTTGTACCACCAAGAAAAATAATGGTGAATAACACGATGAAAAGTGTTGTTGTTAACAAAACTCTTTTTGTTTCCTGATTTTCTATCGATATATGTAAAGCTAATGCAAATGCCACAGCTCCTCTCATACCTGAAAATTCCAAACCTCGAAGTAATAAAGAAATGAAGCAAAAACTACTTGGAAACATTGAGTTACTCTACATTTCTTTTGATCAGAGTTTCTTTCCATAACTGACTGAAATTTAAGCCCTAAGTAAACATACAATAGGATGAAAAGTTATGTCACCATTTTCATAACTTTAATGATATATTTCAAGAGAAAAAAGGGGTAGGAAGCCAGTTTCACCTGTATTTTTGAAATGGAATCGATTGAAGTTTCTCCCAAAATTGAGAGATTCAGATCACCGAGCTAAATCAAATCAGTCTTACTTGTTCATAGGTAAATAAACAAACAATAACCAAAGATTCCATACCATTCACAGGAAGAATTTTAGAAAGCCCAATTAAACTGACTACCGACTCTTCTACATTCTCACTCGCAAAATATCGATGTTAAATTAAATAACATGAAACTTGCCACTATACCACATTATGAACTGATTCTTTACAGAAATCTGAGGATGACGACATTTGTTGGCTAGATAAGCCAGGGGAAATACATTGAACGCACGACCGACGAAGCAAAGCAACTGTAACATGCTTTGCATTAAGTAGCATAAATTTTTGATTTTTTAGTAATATAATGATCGATGTGACTGAATAACAAACGCAAAGATAGCCGATAATCTCGAGAAAGCCCACTGCTATTCAATTTCATCACTCCAGTGATCAGGTCATTTGTATTACATCAAAAATGGTGAAGATCTATTGAATAAGTTAAAATAGAAAACTAACAATGCTCCATGATACAAACATTGGTTCAAATTGAAGTTTGATTGTAAACAAAGCCAGTCCCAAATATGCAAAAGTGCAAGTTTCTTAAAAAAAAAAAAAAAAAAAAAAGTTGTTAAAATAACATGACTATGATAAATGTTAAGCTGAATTTCTCAATATCAATTTTGTGTTATAAAGGTAGAATCTCGACATCTCTATTCTCCTTATGTGCGTAGAAAATTTACCTGCCACAAATGCTAATGTTCTAAATGTCTGTTGCATAGTGATTTGTGTTATAGGCGAAATATTGAAATGAGTGTATTGAGACATGGTTATTGAGCAAAATAAAGTAGCCATTATACCTAAAATTACAAAAAATTAAAATGGAATATAATAAATATGAAAATTTTTGATCAAAAGACATTTTCTTAGTAAAACCTGAAAGTGAAATGGCATCTGCAAGACCGTATGGCAAATATGCAAATATAAGTAGTAAAGCAAATTCCAGTGATGGCGTTTTACGCAGATCAACGTACTTGAACATCTGAAATGAACATGCGAAGTTACTGAAAACTCACACCCTCATATAATTAATTTTATTAAAATAAAAAAATGAAGAATGAAAGAAATACCAGTGCCGAAAGAAGTCCAACAAAGACACCAAGAAGAGCAGATATGAGAAAGATATAGGTAAATCTGGAAATTACAGGGGAAAATAAGCTGACTGATGTCGAACATGTAACATTTTGAAGAGACATTTCCAGCGAAGTAGATGTAAGAACGATAGAAACAGCGTCGTTAAATATGGACTCGCCAAAAACAAGCATATATAGCATTCGTTCAACCTAAAAATAATATTGCTAAGAAAAATAATTCAAATACATCACCGGACCACGATTGAAAAATAGTTCAGCATTTGAAACCTGCATTTTTCTGCTTTTAGTACATTTTCTTAAACAAGTTTAATTATATTTCTTGAATTTGGAGAAAAACTTCATAAAATGCAATTATACCAGCGCTATTAATATGGAAATTTTTTAAAAGCAACAGTAAAAGCATACGTTTAATGCTTGAAAGATTGCAAGCGTAGCAACTGGATCCACAGCAGAGATCATTGAGCCAAATGCAAAACTCTCTGCGACACGCATTTTATATATTAAATCTGCCTGACAGTAAAAAGAAAAAAGTAAGGATTAAATCCATAAGTAGAAAATATAATAAAATTGAAACGAAACAGCTGACTAATACTTCAACAGGTTCTATTCTCTTTGAAATATCCATAGCAAACATTAAAAAACTTTTCGCTCGACAATATCTATTCCTAAAATAGTGAATTCGAAAGCAGCTGTGAATTTCTAAACAAATGGAATAGATATTGGCAACAATCCCAAAATGAATGTTAATGAGCATTTTAAGTAAAGATGACTGATACAACTGGCATATTCATAAAATCCATTCATACAAATTAGAATCGCAGAAACAGCTATATTTCAAGAAGTGCAATAAAAATTTTATCCAAGCCAACCTGGCCAAGGACGTACAAAACTGAACCAATAGTTAAAGCAGATATTACTGTTCCAAGTGTAGCAAATGATAAGATCGGGAACATATTCATGAAGAAATCGCCCTATAAATAAAACCATAAGATGAAAAAGAGATGTGTTGCCAAATGAATGAAAAAATTGAACAACAGGATACGGAGATGTATCAGGAAAATTTCATACAGTCAGTTATTTTTTATTTCATAATTTACTTTGTGCAAGTTATAACCATTCTCGAAAATAATCGGCGGAAGGAGAACAAGAAAAAATATACTGGGGCTAAATGTTTCTACTTCTGTCCAATCTCTTTTACTGTATGATAACACAAGACCAATTACAGCACCTGTAAATTATCTCAAATAGAAAAAAATCTGCAAATAATACGATTTGGACGATTTGGTTAAATGTGGAGAACTCAAGAAGCAATCATCGAAAAGATGATTTAAAATGAAAAGATAAAAAAGAAATATAATGCCAATTAATGATGTTAAATGATTTTTAATAGCAGTATTTTCTAAAAGGATCACGAATTGCAATGAATAACTATAGAAAACTATAGAAAAGTAAGGTGTTCAGTCCGTGCTTTGTCAACAGTCCAACTGCACTGCAATTAACTTAAACAGAAGTAATGAATAATGACAATATTTAATAGAAACTCCCCTAAAATAACTATGGCTAAACTTTCTGGTATAAAATATAATTTAGATACGATAAGTATATGCACGACCAATGTTGACACAGCAATCACCATGAGTATGAAAAAAATAGCCTGAAAATTTTCATAGTATGAGTAAAATGGTAAATGTATTCAAGGTTTGAATAAGAGTTACCCTTCCTCGAGAAAAAAAGGATTCACCATCGAACTTTTCCTTTCTTCCACATCTTCACTGTGTTCATCAATTGATAATATTGGTATCTTCGTTGTCTTGTTGTCAACGACATCGCTATAAAGTGATGTAACCTAACTTGTGCTAATTTTGACAATATTTAACGATATTTTCAGTATCAAATTACATTGAACGACAGAAATTTACCTATGAAATCTTTCCAGTTCCACACTACTTTGACACATGACGGTCTTAATATGAATACAAGAAACATGCCTATGAAACTTTATTATTAGCTTAAAAATTCAATGCTCAATAGTTCCCTCATGTAAACAACTAAAAGATACATTTAAGAAAAGCTAATTTTTCTGTCAGTGAATATCTCAGTCATCAATCACCACGTTCCCCATGTCATCTGTCCAATAACTTAATCATGCTTGAACAAAGAACAATAAAAATACAGCAACGACATAATCACCTGTTTTTTGTTAACTACTTTTCCCCGCCTTAGTTCTCAACAACACATCAATTGGAACTCACAATAATTTACCAGATACTTTTTAAACTTTTAATCTTACTAAAATTATAGTCACAAATTTAATAGATATCGAAAAATGCACACCTTCCTGTCCCGCTATTGCTTTCGGGAAGCAAATCTGCATTAAGTGGAAGTAGCAATAGAAACCTCAACAATCCAGCAAAACTTAACGTACTTCTTCCTCCACTACTTAGCATTGCCCTTTCTCCTAGCTTAATTGCTCTGGAAATATTCACTACATCCACATTTCATTTGTAAATTTCCTTTAAATGCCAAAATGAAAAACATAGTTCAAATACCACATCCAAAGATTTATTCCACTCGGCTTCAATAAAAAATTTAAAAAAGTGAGCATACACTGCTATGCTATTCATGAAATTCTTATAAACGCTTAACAAATGATTGTGATGCTGAGTACCAAAAAGTTGTCAACCGTTTTAAGTCAACTGATAACACCACGAGCAAGGCTTATAAAACCATATTAAAAAAAAAGACAGTCAAACTGTGAAAAATGCACTACATGAAATGCAGAGTTTTATGCTGACTCATATGACGTAAACGACCAGTTTTTTGGGAAAAAACAGAAGTTTCAGGTTGAATAGCCATCACTCATCAAAACGCTAAGTTCTGTCTAAGAAAACACTGGGAAAGAAACAAATTTTACTGGTCTGCATCCAAATAATTCCATTAACACAAAAGAATAAAAAAAGGACCAAACCTGAAAAGTAACATACATCTCAAACAAACAACCGAGAATTCCACATATAAAAAGAGGAGGTAAGCACTGTGAAAATGGAAATAAGAATTCATAAAGATTTATAGATTTAAAGGAACGACTGCTTTAAAAAAAAACATAAAAAACCGATAAATGCTTAATAATAATAATAACCATTGAGGGTAAATATTACGCACGACAATGGACTAATAATATTGTTATTGTATTTTTCAAAATATAGGCTTCAGGAACTAAAGATTTTAGATTTGGGTCAAACTGTGTGCATAGCAATAGCAGTTACTAGGAATGGAACAATAGAAATTAACTATGACGTAATAGAACAATAATATTTATCAACGATTTATCAAACCAAAATGCTCTCCATGATGAAAGTAATATGGAGAAAATAACGGGCAGTCAAACGAACACCAACAAACATTCTGCATTAGAAGCAGATCTGATTAGGTCGCAGGAAATCAATTTTTATATGTTTTCCGTAAAATTTCCTATTAAGCTACATATATTTATTTTCCATTTCCTTCATTATCTGCTGACCATATCTTCATTGCAATACACTAAACATTCAACCTGTGACCATAGCTTATACAAGCATTTAAATTCTGTAAAATAAATAACAAACGAGACCATAACATTCGCGATAACTGATTAAGCCAGTCTACATGACAGCACATCGCTGATCCGGATCCTGACCGTCATCACTAACAAACTGTCCATACTGGAGCTCAGCAGTGCTTTCTCTGGTAGCCATTTCATTGCCATCAGCATCAACCAAAGATGTTTTGACCCGATCACCAGCAGGCCACTGTTGATTCTTCATCACTAACTGAGATGGTGGCGTATGTTTTTCACCGCTATCAGCACTCCAAACCTCCAATACAGGTATAAATCCAATGGAACTACGTTAATGAAAAGGCAGAAACCTTTTTCCATCTTATGTCCAAATGAAAAAAAAAAAAAAACAAAAAAACAAAAAAACAAAGGAGAAAACTTTCTAACAAAAGCAAGTTCGTTAGTTATAATCATCGAAAACAGAGAAACTTCTAATATGGATAAAAAATACAGACATACAGTGATGGTATCGCCGGGTTTCATCGTTTGTCTAGAATGGAACTTGTAAACAGTTTCTTTATCATTAGCAATGCTTTTGATCGCCCACTGACCAATTGAGATTGTTTCCTCCCCTTTATTCACTAACTTTATGAACTTCCCATCCGTGTCATGCTCCTCTATCTCGATATCGCAATCTGAGTTGGAAGTTGTCTGAAATCAATCCCTTAGCTGACATGCATTTGCATCAGTGATTGATTACAACTGTTTTCAAGAGACACATAAGAAACATATGTTAACATGAAGCAACACGAAAACAGTTTGTCCAATATGAAGAAACAATCTATTATTTTTGAACTTGAGAACACCTTGTACGATTTTGCAGTGTTGCGATAATACAAACTGTCGTCCGATGCATTAAAGCGTTTTCGTTTGATGGGACGACGATGACCAGAATCTGTATACGACAAACTGAAGCGACTACCAGCAGATGGTGAGGCTGCCGGAGAACCTCCAGAAGACTGCTGCGAAATATTTAATCTAAACGATAAACAATAATAAAACAACGGGAAAAAAAAAAGCAAGACTGCCAAAGAATAACACACTGGAATTCGCAATGTTATGATAATCTCAAAATTGACAATTTTCCGATCAAGTGAATATTAGTGAAAAAAAATACCGAGATTCTTCTCCTTCCAACAAATTCTGATATGCTTTTAGTTCGGTGTCAAGCTGCACCTTAAGATCAAACAAATCCTGATATTCATTCAACAAACGATCAATTTCTTCCTGAAGCTCCGCAATACGCTTGTCCCGTTGATTAATACGAACATCGCAATCGTCTCGCACGAAACGCAACTGAAACATACATCTTAATGCTGATTTTCATCAATTAAATCATTATAATATGGTAAATAAATCTAAGGTTGGAAGAGCAAATTAAATAAATCAAACATTAACAAACTTGACTCTCCAGATCAGCAATCTTCTTGTTAAGACCTTCTATACGGCTCTCATATCCACCTCCAACTTTTTCCATTTCATGAATACGCAGACGTAACCTTGCTGCTTCCTCTTTTGCTAGATTCATTTGTTGACGAGCTTCATTTGCTTCATTAAGCTTGTTCTAAAATAACATTCAAAATGAAACAAAATAGAAACGACAAACACTTAGTTCTCGATGATTTAAACCTTATAGGTTTCATCGATATCACGTCGGTTCTTGTTTAGTCTTTCATCAAATTCAGCGCGCATTGCTTGAAGTTGTTCCTGCAAGCGTGACTCATACGTGCGTTCCATTTCACGTGCCGTTGTTGTCATCTCCACTTGCCGTTTTCGATGTATTTCCTCTAGCTGCTGAAAAAAGAACAACACATAAGCTAAACCAAATCCTAATTATTCCGTTAGATTTAAATGATCTCTTATTACGACAATTTAAAAAGAAACAGAAACGCACTATTTATATTCTGTTAAATATGTGAAGAATGAATGACATAAAATTACAAATAAGATAGATCGTCAAACTTGCCCCTTCATGAGTTCTTTTCAAAAATTCATAGTCTTCCTTTAATGATTGGTTCTGGTTGTGAAGTGCGGTATTGGCAAGCGCTTCATCCTCAACCTGTTTTCGCAATATCTCCAATTGCTGCTTCAAATCTTCATTTTCGGCAAACAAGTTCTAGAAATGACATCTTTAAAAAAAAAGAAACAGACAAAATTTAGAATGAACCCACAAATAATATTAACCTTATTCTCATCCTCCAGGTGTCTTCTCATGTTATCGCCAGAATTTAATCTAGCCTGAAGATCCTGTATAAGATTGTCGTTATTTAGACGAAGCTTTTCCGATTGTTTAAGTTCCTTTTCAAGCTTCCCAATCTTAAAAAAACGTACAACATTGAATCAAATTTCAATTAAAAATAGCGAAAATTTAAGTAGAATGACAACCTTTCTAACTTCATAGCATAAGATCATAGTACAGTAAATAATTTCAAATATTCATGCAATGTCACATTATACGTGCGACTGTTATACCTAATAAAACACTGAACCGATTACTCTAGCACGAAGATTATCGCGTTCGGCGAGGGCTGATTTTGCCTCCATATTGACACGAGTTTTCTCTTTCAAAGCATCATCGATTAGATCACGCAACTCCTTGACTTTCGCTTCATAACGTGCTACCAAATCATGCCGCTCTTTCTTTTCGACCACTTCACTTTCATTTATACGCACGTTCAAGCGCTCATTTTCTAGTTCAAGCTGGCGAACTCGCTTAAAAAAAATGATAAGGTAATAGTGACCGCATTTTTTCCTCAACGATGAATGCAATCTTAGCAAACGGCCTCTGATCATGACACACATAATTAACTATCAATATTCATAAGAATATATTAACTGCAGAATAACCAGTAATTTTACAAAAAAAAAGTGGAACTTAAAGTAAATATTTACATCAATGTAAACGGCAAGTCGGTCATTCAGATTTGATAACGTATCTTTCTCGTACTGTCGAGTCCGACGACTGGGTGAAACCGAAATACTAGAAAACAAAAAAGTACAGATTCTTGCAATTAAGAATTACGTTTTTAAATTTTTGTTTTACGTTTTTCTAAATTTTTAAGACTGTTTTAATAATAGCTTTGTTAACAAAAATGACATTAAGAAAAATGTTTTAGTTAGACAGCCACAAGAAACAACAAAAATTCTTAACGTGAAAAATATAATGCCAGTTCACCGAAAATTATTTAGTTTTCAGTTTTCAAGCACAATTTCTGGGTAACTTCTTTATTTCTGATCTTCACCTACTTCCTAGATTTAAAAACTGTGACTCATACTTGAAAGAGGATTCAGTTCCATCCCCACCGCTCTCCACAAGAATCGGATATTCAGTTGCTGCAGTTCGACTGCTCGATGCCAGATTAGTCGTACGAGACGATGAACGTTTTTGTTTCGACGCAGACATTCTTTGTCAGGGTAACCTTTCAGATGTGCTTAACAGTAAATTGCTATAGACGGCAATAAATTACAATATACATTCCGTCAAATCAATTAATACTACCATACCTTTCACGATGCCATGGGTATACAAATAACATCGGACTCAGTTAACAGTATTATTATTATATATATACGTGTATATATGATCTACAATAGACATATTCGCATATCCTTCCCAACATTTTTCAAAATCTCAGCAAAAAGCTACATAAGTCAGTGCATAATATTTATATAAACATACATATACAAATAACAAGAAATAATAAAAGAGATTAATGAAAAACTAAAGCAGCTTAATATCGGGAGGATCCAAAAAATTAACATTTCAAATTACGTCAAGTATCGTTATCACAAAACTTACCACAACAGGTGTTCTATGTAAGAGAGAGAGAGGGAGGGGAGTAAGTAGAAGGGAGAAGAGAGAAAGAAGGCAAAAAATGAAGAAGGCACCGCCGCGTATTTCCAAAGTAAATTAAAAGTGATAATTAATGTGAACTGAGAAGCAAGTAATAATTAGATGGAATAATATGCCAACTACAGCGGTATCTATCTAATAAATTGTTAGAAAAGTGAACCGCAGACCACAGTCGCTATGCAAAAGCTTGCGCTGACGCTTCACAGTCGCACAGTGTTACCATTCATAGCTTACGAATGGGTAAGCGAGCGTCCACCTCTCTTCTTTCACTATACGGTCGATACGTTCACAAACTATTTGTTGCGGCACAGTTAAGGATAGATGCAAACAGCCGTGCAGCGTGCGCTTGTAATCTTACCACGTATACCAAACCGTCATACCGCAAGCACCATCCAAGCCGTTGCCGACAGCAATCACCCGTAATCCCTCGGTGTCCCTCAACCATGCACTTCGCGAACGGCACGAATACCCGTTGTGCAAATCTTAATTTCACTGGTAACATTTTTGAAATGTTAATTAGCAAATTTGATTTTCATGCTGTGCTGGATTGCACTGTGAGGTGTGGAAGAGTATGCATATAGCAGATTCACGTTCACGTGCGTGATTGTGCAATTTAATAATTGAAAAGTCTACGAGAAAGCGGCTGGGGTAGCTATGCTTTTTTAAAAGAAGGATGTCATGCTGATAGTATATCTTTGCTTGTCAATAGCTATTTTGGTTTGCTAAGCTGAGGCCAATATATTACTTCATTTTGAAAAAGTCTTTTTTGAAGTATTGGCTATCAAATTTTGGGTCAAGCGTTACTCTTGTAAATTCGGAATAATTTCTTCATGTGTCAGTCATGCTACAGATATCATTACTGTCATCTCATTGTCACATTTGGTACAATGTTGTCAAAGGTCGACACTTCTTTCTTCCTTTTACCGTTATCTTATTATAATAGTTTTATTCGGATAAATATTTGAATTAAATTGGACATTTGGAAATAATCAAGATCCAGTCATATAGAGTGGAGATAAAACTGTTTGACAGCATTTGTGGTATTTTGCGCGCTAACCCTGTGATATTATCTATCTCTCTGTAGTGTAGCTCCTTTGATTTTTCTCAACGATCAGAAATCTTCGATTACTTTGGATTTTGATTATTTTGCGACAGAAAGATCAGAAGCTGATGGAAATATTTGAGCGTTTTCAATTCGACTAAAACCAGTTCATAAGTCAAGCTTAAATACGAATGCTGCAGGAGATTGTCGCCACACAAAAAGTATCGTTTTGCATTCATGCAAATTAAAAAACTGGGCAGAGTATGGTGCATTTCTATCAAGTTTGGAGGATTGGATGTGAATAAAACCGACGACATTCTTTAACAGTCACTTCCACGAAGATCTCCTGACGTCAGCTTTTTTGTATTCCCCTTCAACCTTGCCTCAAACCCGCAAGACTACTTCCCTTCGTTGTATGGTTACAATTGGCATCAGTTATTCCTTCTTGTTCAATAACTAAGCAATTTCTAACGTTCATCCAGAAACTGACTTTTTTGCTACTCCGAATAAGAACGGAGCAGGTTCAACATTTCAGTTGCGTTTGCAAAAACCCGTTTGCCCCATGGCAGGCTCGAACTGCCGACCTTCGCATCTCCCAGCAGCACTTATAAGTACGACGCGCTAACCAACTGCGCCAATGGGGCATGTTGGATCAACTCATTTTACAATATATCCGACACGATTCGATTTTAATTAGCATTAAATTTAAGGAATTTAAATTACTTGTAATCTTGTGAACGATACGGTTGCCAAATATAAAATGAGTCGCATTTAAATAGAAATGAAACAATACTTTACATAAAATATTACGCAGCCATTTTCAAAGCATTAAAATTGTATTCTAACTCCCATAGTTGCTTATTAATTAATTAAGGGGACGCAATGTAAATTGAAATGAAAACATGTTGTCGTAATGCTGTGTAAGTAAGCGTAGTTTTTACATATTCGATTAGAAGACTTATCGCGACTTTTCAAATCCTCTCAAATTTTCATACATTCTATTACGTGCAATGCAGAGTACAGTAATATTCTACTTTCAGCTTAAATACTATTTCCGCTTGCAAGTAGAAAACCAAAGACCATCAACAAAGAAGTAAATTAAACCAAATAAACCATTTCACTCTCTTTTTATTTCGATGAGTTAAATTAAAAAAAACACTATGAAATGATTGTCTGATTGATTATTCTCTAATATTTATTTGTTTCAAATTTATATTAAACAATTTATAAACGACATAAAAGGTATTCCTTCCAAGTTCCATCAATGACACATATGAGTTGAACTTGAGTTTTTTGTTTCTGGTTTCATTCTTCTCTTTCAGTTCTGGATATTCGCATAGATGTTGGTGGTAGGAAAATGTAAGTATTGATTTCATATAAAATCAATGTTAAACGATGGTTTCATTTCTTAAAGTCATAATGAACTAATCTTCACTCTTTTACTTACCGCAATATTTAAATTTCTAAAAGTCGTAATATCGAAATTTAGTTGCTGTAAGCGCTTCGTAAGAATGATATCAGTTGTTTTTCTAGTATTGTGAATTTCCTATTTACTCATCAAATGACTGAATAAATATGAAATAGGAGGAAAGTTAAGCATTAAACCACTGAAATTTTATGTTAAGCGGTGGCTTTATTTCCAGAAGCCGTAATATCGAAATTTAGTTGCCATAAGGCGCTTCGTAAGAAGTTAAGAATGACAGTGATCGGAATAATTTTAATTATATCGCATTCTATTGCTATATGTTACACACAGTATTGTCAAGGACAATTGGGAATAAATTTAAAGCATCTCTGGTTTAAGGCGGTATTAATTTTTGCATTTCGAAAATATAAATTTTAATAATTTGGAATGTCACAATTTAAAATTAAATTATACAAATATTAAAAAATATACATGTATCACAATGGTAAATGATGTGCAGAAGATGATGCATTACATTATTAATTCCATTCTCACTTCTGGATGGAAAGTTTCAACTTTTTTATGCATTTAGTATGGAGGGAGCTCCATACTATCAAAAAATTTCTCTAAAGCAGTGTATAAATTTCAGTGAAGAATTTAGATGATTTTTTTGGATCGTAAGCATTGAAGAAGTCCGAAGATAGACTTATATTCATTATGTAAATTGAGAAATAGCCGGAAATGAATGTAATAAGTAAGCAGTAGATTTCGGTTTACAGTATTACAAACGAATGCACTGTACCGGACAAACAACAAGTTCCTCTTCTTGCAGTATGAGTCGAATACTTACTGGCAAAGAATCAACTGTTGTCAGTGTGAACTGTCCACCGGACAAGTTTTTTTTTTTTTTTTTTTTTTCGTATATTTAATATATTTAATGTTAATATTACTCGAAATAAGAATTAGAAAAGCAATAACTCCAGAAAAAGTTAGTGAATTTTAGCAAAGAAGTTAATTGTCAATTTATGACATCAAAAGAAAGTGGGTACTCATGTCAGTATTATAAACAATCAATAACAGGAGAACTTACGCAATTCTGCTGCTGTTTCGGGTAAGGAGAATTCCAATATTTAGCGATGATAGTTCAAGAAAGGTTGTCACCTCGGAATTAATTACTATCAAAGATTATTTATGAAATTATGTAGGATTTTGTCAACAAGCTCTACTGCAATTAATTTTCGAAATCAATTCCCTGATTCCTCATTAGGATAAACCCAGGACAACAATTAATTAGGCAGAATTAAATAAAGCATTTGAAAGTTTTAAAAGCTAGATAGTAAATAAATCACAGTGTGTTTTAGCAAGAAAAACTTTTATAAAAGTACCGTTAATCATTACTTCTTTAAGAAAAAGCTGTTATCAATCGATAAATCGCTTAGAATCTGAGCAACGTTCACTACATCACTTGGCCGTGGATCCGATAACTGCTGTTTTCTTTGTATTTACGTTCCTTATCAATATTTTAACAATTAAATTGTTTCATAACGATTTAACAAACGCTGTTGTATTAATCTATCAGATGTATTCCGGTATAACATCATTTAAACTTCTACAATCAGAACACACGTTGCTACAAAATATGGAAGAAGTGAGACTTTCTTTCTCAATCAATTCCTTCACGATGAATTTCATAATACATTTGTGTAATAAATCGAGCAAAACTTTGAAGTAAACAGCAAATCACTGACCTCAATGGAAATTTAAAAAGCAACAATTAAATCAAATCAATATTGATTGCGGTCTGCTTTTAATTTGGCTTTGACATAAAAATACAAATTTTGGTCTAAATTATAATCCCAAGAACTATGTTAAATCATTTCCCTAATAAAAATAAGTCACTGGACTGATGGTGTACCAGTCGTGAGATCATTTGCTTAGGTTACAGATCATCTGCGCTTCATCAGCATTCACAAATTTCAACTGAATAAAGGAATAACACAAATGATTGCACGCCTCATGGCGTCAACTTAACAAATCCACGTGTGGAATGACTGTTGCGTTTGATCCATTTTGCAAAGAGCATGTCGTATTGCACAAGCCAAGCGAAGATTTTTGAATAGCACTAAAATTTAATTGGTTAACAAGAAATTCAGAACTTTAGTAATGTAAGTTTTTGCAGAAAATTATCTCGTGGAAAACACATACGCTAATCACCACGAAAATGATAACGCTTTTAACGCAATCAAGGAAGAACAAACAAAATGTTAATGATGATGCTAAGTTTGGACATAAAAAGCTAGGAATGAATGAAGGTTGTCAGGAAGGAAAGCAACATATGGAAAGTCAGGCGCTGACAGAACATTATTGTAGAAGTGAGCGACTGCTTCGACAGGTTGCTTCATTACTGGCATGCTTCAATCATAGGTAGATCATTTATTAAATTTGTTCCATTACAGGAATGGTATAGATATAATACATTGATGAAAATCAGTTACTCACATTGGCGTGCTCGAGAACGGAGTCAGGTCGGGAAACAAATGCGTAGAACACTGAAACATCTCTTTGAGTTATGACATTTATGACTATCTTCTGCAATGCTTTCGAATTGCAAAAAAAAAAAAAAAACAATATGAATGTAACAAAATCGTTGCACGATTGAACAAGTCGTATTATCAAAAGAGTAACTCCGTAGCTTCGTAAAGTTTACATATAAATTCCTTGAGAAATTCGAAGATCTGCGTATATGGAATCGTATTAGTTGAAATCTCGATATGCATCCCTTTGTATAATGAGGTATTCTCATTATGCACCGATTTGGATCTGAAGTGCAGGATAGCTTGTTTGATTCCACTTCAAAAAGCAGGGTCTCTATCGTCATCATTTGAAGAATTCAAATTAAATTAGATGATTTTCTTTTTCAAAAACTGAAGATTTACACTCTAATATTGAATGACACCATTCACAACTGTTGAAGTAGTTATTATCAGTATCAGGAGGGTTCCATTATCGCTATCTACTATCAATGATGATGATTACTTATTAACAAAATGACTTTCTTCATGACAGTGAAATGCCAATATCTGTTGAATTAACATCTAGACCACAACCTCAAGATGAGTAATTGGATTCGAGAATGTTCTGTATTCCCTTCAAACCTTTGAAATCATTCTTCATTCCAATTCCCAATTGATAAACTTCATCGCCTCACAAAGTACTAATAAACATTATTATCCCCTTATTATATAGAAACAACAAATATTTCCTATCATTTTAAATACTTATAAATAATTTTTGGTTTCGGTTCAACATCACTGCTATATTTTTAAGCAAAGAATTCTTGTATTGGAAACAATAAGCCGAAAGTTACGAATGTACGAAATGAGTAGTATCAGAAAAGTGGAACACTTATTTCTTGGTGAGTTTATAAGGCAAAGAAGTAAATAGAAGCAATTAATAAAAGATCATATAAATTTAAACAGTGCTGTAGATGATATTGGTTTATAAAAAATTTATAGTGAAATTATTGAGAGATGATTTGAGGAATGAAGAAAGCATAGACAAACTAATAGATAATGTAAATAATGTCATTTTTCATAAACCATTTATAACCGGATATTGTTATCTACTTGATTATAAAGTAAGTTAAGCTACAGTTAATAAAGAGACCAGTTATTCTGTTTGTCATTACAGAAGATGACAGCAACTCACAGTTTTATCCTTAGAGGACTGACAGTTACTGAGACAATAAGAATACCAATAGTAGTGAACTTTCTACTTTGTTTACTGTTCTGTATTTAATAAAATTAAGATGAAAATACGATAAAACAGATAAACTAAGTGACAAAGGTTAAGCTGGAATCACAAAGATGATTTATTTCACCAATTCCTAGTTCTTTTCATTCTGTCTATTTCGACCTTAAGTATGCAGCAGATAAAATCGTCAAGGCAACTGAAACAAATAAGAGTGCTTAAGAAGAACCACTGTTTTTCTTTTGCTATGCTTTCAAAGTTTTCGAAATGATGGTTGCTAAGTCAGTAATTTATTCTTTCCGTTCAAATATAAGAAAAAACATTTTCAAAACATTCAGACGAGCGAAAGTTGTTTATATTTTGTCTTTGTTGAAACTTTCCTATGTGCACGAACGACCTTATTATCTCTTAAATTTTAAATATAATAGAATTTTTTCAGAAATTAAGCTTATGCTCATTTTTGCTTTAAAAATCTGAACACATTACTTGATATAAATTGTTCGATAATTATATGTGAACAATAGAAGCTAAAGAAATATCTAATATCACGATACAAAAAATAAGGCACGAGAATATATCACAGCTTTCCAATAATAAAATAAATCAGCAAAAAATCTCGTTAAATGAAACAAAAATTACAGGATGAGAAAAAAACTAAAGAGAAAAAGACTAAAACAAGGGTGGAAAGGAAAGAACATTAACATAGACAAGAACAGATGTTTTACTACAAGAAAGAATTGCCTGGTTATAGAAAAATTGCCAAAATAAGGGCATGCTATTCTACTACTTTCAAGGTATATCTCTGACAATCACCAAACTGATAAAGAAGTGAAATGAGTGCCACAGTCATACGAAAAGGTGAACTGTAGTGAGAAAACAATGTAGCGAGAAGACAGAAAAAATATCACAAAACATGAAAGAAATAAACAAACACATCTTAAAAAAACATGGATAACTATATGTCCAAAAACTAATATATCTATAAACATTACTGCATTCTTAACTGATAATCTCCATTTTGTGTGACATAACGAACCCATGGTAACGCCTGATATCCACTCTTTTCGATAATTTTCAAGTAACGAACCTAAACAGTTCTCTTAGAACATAAAGTAAAAAATAAACTAGATTAAAATAGCTGCGTCAGTGAGAATACCAGAAATCCACCTGAAGTCCACTCGTTGTAAAATACGGAATTTCAAATTTTACTGAAATTGGTGGTTTTCTCTCTGTCTCCTCACCTATAATCGAAGGTAAACAAAAGTGCGCACGCATCAGATATTCACGACCACCTGGAAATCATTTGTTTCTTTGTTTATATGATGAGATCAAAAACTATTATATTTTTGGAAACAGCATTCCAAAGAAATAAAATTTGAAATAGGAAATTCTAAACGATAACCAGGGAAACTGCGAATCATCCAAACAAACGCACTGAGCTCAGGAACATATTTTACTGAACCAACAGAAGTTTTGAATTTAGGTGAATCTGCATCACTTGGCACAGGTATAATGATCTCCACATGATTTGCAATAGACTGACGTTTGAACTGAGATTTTGCCTGGACATGGACGATAAGTGACTAACTTTTTAACTTTAAATTCTTTAACGGCAGTGAATCATATGAAAAAAAAAAAAAAGAAACATAATTATGTCACCGCGTCATTACATGAAACTGGCAATAAAATAAATCACCTTCACCATATATTCAACTCTAGAATGAGCATGCTTTTCCATGCAAGATTCCACCCAAATTAATGGCTTTACAGTTGTTGTTAAGCGATAATTCATTAGTTCAAACTCTCCATCCGGTGGTACAAAACTTATGGTACGATCGTTTTCAAAGCGAGATAATCGTACACACTGATGGAATTTCACATCTTCCAATTCTACAGCTTTACCTCGGCCTCCTAAAAATGGATTTTAAATTTCTAATATATCGAACACAGTTTGATGATATCATTGAAATTTTTAATAGATGGATGCAAAAATAATCTGAATAGTAAAGTAAAATCTAAATGAAAAACGCACTTGAGTATGTTTGGAAGAGGACTTTATCATTAAGTCCAAGGCGTAATTCAGGCATTCCGGAAAGAAGTACTCGCATCTTAATCGTTCCAACGATTTCGCTTCGCAACACGGAGCCAGAAGCATTAACCTAAGATAAATTTTATATAAAAGTGCTCATATTCAAGGTCCTCAATTAGTCTCAAATATCAATTCTAAGCTCACCAACATATTAACTGACTCGATAACATCAAGAAAAACTTCATTTTTACGATATTTCAAACCATCCGACCGCCAAGAGACTGCATTCGTTACCGCCATTGGCGGTCTAGGAGCGATATCGAGCATATATCGTTCTTGTGTGATGTACCTAAATAACCTGGCTATTGGTGATTGGAACATAAGTTTGGATCCATTTTTATGACATGCTAAAGAAATCACTCCTGTAAAATTCGGCTCTCCGTTGTTTGAGGGTAACCGAAATCCATCATCTCATCCAGGAGCTCATAGAAAACGACAAAATTATCTCGCACTGACTCTTCTTCAAAATCCTTAAAAAATCAATAAATGAATATGTCAAAATATTTAAAACATTCAGGCGAAACGTTACAGTCAATCCACAGAAGAAACAAACCTTGAAATATTCACTGAAGACTTCTATACACTTATAAAGGAAAGCGAGCATCATTGCAACATTAACATTTTTCTTTGATATTGAAACGACTAAAAACAAGGCCAATGATGAATGTAAAATTAGAAAACATGAAATGAAAACTGTCTAAATATCTTTTGTCTAGTTGAAAAAAGTCATAGTTGCTTCTCCGGTGTTAGAATTATATTTGTGCGAATGTTTCATATATATATATATTCAATAAATCATATATTTTTTTCGAAACTAAACAACAGTGATGATTTGAAATATGAAACAATTATGATGGAAAATCTCCCACTAAAAAATCACAAAGGAAAGTGAGACTTACGAAATATGTTAAGATGCTTGACGTAAACATAGCTGATATTATGCTTTTGCAACACTGGAGCTAAAAGACCTTCATCTTCTTTCTCCATCAGAAGGGGCATAAAGGAATCAATCACAGACATTTCCACGTCCCCTCGATAATTCCGTGACATTATCACCTAAATAAAACCATTTTTTTACTTGATTGGTATATGAGAAAATGCTTCATCATAATTAGAATAAAAAGTTCATTAGCCTATCATCCTACCACACTGATATAAAGTGCATATTCAGTGGCTCTGACAAAAGATTACATATTCAAGAAAAAAAGTTACATTTCCTTTCAAGTCCAAAATAAAGATAGCTGAACAAGACATGACTGTTTTTTCCTCGATAATCGTACCGTCCCTATGTAGATATCATCAAACAGTAAATTATAACCTGAAATATCAACAGAACAGTAAATTATATCTCAGGCAATACTGAAATGACTTAATGAATTAAGACCTACATCAGCATCATTATCAACAATATTCTTCACTTAAGCTTAAAACGCCTTACCCATCTATCCTGTAACTATACTGTAACGCTTAACATCTCAATGCATCAACATAGTTAAAGGTACAATCTCAAGTTGTAAATTTTAATTCACTACGCCTCAACTCAAATATATTCATTAATTGGAAATCTTTGTTGCCGAGAAATAAATTCGTACATGCAGTGTAGAAATTTGTGTCACGAGATTTAATTAACTTGTGAGAAGCTTCTGTAAACTTTTTTAGAGAAACAAATTGCCCGCCGAGATGACTAAATAAGCATATGAAGTAAAACTAGTGGCTGTCCTATTTCTACAATATTGATTGTGTTCTGATATAGTCAGGTACCGTCTTGGGAAATTGGCAAATCAGTGCAAACTCTAGAAAATACAGTTTTCCATGCATTTCATTAATTTACTGAACATAATTCTCAATGGCTTCGTCGATATGCCTAAAGTTTTGGTGACTCCCAAAGAGTAACATGCCTTTTCTAAACTTAAGGAAGTGTTCTGGAGTTTCTCGCTTCAACCTAAAGTATCACCGATGGTTTGTCGTGTATAATCCATAATTTGATCAATTTTTTTTTTTTTTTAAATATTATTGGTACTCTGATTGGTATTTCAGAAAACCAATTGTTAATTGGTGACTTATAAGATAACCATTTTGTGAGTTTTTTTCACTTTTCTAATGCCAAATGACCGCGAAAAACTATGATTAAGTTTTTTCGTTAACTTGCTGAGAGGATGAGCTTCAATAACTACTTTCGACCTCTCTCTGTCAACATTCGGTGACCTATCACCTCATCTCTAATATTCTCATTAGACAGTAATTTGTAAACGGTTTCTATACCAAAGATCTGGTTAATATGAGAGTTGTTATCACTACTTTGTGCATAGATTTAAATTAGTTAAAGAAATCATTCAAGTTTGCTTCTTGTCTAACCTTATCCGCTCCCCAATATCTTAATATGCAATGCCACGACCACTCCCAAGAACGGAACACAACCAAATCCCTCTCCACAGGCACCTCAAAATACCAATCGGCCCATTAGCAAATCTTAAGCTGGCGGTAGATTAGTTGTATCAATTTTAGTAAGAGAAGTAAATTTTGTATTGTTGTGGCTAGGATGATTTCTGGTATGTCTCCGTTTAGTCTCCACATACGTCAGATTATCAACTTGTTATCTTTCTCAGTATAACATGACGTATTCACGGCGTCTATTTACATGTAGTAGTAGTGGTAGTAATGTACATTATAGTCGGACAAAAATAAGTTTGCCAGTATATCAAAAATAAATGCTTTTATTGTGCTTATAGCGCACTTTTGAAAACATTAATAGTAATAGTATTAATTATTTTGTTCTTTTTCTTGGTAAACACCGTGTCGTTATGCAGTAAAAAAAAACGCGGTCATTTCATATCTATTTATGTTATCATTTCAGATATCTGAAGCAAGAACATACGCAAATTGTATATTGTAATCGGATAATGAATGTAATCAAGAAGAATACCGAGAATTATGAAATAAAAAAGGAAGTGAATCAAGACTGCGCACGGCGTCTATTTATATATCGACTGAGAAATGGGTATGTTTCCTCTCAAATTGAAGACGTTAAATAAAGTTTCGCTTGGAAAAGTAACACTTTTTCATTTGAGGTGGGAAAAGGAATTTGTGCTCATTTTTTAAATTTAAAGTAAAACTCAGGTTTCTTAAGATGAGTATTTTTAGCATGCGGCAGGTATCATCTCACAGAATCGCAGTTGATACCTTGGTTTATGTTCGAAAAATCATAGGTTTTGGAAAGTACAACAGTGCTCAGTTAGTCTTGCGTCATTTCAAACCATTTTAATAGTGGGCTATTGCAATGTCATTTCCAGAGGGGTGGAAAAGAGTAAATAAGCTTGGCTGGCTTTGGGATTATTTTCTGGTGCATTCTTGACATGCAAATTATGTATTGAAATTATCCCATTAGTTAATTATTGTAATAAATCCTTTTTTCGAAAGTCTTTTCAGAGAACTCATTGAGTTGCTGGAAACTGAAAGAAAGCATTTGTTGGAGGCATTGCCTTATCAGTTTGTTGTTTCAAATATTATATTATGTGTTATCAAAATTATCTGTGAAGAAAACGGTGAAACTACCGCTGCATTTGGAGATCTAGTACCGCATGATTCCTTAGATGTCCGGTTATTTTTTAATTTAAAGAACACAACTTGTTTGCAATAATAAAACGAAATTTCTAATTTCTTCACATTCCAAAACTTATAATGTCACATTGTAGGAGCTCTGGAAAACTCCAGACAGTAGAAAAGTTATGGATCCACGGAAATTTCGAAAATTAGCTCTTGTTGCTATTAATGAATTTGCAGCTGAAATCGATACTTGTGTTGATGATATATGTGCCCAGGTAAAAATTTTCATCCAGGATAATCCACAAGGAAATATTAAATAAGTTCGAAGATTATTTTGGTTTCGAAGAAACAGCGTGTGTAGTTTGCTGGATTCTAGCATTATTCGTTAATTTTATAATACACACTCTTTATTTATAAGTGTCATTGACAAAGATGCTTAAGTATCGAAATTAAAAAAAAAATTCATCGAGCACAATATTACTGAAATAATTTTGAACGCTGAGTAATGCCATTCGTATACTATTTTCATGATTTTTTTCTGTGGACTTGTGAAATTGCTACTTTCATCCGTTGTTCTTATAGTCATAAATGAAAAACAAAAATTGTTTGCTTTTACAGGCAAGTGATTACATCTGTACATCTGATGTTATCATAACACACTCACTGTCATTGTCATCTACACTGAGAGCATTTTTCAAGTCAGCTCGTAAAAGTCAGAAAAATTTTCGATTACTGGTGGTAGATGAAGAAATTGATTATGGTGATTGTTTGTCGTCAGTGGATGTTCTAACTGCTATGCAGCGCGCTACCCGAGTCTTTATCTCTGCTGTCGCTGTATTTCCGGATGGATCTTGCTTGGCACCGGCAGGCACTGTTTCATTTTTTTTTTCGGATACTATAAAATTTTATTAGTTGAGGCAGAGTGTAAAATTCATTGACGAGAAAAATAAGTTTTCAAAGTACCACCTTTAGTCACTGTAATATTTTAATGCAGAAGTGTTTCAGGATGCTTAATGATATGTTTAGCAGCTAGACGGCATGCAGTACCAGTTTCAGTTTGTACTTCTTTCTACAAATTTACTCCATTTTTTGTAGCGGATATTGATCGTATACACTCTTTCGGTTCTGCCACTGCTGTGGTACCATTCTCAGAGATGGAAGAAATGGAAAATGCCCAAATTGTGAATCCCATCTTCGATCTGATATCTGCAGAGCTTATATTGCAGTATATATCACATACATCCACCTTCACTCCATCCCATGTTTACCGTTTTATTGGGGATTATTACTGTCGTGATCGCACTGAAATGTCTTTGTAGATATAATTTATATGATAATAATTTGTTTGCTACATTGTTATTATTAAAGTAACTTTTATATTATTTTGTTTATAGATACATTTAATGCATGTGATGATTGAGGCTGTTTTACAGCAAAGTTCCAGTCATCATAAATTAGGATTCTAGTACATAATCATGATACTAGATTGGCTGGTATTGAACTCACTTCATCTGAACTTATCCTTTCAAAGCTCTATTATTCTGTTCAAACGGGTTTGTTAAAGATATTAGAGATATGCTAAAAAAACAAATATCAAATAACACATGGTTTTTACGATTGAGTGATTTACTAATGTCCCATATTTTTCTACTCATTTTTTTTTTTTGTTGCTGATCGATTTGTTTGATCAAGATCCACTTCATCTTGAAGTCAAGGGGCTCAGCATGTCAGATAGCTGTTTTGATGTTACAGAGAATTTTCTGGTAGTGAAGTCTAATACAATCAAATATATGCGTCTAGGATTTGCATTTTAGATACGAATTTTCGGTTCACAAATTAATGGCGGAACCGGGTGACTCGGTGCGGGTAGATGACGTGGAAAACAGTAGCGATGATGAAGAAGAGGGTGAAGAAGAAAGCAGTACAGAAATTGATGAAAGTTCAGCTGAAGAGAGTAGCAGTGAAGATGATGATGAGACGAAAAGTAGTGATGATGATGGAGATGATAACACCAATGTTTGGGATTCCATGGATGATGGAGCACAAACTGAAGAAGCAGTTGTGAGTTTGGATGGTGCTAGGATATTAAGTAATATAGGTAGTTACGAACATATAGTAAATTAATTACAGGAAGCTTCACTACAGGCGGATTACACAAAAGCTCTCAACTTTATCATAGATGGTCGTAAGCAGAAAGCGCTTATAATAATGGAAAGACTTCTTCAACATCCAATCCTTCAAAAGTTTGAAGTCAGTACACTAATTTATCATTTCATTTTTCTTTTCGTCGAGGTGTAGAAGAGCTTTTGTATCTTCATTTTTATTTGATTCCAATTAGTTAAATTCTTTCTGTATAATTACTAAGTGTTTTAATGAAGATTGTTTATGATATTACATGATAGTATGAATTCTCTATACTGTTACTATTAGTTGTACAAACTGCTTCATTACTAAGTCAATTTATTATTTTTATGGCATTTCAACCATTATATTTACTCTTTTTTCCTGTGTAGGTTAATATCAATTTTTTCAACTGGGATGAAGCTAGAAAAGAAGCTTGTGCAAATCATTCTCGTGTATCAGCTATGGCTCGACTGTTTTCATCCTTGCACTTCAATATCGGTCGACTTCTAGACGACCCAATAGACCACTTGTTGAGCGTACGTTTTATCAATATATCTTAAGTGGTTCATATCTTCATTATCAACTTTTACCATGAATGAAAACCATGTTAACAATTATTTTTTTTATTTTTGCTTAAGTTAAGTTACTGTTGCTTGTAGATGTAATTTTTTACTTTGTATACAGATCCGAGTTCCTATTATAGTCCTGTTTTTATCTTTTCGTGTTGTAGGCATTAACCGTATATCCAAATGACGAATATTTATGGAAATATGTAGGAGAAGAATCCCTGAAAATACGAGATTGGTCTATGGCATTGTACGCATTCGGAAACTGTTCATCTGCTTGGAGTGTTATTCGTGGGACTCTTATCGCTTTATATAACGCCAACCTGTTTGAAGGTATGTTAATCTGCTGTTAATTGTTGCCAAGATTCGAAAAGTTACCTATCTGCTAAGTTCTTTTTCTAGAACACATATCTCACTGTTTTCAATGATTACTTATTGGGTTTAAGCGTTTATATCTTAATATGTAATTACTTCATGCTTCGAAAAATTCGAATCTAAAGAAGTTGAAATACTTAAAATATTTTGCAAAAAAAAAAAAGTGAAGCAAATTAAATTCTTTAAATATCCCAATACGGAAGCTAGAGATCTATATGATGACGAAATGCCAACTGGTCTTATCCAATCATTTTATGAAGCATATTTTGTATGCTGAAGTTACACTTTGTTTAGGGCCAAATTGGTTTGACAAAAAATATAATTTGCCTTTTATCAAACTTTTAGAGATTTCAGATTGTCTCCTAAAAATAAAATCTGTATTAGAGTACGACAAAACATATTTTATGGGACGGGTTTTGAAACAAATCATTCGAGAAACGAATTCTTATTGGGAAATGAAATGTCGTCAAGTGTTCAACGAAGATCCTATTCTTATGCAGGATGAAGATGCTGTGAAAATAACAGAAAAGGAAAAAGAATTGGTTTGGTTACTGTTTTTCTCAGCCTATTTGATTTCTATATTGTTAATATTCGTTTTTTATTTCATTCAGATCACGTACTTTGCGTTTTTCGCATTTTTATTGATTTCTGTTTTTATTTTCTGTCGAAACAGTTTAGAATAGTATTTATTTTGATTCGCGTTGAAATAAAGTAGCTAGATTTTTACTTTCAAAATGTATAGTACTCTTTAATAAGTAAATAATGGCACAAATGAAAGAAGTTTGAGAACTTTAGGAGCTGACTGAAATACTTACGATATCCTAGAAATAGTAGGACTGATATTTTTGAAAGCGTCAAAGTTTGTCAATAATTTAACGTTATTATTTTGAGATCATTTGCAGATTCTAAATGAAATGAAAAATACTGGGAAGTTTATTGCTGGAGTTGAACCTGCAATCAAACCAGTGGTGGTTGATGTGGGCACTTGTTCGAAGTATGTTGTTATTTCTGCTGATTTTTTAAAAGTTTTTTTAACATGATTTTTTTAAATTACTTATTTTATCTTTCTTGAAATGTTGTGTTTTATCTTTCAGCTTAGCAGAAATAGGAATTTATTTATGTGATATATATGACCGCATCGAATGTTTTTCCAGCGTAAGTCGCTCATCGCTTTTATTTGTACACATTTCATACTGAAAATTTTAACAGTTGTACCTTCGTACTGGTGATGCAACTATCTCTGCAGTAATAGACTGATGGTAGATAATTTTGTTCATAACATATTTTCAATAATATTTTGCTAGGTATTGTTACTTAACTTGAACAGTATCTTCAGAAAACCCCAAATTTCGTGTCAAAATTTGATTCTAGGAACTAGAATGCTATCAAAGTGTTAAACGTAGTAGAACATTGTAACAACATATTTCTGCAGTTCTCAAAACAGTCTATTGTGCTATGTGGTACGAACGTGTTGGATGAATTTGATGAAGTTGCTCATGATGCATCTGCTGACCTTATAGACTGTGTTAACATCGTTCAGGATTTAATTGATAGGATTGTATCCGTAGAGGCTATTCGGCCTGCTTCAAGCATTGTAAGTTCTATTGATGTCTTTTTTTTTTTTTTCGCAACTCAAATAAATTAAACTATAATTACTGAGAATGAAAACTTTACATGTTCATCTTCGAAAAAAACTCTTATTCTAATTACTGTTTTATTAAAGAGATATAAGTTCGTATTGAGGCTTATGAGTAACTATTGTAGCCACATTGATGCACACTTCTGCCATAAAAAGACATGTTATGCTAGATGGTATAATGTTGTTGATGTTAAATAATGGTTGTGTTCACTGTTTCATGTACCTCTTAGAAAGCGAAAACGATCAGATTCCGGTTTGGACTGGAGGCGACGTTCCGTTCGTTTTCGCGCAGAATTTAACATTGAGGAATCTGGCTCAGAAAATGAAAAGATTTTGATTGCTTCAGTACATTTATAATTCTCTTTGCTTAACATGATAATTCACCTTGAACTTATTCACCTTAAGTTCGCCTTAGTATGATTCATCTTAAACTTACTTCTTTTAGTCTTTTTCCTTAATTAGCTGATCGGGTATGTTATTCCAGCTACTAAATTATTCATGTGCACATGAATCATCGATTGTTCCCCTTTTATCGATGAAGCCATCCTCACTGACAGGCTTATCTGCAAAAAGAGCTCCTTTACATGTACTAATGGATGATAGAGCATCGTTGCGTAGATGCGTGATATATCTTGCAAGTAGGTTTATGGACGGAAACGGACGAATTTTTGAGATTTTGGAACAGTTACTTCTTTGGTTCTCGAAGAACTGCTTTTGCATTATTATCACGGACTACTTACGAGAGGTACTTCTATGATTTTAACTGATTGATTGGGTATGTTATTCCACCTACTAAATTAGCTGAAAATTGTGCCTGAATTGAAGTATGGAAAACGTTGGAAAATTTCATGACTATTATTAAACTAACGGTTATAAATTAATATAACACAGTACGATTATGTTAATATAACACCACGATTACAGTTTACAGTTTTACTTCGGATGCTGGAAATGTCTCACAGTTGTCAGTTGATATACTGATCAACTGATAATGATATCTTGTGGATTTCAGTTTTTTCAAATGTAGTGCCCTACTATGTCTCGCTATAGTTTAATAATTGTTATCTATGGAATAATAATTGTTATCGCGACGAATTACATCGGTCAAACTTTGTGATGAGAATTAATAATATTTTGATAGTAGTTTGTCCACGATAACTAATTTTGTCTTAATTGATTGTTATTATTCCTATCTCTTTATTGTACATCAGAACTCTTTTGAAAAGACTTTCTGTTCTGTTGAAAAAGAATTGCTTTATTTTTGCTTAGGTAATTATTGGTTGTTATGGTCGATGGATTACTAATTTTGGGAATACTTCGATGATTTGTGGCGATGAATTCCTTTCTATCCATACCATGTTAGCTGAACTAGGCTTCGAAAAAGCTGTATTTGTTTGTTACTCTTCACTTCCTTCGTCTTTGGAACAAGATTTACGCATTCGAATACTTTGGTCAATTGCATTGAATAGTGCAAACACTTTCCCTTTTCAGGTATAAGGCATTTTTATTGCTCTTTTATTTAAATTATATCTAAAAAGCTAAGAAATTGGCTAGTATTACTCAAAGTCTTTTTTCTTCTGCTGAAGGCCGTTGTACTTTCTTGATATTTAACATTTTTCAGATTTGTAAAAATCATCTGTGGATGTTATTATCTGAATTAAAATCTGGGTGCAGTTCTGAAGTCAAATACCAGTCGCTGATTAGTGGCCATGAATTAATCAACTTAGAAACAGTTCAGGATCTCATTACCCAGATGGAGCGTCAAGAAAAGCTTGAAGCTATTCAGCGATTGTTCGATGGTCGTCACTTTGATAGGGTATTTTAGGAAACATTTGTGGGAGAAAATACAGTGTAATCTAGAAAAAGAAGGGTCTAATAAAGACTATTTTATGCAAAAAAGTCGTTATAATTTTTTATGTTCTGTAAACCCAAAAATACAGGTTTTCCCATTTCTCTTTGTACTTCTTACTTTACGTGATCGTGGTATTACCTAGGAATTATCTCTGAAATCAGTTGTTTAGGTGGTTGACATTATCATCGACAACTTCAGTTGGAAAGATGTTGATCGTAGTGTTCTTCTTTCTACAGCGATGATCCTTATTGATTCATATCTTGAATTAAACAACATGGATGGTGCATCTGAATGGATTAGCAGGTATGTTTCTTTGAGACGTATGAGAGATTAAAAAAATAAGATCTCACTGTAAATTATTTTTAAATTTCAGATTGCTGGATTTTACTGGAGGACTTGCTGGAACTGAGGAAGTGGTTGCAAGGTTGAAACAACTTGCTATAGAACATATTTGCTTAGAAAATACTTCTAATCTAGTCCATTGCATTGTTCATCTTCTTGTTCTCAGCGGATATGAATCTGTATGTATTACTTTAAATATTCATAAATTCATATGAGAAGGGAAGTAAATTTAAGCATTATTGAATTAAGTAGTAATCCTTTTCAGGACACTACTCTTTGGCTTTTACTTTATCGTTGTGCTTACCATTTGGAGGGAGAGCACACAGTGGAAACATTATCCGCACTATATGACGGTGGTTGTCAAATGCTTACATCTGCTTTGAATATCCTAGTCACTGCTCATGAAGTGATAGCTAAGCACAACAAATGCTTCGTCGATGACGTATTCTTTTTTCTAAATTCCTGTTCAGTTAGATTTTAAAAGTGGATGAGGTGCACCTCGTTGGTAGCCTCCTTGAAAAATTCCCTTCTCATTTTTCTTTCTGTGTGGTAGACTTTAATTTATCTGCAAAAGTACTTTACATGGATCATTAGTATAGTCATAATTAGATGTTGGCTTCTAATCATTAAACCTTAGGCCTGCAACATTCTAAATAAAGTTCTGGAAATAGTCCAAGCTTTGTTTTTTCCTTAAGCTTTTTATATTTCGTAGTGTTTATGTAATTTAAATGTAATTTAAAGCGAAGTGATGGCGGACTAAAGATTTTTCATGTTACATTTTCAGCATAGTTTTCCATTGTTTGTTTTAAATGAATTTTCGAAAATTCGGGCTCATCCTGCCGTCATTGAAGTTCTTTCAACACGAGAATGCATCGAACAAAGTCGTGCTTTCATAGATGAAGTTCATCAATGTCTATTTTGTCTATACGCGTAAGTTACAATGGTCAGCAGTGGAGATTTATTTGAAATTAAATTCATTCCAAAAATTTTGAATATATCTCAGATTTCCATGTCTAGGTGCCCATCAAGACGTAAAAGACAGCTGGAAGAACATGGAGGCACACACAATCATGAGCCAAATTTGAAGGATATTGAAAACGTTTTATCGCTGCTCTTGCCTGACAAAATACCTCCATATGATGGCACTTGTTCTTTTGATCTGATTGAATTCGTGCAAAAGAAAGCATCTTCGTTTTTGGAGCCTACAGAGAATGAAAAAGAAAAGGTAATGAACAGGTCTAAAAACTTGGGAAGTATGAATAAGATCATGTTGTGCTATATACTTTTTCTGTTGGTATTTACAATGGAAATACAGGTAGATAGAAACTAGAATAATGATGGTGGATTATTTTGAAAGAAGGTTGAAACTGACAAGTTCATTGCAAATTAAAATAACGTAAAATCTTTATAAGCTATGCTTTCTTATCAGCTTGTTTACCGGATTGTCATGAAAATTTCCCACACCATGCATTAGTAGATCTTCTACTTCCAAATCACTAGTTCATTTTGCAGCTGTTCGCATTTGATCGTTTCATTGCGCAAGCAGAGGTTCACGCGGATTGGCCTCGAATTGCAGAAAGTTCTCAGCTTCGATCAGGAGTTTTTTATCAGCTAGCACTACATTCCTATCGCAATCACAAAGTAGATGATGCTGTCTACTATGCCAAATTGTTTCTTCTTTATGCTTCTGCTACACTACCTAAAGAAGTGTTTTTTTGGGATTGGACCGTTCTAGCTTTCGCTGCTACTTCACTTTTCTTTGCGGGAAGTTCTTCTTTATTAATGAACAAAAAGATTACAGCCTGTAAAATTCAACTTTGTGATATGAATAATTCAATCTTAATTTTAATGAGTTTCGCATAGTTTGTTTCCTGTTTTTATTTGGTACTTGAGCAAACGCTTTACATCTGTTATAAGAAAACAACTGTCCACTTTATTTCCTTTCTGAACAATAAACTTAATTTTTAATTAACTGGTCTCTTACTTGTTCCTTAATCTAATTGTTTATAGGTGGATGAAGATGAAATGTCCTCGCACTTCGATTGTAGTGTTTTTTCTTTTCGAATGGCTCTTTTTTTTGATCCGTCTGATCGATATGTTATATTTAATTTTGGTAGCGCTTTATATCAAATCAATTCTCGGATTCGTCGATACAGAGACAAGGTTTATCGAACTTATTATTGTAGTACTATGTCTCAAGTATTCTAATAAAGTAGAAAGATTGCGGTTTTATTCATTTGATAAATCTAGCTTTCTTTGGATGATATTCGACATCGATGGGCAAACCGCCGAATCAAAGGCCTCCTCGAAGAAAGTCGACGTCAATTTGAGACCTGTCTATCACGTTTGCCGGATGGTGATGTAGACAAATGGCGATGTCACTACTTCCTAGCGAAAATTGCAGAAAAATGCGGAGGCGCTCTTGAAGATGTGATTTCTTTGAATTGAAACTAAATTTTTTCGAGTCCAAACCAATTCAGTTCGTTTTTAAAAAAATTTTTTTTAAGTGAATTTGCTTTTTGATTTAACATTTAAAAAGTGAATAGGGTTTAAGCTGATTTAGGTATTCCATCATTATCATGAATCAGCTCTTCAATTACAAACTGCAGGAGTTCAGTATCCGAGTAGAATCAATACCAAAAGGCAGGAGCATGTGGAAGCAATCGAGGTAAGTGATTTATTTTTTTTTTTTTTTTTTTTTGGTGGGGGAAAAGAGTGGAAAAGATAGCTTACATCTTCGTATATTTCTTAGAACTGCAGAAAAATTTAGTAGTTATTCATGAAGTGCAATACTATTATAGATCCATTATCGTGCTTATGCCTCTTTGCTGAAGTATTTACTAGAAAGGGAAACAGACTGGGATCGAGAGGACCTGATGTTAATGCACTCATTTGCTTTGTGCTTTCGGTTAGCTGTTGGCAAATTTCTGTCTCAAAAATTTCTAGATTTGAAGAAGTTTGGAAAAGTGAATACTTCCGATTCAAAAAAACGAAGTCATTTACAAACTTAAGGGAATTTTGAGCCGTCATTATTTGTGATTATCATTTATTTAAAATTTAAACGACTTCCAAAAAACAGTTTATGCGTTTAGTGTATAAAATAAAGTTTCAGAAACCATGGTGTTTGTAAACAAAAGGATAATGACGAATTCTCACAGTGCCCACGAGTAAAAGCAGTTGTTAGCAATCTTATGTATAGATGCACGGAGCCAATTGATACTGTGCAACGAGTGCTCAAGGATTTAAGAGAACGGACTGCCCTTAAATTAGAGATTCTGCAACTCTGTGAAGAAGCTTTCAACATTTGTATTCGTAGGTCTGCAACAATATTAATTTAATTTTATTTTTTATGTTTAAGGAGCTCCATTAATCGCATCTGTTCATATACTAACTAAAACAAAAAGTTTCGAATCCCTACAGTACCTCTAGTTTGTTTAAGAATGCAGGTTTCATTTCTTTTTGATAAAATGTTAGACAGTGATTATGCCTTGTTTCAGATTTCCACACTTTAAATCATACTATCGACTGTCGCAACTAGCTCTATACAAAGGAGATATCCTGGAAGCTTCAAATTATTTATTTGGTCGTTTCTTGATCAAGAAAAGGGCAAACTTTAATCCAGATAACATATTCGAGGTCATCTCTAGAATTCATTCTCAAATTAAAGGATTCATAAAAAAAGTCCCATCATAAACGGTTTGCAGAATGTGATAACGATTTTCTGTAAAGATATTGACCGGGGAGATGCACTTCAGTACCATCTTGCTCGTATCAGCGCTTTAGCAATATATCTCTCTGCTTTATTAGATGATTTCGAGGCTCTTGCAACCTTGATTCATACATTCTGCACATTGGATTTTTGTAATAATACGTAAGTGACACATACTATTAATAAACAGTGCAGTAGAGATTCTTTTCGCTGATTTTATTTTCTAATTTACTCTGCATTTTAACTCACTATATAAAATAAAAACAGGAAATTAAAATGAAGTGGATTCATTAGATAATAATGGAGCTCGAATTGTTCGAGCTTTTTTTAATATGAAAGTAAATCTCCCTCCTTTCTTGATTTTTACTAGAATAAGATTACAAATGAAATAAACTAAAGTCTTTACCGCCTCCCAGTCATGAATTAGAAAGAAGGTATATTCCTTGTTCTTTTTTTCAGTGATTATTTGTTGAAACGAGATCTGGTAGTGCTCTATCGTAATAGTTTGAGCAGATTTTTCGATTGCATACAGCGGAAGATAAAAAACAATACAGTGGAGAGCCAACTTCTCTCTTCGGTTTATGATCTTTATCAGTATGCTGAAAGGTAAATTATTGAAATTTTGAAAAGATATAAAACCGTATCGATATCACAATTATTCCAGGAATAATGTACTACGCCTCTGCGAACGAATTCGGCCAATAATTGTTTCAGCTACCGGAAAATTTACTGGTTATGATGAGAAGATTGAACCAATGTTATTTTGCAAGGTAAGAAAGCTTTGCTAAATGATACAATAGGAGGAAGAGAAATGAGATTTTTAAACATATTTTCCTAAGCAAGTCTAGTAAATCAATGACCTGACCTTCGTGATTTATCATTCTCGGCCAAGTTTCTAATGAAAAGCATGAAATCTTGCTTGAATCTTCAAAACTCGAGAGAATCTTTTCCAGCAACTCTATGCTGCTTCAAAGAGAAAGTTGGGCAAACGGAAACTGAGTAGCAGTTCAATCATTCAATCGAAGTCGTTCCGCCTATTCTCTAGTCCAAATTCCAGCCTTACATTTACATAGAGGTCATCCTCTGAAAAAATGTGTAGATCCAGGAACTAAAACACAATTCCAAAAAAAAACCTTTTCTATTCGAAAAACACTGGCAATTACTGAATGTAAGGCAATATAAGGCATGAAATTCCTATTTACCCAAATAAAAAAGATTAAATAACGAAGACGTGAGATGCTTGGAAATAAATTTTAATATTCAATTACCCGAAATCTTCCACAATACTTATCTATTTGCATGAAATACATGTTATGCAGATGGAAATGATAAAAACATATACATTACGAATGAAAGTGCTTTACTCACAGTTATTTGGAACTAGATACAAGTCAGTAAAAGAGTGGATTATGTGTTATCCAGTGTGGTTCTGGTTTATGTTTCGCCTCCTCGCATGTCGTGAACAATGATTTGTATGCTGCAGATGCATTTGAGTCTTGAATCGAGCTGCTTTTAGCAGTCGTTGCTTTCCGCTTTTCTGCTTTTCTGAGGAAACCTTTGAAATCAGCTGATGTTGCCGTCTGTCTATGGTCGTCTACCATCTCCTTTTTTTGAGTGGACTCGATCCCCAATTCACAAGTCATACTCAATTTTTTCTCCGTCAGTCCTAAAAAATATTTTATAGGAGAAAGTAAATTAGTGGATATTTTATAGGAGAAGTAAATTAGTGGATATTTTATAGGAGAATTAGTGGATATTTTATAGTGGATGTGGTTTCCAGCATCCAAAAGTATACTTGATTTTTTTAAATCTTTTATTCACGAAGTGACTGTTCATACGAAATTTTAAATGTATATTAGTGTAACTTCTAAAACTACAAATTATGTTGCTATGTGCCCAATCTTCATAGCACTGATCGTTTATACATATAACATATGTGTATACTAACTTGTTGTCTTACTTAATTTCCGTTTTAGTCGTTCTTCTTCGACCTGTTTATAAATCTCAAGGACATCTTGCGGAGGATTAAGTAAAATGAGGTCATCTTTGCTAAATGAACCTCCACAGCCATGGCATACATCTGGTTTCACTTCTTCAATTGCTTTTCCCGAAATTACACATCCGCATCGCCAATTAACAGTAAACCTGAACCACTACTTTTCACAATGAGAATAACAATCAAAAATGGAAGTTTCTTGTTACAAAAATCTTAATGGAAAAAATTCTTAATCGAAAAAATTCCGAAAACTTTTCCCATAACAGATTATAATTAGAAGCAACATTTGGGATTTCGCACTCGTAAGAAGGAAGACAATCAACACAAAAAAGACTGCTATAAAAAAACAACTAACAAACAGATACGTTATATATGAATAATTCGACCCATATGAATGATATTTCTGCAATATGTATTCGTTTATCAAAACATGTGCAACAAAATTGGAATAAAAATAAATGAATCAGTAACAGATGGTTAACGCAGATGTCCTCTATATTTATTCCTAATTATATAAAAGAAATGGAGAGAATAATAGATATGCAGAGATATAGAAGAAACACCAAGTCACAATCAAACACAGCAAAACTGAGAAAAGGAAATTTTCTCGTTTTCCTCTTAAAATCAGTAAGAAACATACGAATGATTGCCATTCATTGAAATCCCTGTGACTGGGCAGCAGAATGGCGCGATATTATGGTCTTTGTAGATATCTCCTTTGTCAGCACCGCTCTCTTTGTATTCCTTGTTGTCCGTTAGCTTCAATTCCTTAACATCTTTCAAACTTTTGATATGTTTAGCCACTTCATACTCACCAATTTTCTTCGATATGATAGCGTTAAGAATTTCCTCTTTATTATACAAGCTGAAATAACAACGTACATTAAAGCACTTAGAAATTGGAACTAAATGGGTCATCTCATCAATCAAATAGATCATACATATTTCAGTGAAAGAAGCACTTCCATGCAAAACAAATAGAAATAAACTAATGCTAAGAAAGTTTTTTCGGTTTCCAGGAACTCATCACACTAAAGTTGTCGTTAAAGCAAAGGCATTCCAATGCGGGAAATCATCGCATCAATCAAAGTAAAAGGTCACATACTTTCCCAATCTGCATGCTACAATCGGTCTCTTTAGCGGTTCCTGACTCAGTCGACATAACCTCCAGCGAGTGGCGTTCGCTATATTCTTATCCAGTTTCTCCTTCCTTTTCTTCTTTTTTACAAGCTCACAACGTTTCGGGATTGTACCACCATCCGCTCCCATTACACTTCCTGAACTCACTGTTATATATATATACTCAACTCCCCATCACATACACGGCCACCCCGCGTGTCTAATAGCCCCACACCACTTCAGTCCAAACCACTGATCAGCAATGAACCAGTCAAGAAATACTCCTAGTTGCTGTCTATTACGCCAACACCTAATGTACCCATTATGCAAATTGTTTGTCCAAGCCTCCCTTCTTCAACTCTCAGTCCTTCTCAGAAATTATTTGCAAATGTGTCAGGAATTGAGTACCAAACTTTTTGTTATCACCAAAGGTCATGAATAGTCTCGAACAGAAAGTTAGGGAATTTATTTCAAAATAATTTACTAATGCTTTCCAGCAAATATTACGTATGAAACAGAGTGCTGATTTCATGTTATACATGGAAGGAGGGACGGAAAAGTTTTCTTCATAGACGTTCTACCAGTTAAAGACTACTGCTAGCGAAGTAAACTGCTCGCCTTAAATGTGTCTTGCTTACTTGTTAGCATATTGTTTGACAGTTATTCGAATATGTTTATTTTTTTACCTTTGAGATAGCACAATGCCATCAAAACCACGCGTAGATAGGATTAAGATATGTTATACGGCAGCAATGCATTTAAACTATGGTTGGCGAGTGAGTGGCTATCCCTGCACTCCTTTCAACAACGCTGCAACTAAATATATCCCCCAATTGCATCGGATCACCGTTCGATTCTGCCGCAAAAATGAGTGCAGCGCTGGAGTAAGGCACTTCATAAGCAGTGGGTTATTGTCTCAGTTTGCATCAGAGAATCCGTCCATAGTTGTTTACGTACAACCCATCAGGTTTGTCAATTCTCCGTTTTTCTTCTTTATTTCAAAAAATACATATTATATGGTATATTCCTTTTTTTGCATATTCATTTTCGACATTCTAAGTAATACATCGAAAACGCACATCATTAGAACTAACAACAGTATTAGTTCAAGCTGTTGAATGACCATTACCTGAAATTGTTGTATAATCACCCGTTTACGTTCCTTTTGGAATGATTATATTATTGTAGCAATTTGTTTGCATAAAAATTAGACGTCAAGTGATCGTGCTAGTACACCACATGTTGACTTTCTGGAGGAAGCCAGTGTTATTGGCACGAAACTTTGTTCTTATTTTTCCATGCTTTTCGTCGTGCAAATGAAGATATCTTTACGACTTTATTAAGCTTTTAGAATAGGTGCTCAACTATTAACATTCGTGAAATGCAAAACGATAGCAATAGAAACTATGGATCAGTTAAAATTCATTTATAAAAGAAACAATACCCATTTATATGATTAGCCTGTGTATGTATTTGGATATAGTGTATATGTATTTGTTTCCATTTTTTTTTTTTTTTTTTTTTTTGGATATATTTGCTTCTAGGCAGAATATTCCAGTACTAAGAGCGGAGTATGGAAATGGACGCATAATCCAAATCGTTTTGAAGAGTTTTGATGCGGAGCAGGTGAAAAGACATTTCAATCTAGTACGGACTCGAAGCGGTCTTCCAGTAGTTGATCTGGTCTCGAGGCAGTCTGCTCATGTCGCTTCGGTGCAAGGAATGTGGAATCCAATGATCAACATCAGTTCTGAACTAAATGTTTCCGAACTGTCAGAGAAATTTTCGCGCCACCGTACTGCTAAATTGTCAGCTACGGAATACGTGTCGTCACTAGTTGACGAAAATGTTAGTGACTCACATTGATATCCTGTTACACATCTTGCAGATCTCCCTTTCGCAACAGAATTAGAGTGATTCTGCCTTGGGAAACTGACACCGTTGCATCAAGTCATTGCCAATAGCTTTCTTCAAACCTCTGTAAAGGTTCCTTTTGAAATATCTCTGATGAAAAGTTAGCAGGGATTCAAAGTATGTAGGTCATGCAGTTCCAGTTTTTTTCTGTCGTGTGTCCAGTTATAACAGCTGTTTTATACAAGTTTATTATCGAATTCTTTTACAAACTACGCAAATATCTTTACATACATAGTGAACTGGTTGTATAACAAAAACATGAAATATTATCACGGCATCAAAAATTAATTAATGAAAAGCTCATACATATTACCCAATTCGTTACCGTTGACCATACTGTCCCCATTGATCTGTATTCCACATATGTCTTCTGCTACCGGGTGCAACACTATCAGACCCAAAACTGGTAGTGGACGACCACTCATTACCTGACGATAGATCGAATTCAGATGGTACTGTTGGAAACATCTGAAATTATATACTAAATAGTGATGAAAGTGATTAGTGATGATTTTTTTTTCAATAGTGATGATTTTCCAACTAAAGGATGTGTAAGTTTGTCACACCTACTTCATTTGTACTTGTCCTAGAACAAAATAAGCAAATTAAATAACTGTAGTTTTGGATCTCATTCCTCTGATAAACCAATTTACCTGAGAACTGGTTTGCCAACTTTCATTTTCATTCATAACTATTACATGCGTAGCAATCACATATTCGAACTGTTCCGAATATGGATTTAAAAATCTGTGAGCAGTGACTGCGCATGGGACGAAATCTGTTTGTGTTCTTAATCGAACTGATATTTGTGTACCTTGGTCCTGCAAAACGACCAGATCAAGGCTAAAATAAGAATGATTCGGCAGAAGAATTAAAATACTTCTACTGAGTTCTGAAACAATGTGTCAACTGGCAGCAACACAAATTATAAGAGAAAAAATATTGTAGTATATTAAAATGTGCTTAGTATATTAAAAAAAAAAAAGAAGTTAAGACTTGAATTTTTACGCTAAAACTCTTAGAATAACTTATAAGTAGAAAGTAGCAAAGCAAAAATATGGTGGGAGTGCTATCACTTACTTGGATAATATGCATGAACGCATCGTGCACAATTTGTTCATCTGCAGGGTGTACAATTTGCCACCAGTAACGTCCTAATATCTGTTCCGACGGTATAGATAACAGAATTGCCGCTCTCTGTTCCACAAATGTTATCTAGAATGAGCACGCAATAAAACAACGCGCATTGATATTTCGGATGAGCATCACAAAAGATATTGAAACTGAAACAAAAAGGTTAATCTCACTTTTCCATCTTCTGCGAGTCTTACTGAAAACTGTGAAATGGAATTTTGTTCATTGCTGATCGGCATACTGGCAACTTGCAATCGTGCAATAGCAACAAGACAGCTCGATGGTGGTGAATGAAGTCCAAGACCGCTCGGTGGCGAATTTTTGATATAACCGGTACAATGAACTACCACATAATTGTGTCCGTTATGTGTAAAGATAGGCCGTCGATTACAGAGACGATGAAGAGGTTCCAACGGTCCCAGTCTCATTCTAGGCGAAACATGTATAACATCCAAATTATCAAACGTTGCTGTGCATAAACAGAGTTTTCATAGACTGTATTCTAGAACAACCAAAAACACTGTATCACCACATAAAAAAAAAACATTGCATCACCACATAAATATATCTTGTTTTTTGTTCTTTTCTACCGACAAAGAGAATTAAGAAAATCAAGCAGTTATAAATTGGTTTAACTCAAAATGAAAAGTTCTTACCTACAGATGAAACCACGACGGCAACTCATATGAACACGAATGGAACCCTGCTCTTTTTTAACAGTGCCAGTTTTCAAATCCAATACTCGATTCAAACTTGCTTCACTTCCGCATAGCTGATCCCTTACTTTTTCCATGTCGTCAGGATGTATCAGATCATAGATGACATGATGTATCCAGTCATCCTTAAGCACCAGTACTTTAGACCAATAACTAATGGAATGAAAAAATGGGGACAATGAAGCATAAGTTCCACAATAATGGAGTAAGAATTAATGCTATCAACAGTGAAATCACAAAGACATCTCATGATTCATCCATCTTCAATGATAGTTCCTTGCTACTTGAAATCAGGGGTAGTAAAAAAAAACCTGGTATTTTGGGATTTAGAACCCAATAAAAGCAAAAATATCACTATATATCAATTTTTACTCGAATCTTACCGGTAAATAAGATAAACTGAAAGCAGCTTTATTTCATTAGATGAATTAAAGTTATCTGAGAATATATGGTGTAATTTCGAGTAGTTAAAAACTAGAGTAGCTTTTAACACGTAATTTTAAAAAAGCTGAGCTGATAAATTCTCGACCTGGTGCATATTCAGAACAGGGACAACTGAATCGGCTACGTAAAGAATTCTTCCAGTATCACAACAAACAACAAACAAGAAGCCATTGGCCGCTTCTAAAATCAAATGTTTCAACTCTTGATCTGTCAAAAAAGATGGCTTATACGAAGCTTCACTTTGTGCGCCACCACGAATCGTCTGCAATATATGATTATCTACACTAATGCAAATATAAAGCATTTTAACTTGAAATATGGAAAATATTAAAAAACTGTTAAGAAGATTTCCTCAGACAGTTTTGCACACAGAGACCACCGGAACCTAAATTATCTACAATCTTCAGTGAGATAACTGGCGAACACTACTGTCAAGTCCATTTAATCCTCCAATATCTGCTCTATCAAATATATAAACAGCATTAGCTGAAGTTTCAATAAACCTTCATGTGAGAGACAGCCATGCGCAAAATAGTTAGCTTATCTGGTTTGCGACCAAGAGCAGCGCACTGAGGTACCATTTCCGCAAGTTCATTGATATACTGCGTCATTTTATTCCTCCTCCGTCGCTCAATTTCACTGTGATTTTCACGCGCGAATCGCTCTTTACTGTCCGATCCAGGATCTTCACTTTCACCAATTCTTACTCCCATTTCATCCATTCGCGCGTACTTTGACACCGATCCGTTTAATCCTCCAATATCTGCCCTAACAAATGCACAAACAATATTAGTTGGAGCTTTAATGAATTAGACTAATTTTCTTGAAATCCATTACAAAAAAAAAAAAATAATAATAAAAGGAAACAGTAAAAAAGAGACATTGTCCTATCACTACCAATCAGTAATCAAACACATAAATAACCGACATATTTTGCGGCCAAGCATCTAAAGACTGTGCTACGATTGGTCCGGGGACTGGTATTGCTCCCTGACCGCCCCCACTCGACATCTTACGCCATTTAGGTCGGAACAGTATCGAAATTTTCTGCAACATAATTAACAAATTTGGAGCGATTTCATTCAACGAATAATTTCATCCATTCACAGTGACTGATTTAAATGACTTTTATAAGAAACCATTCCGGAGAACTTCAATTTCTAACATGAATTAGACAAGATAAGAATCCAAATCCAGTAAGCTAAAAATAAAGAGTTAAAGACAGAAATAAACAATTCTGAACAATCTAAAAGATACGTTCGGCATATGTTCTTGTGAAATTAAAAAATACTTAAAACAGAGACGTGAAATTGCACTTTGGCAGCCTTAAAAATACTAGACATATACACTGGGAATCTATAATTACATGTACTGAAAATATTAATCCTTAACGTTATCGAAACGTAGCGAAATAATTAGAAAACGAAGGGTATAAAGGTTAACCTGAATTGTACTAAATTGCCCTTAAAGCTGCCCATTCAATTAAGCTATTTGTTTTCAAAAATCATTCGTCCGATTCTCAGATTTACAAGGACTGTCCATTGGGGAATCTGAGTACCATCCTGGTGCGATTTAAGAGGTACGCACAGCAAGGCTAGTTAAAATAAGCAATCCAAAACTCATGAAGACATCATTAAATGAGCCAATGCATCATCCTTCCAACAATTCTTCTACATAGTGATACTTTTCTCTTTCTAGCAAAGAACCTGTACAGGACGAAATGAATATTAGAAAGTTATCAAACACAAAAACACTTTTCTGATATGTCAGTACGGATTTCTATGTTCCCAGTCACTAAATATCCACTTCCTTAACGCGGTCTAGTGAAACATCCTCAATAGAAAGTAGGTGACAGATGACGACAGACACGACTGTCCAGTGCATCCTCATAACAGTCCAGCAATCAGTCCAAATGCTGCATACAGATAAACAACCTTCGTAAAAGGTGTGAAAACAGAGACACAGCACACAGAAACACTGCTCGCTCGATCCACTGCACTGAGCGGTTGTGAGCTAGGTGTTGCTGCAATGTCTAGGGGAGATGTCGTCGCATGCGCTGCTCTCTCTCTCGTCACCACACCACCCCATAAAGTAAACATTAATGCACTAGTAATATAGTACACCACAACTGCATCACTAAGTCACAACATTCTGCGTGTCGCGTCCTGTCCACCCAGGTACTCATTCACTGGTCACTTGTTCAGGAGACCTGTCTAATCATTCTTTGAATATGAACTCATGAAAAGCTGGTGATATGACGTTATCCATTAAGTAATAAAACATTCTCAAAAAGAACTCGGGCGAGTCCGCTTCGGTACTTTGCCGATAATGAGAGCAGTATTTTGCATGGATGATACACACAGCAAGTAAATCGATGGCAGTTGTTATAACTGCTAATAAGAAATGATGATCCAGTTTCCGTGAGGAACTGCAAATCACAACCTTCAACATAACCTGATTTTATATCCGGAATTGAGATTTACAAACGAAGAAGTTTGGAATCGGAGAGTGCCACGACCATTACGATGTGAAGTGGAAACGAAATTAAGGTGGAGGTGGAATATAGGAAGGAATAATGAGTCACTAAACGGCCACTTTGTACGGGACGTACGGGACACATAATGCAGCACTTTGACAGAACGACAATAGAGAACGATTGATTTCGTATTCAAAATTCAGACTTTCACGAATACTTGGAACGAAGAATACAAACGTGCACTCTCGACTGGTCCACAACTTCCAAACAGTAAAATTGCTAAGTAAAATGCGTACTTACGCAGGACTGCTTTTGCGCTGCTTTACGCTACTCCATTTCAAATGCAGGGCGCTAAAAAAGATGTTTAAATGTCGGTTGCTTGGTGTCAACTTAGTGACGTAAGACTATTCGCGTCAGTAGATTATGAAAAGTACTGAAGGAGTTCATGCGGGATAAATAACGATTTACAGTATTTTGTATTTCTACAAAGGTGATGGAACTGCCCAGTTTGAATTCACTAACTTGTTCCAATTCAAAATTCAGAATTAGTCAACAAAAACTGCTTATGGCAAGCAATAGCGATTGATCAGTAGATCGGAATAGAGGAAGATTTTTTGCTTTTTTGCATGACCTTACCGCAAATTCTTCTCTCTTAATGTTTAGTGTCATTTAGCACTGTCGTCTAACTCAACCGTGTTTGGACTGAGTTCTGCTCATTCATCATCAAATTTAGCAATATATTCCCTAACAAGAACGCATCAAAAATTAGTGTAAGTTGGTGATCAACACTCTATACAGTTTGTCGTTGTCACTCAATAACAAACTTTTGCCAGTCCTGGTGGTTACCAATATGGGGATATTACCAATAATAGGCTATTTTATTCATTTACAATTGTAAGCCTTTTCAAAGGATTATTGACGGTTTTTATGAACGAGGATGTAGCCGGAACGAAATCGTGAGTTATAAATGAGGGATTTAATGATATTAATTCAGTATGGCATCTGGAAATATCGGAAGGGATAATGACATGGAGCTTAACTTCGAGATCACCGATCAAAATGGTCGGGATGCCACGCAAGATTCATTAACGGAAGAAGCGAAGTTCCTTCTCACTACTCATAAACCGACACGGGTATTTTCTACACATCAAGTTGAAGCTTCGATTGTGTTTTTCTGATGAGATTTAGTCTTTCAGATCGACATTTTCCAGAAAGAGCGGGCGCTGTCAGATTATCGAAGTAACACGCTAACTCCCAGTACAGTTAAACGCACAAGGTTATGTACATTGCCTGGAATTTGTTTTAGGTATTAGTTGTTCCAAATTTACAACAGAAGATTTTTCAGAAGTGTTTTGTCAGATGCAACACCTGTCTCGGCAGCAGCTTTCAGTGAAGGTGATTTATGATTATGTTTTCTTTGTGTTCATCAAAATGGAATTGTTAATAAATTTCTGGTTTTGACCATAACTATTCTTAAATACTGCTTTATTTACTGAAAATTTAGACACGTTATCATCTCCGCAACACCATACTTATCTAAATATTGCTGAAACTAAGGAGGAAAACAAACAGCTCAGGGAGGAAATATTCGACTCGAAGTCACAACTGCTTTTGTTGAAAAGAAAATTACTACCAATATTAGACAGTCAAGGAAAGGATTTCAGTGAAGAAGTAAATCATTTTGATTTTCCACTCATTCTTAATTTATTTGTTGAATGTTCAAAAGAAATAGACAAAGACGAAGAAGATAACTTATCCAAATCTGTTGATATTATCTCATTCCTAAACATTGATTTTTTTCAATATATTTGACATTCAGGCCTCATGTACAGAAAATTCTATCCACAAATTTTTTTCTTTGGTATTTCAATATCCTTTTTTCCAGTACCTGATGATGCTGAAGGGACTGGATAATGAAAAAATCCGGCAAGCAGAATTGAAACAGATATGTCAGTTACGAAACAAAAAACTCGATGAAGGAAAATCGCAAACCTTAAGTGAAAGAAATGATTGGGAAAAGGAGCGCGAAAGGCTGCTTATGAATATGAATGAACTTACATCCGAATTGAAAAAGGTTCTGCCATGGCTTTTTTTCCAGAAATTGTTGAAATCGTAATGCTACACGGTTTTTTGGTGGAATTTGGTTGTGCTTCAGGAATGTATTATTGATTCTTTCAGTTTAATTTCTTCATTTTTAGGCACGCCAGCAGTTACTTGAAAAACACGGTGAACGTGATGATTGCAATGAAAGTCAGGGCGACAGTTCTTTGAGCACTATCTCGCTAATATCGGAAAGAGGCATGTAAGTTCAAAACTAAAGTAGCCTTATTGTCTTGTCAATAAAGTTGCTGTATATTTTGATCTATTTCAATCCTTTTGTTTAAATCGTTCTATCATTTAGAAGGGGAATCCCATTTGAGATTGATTAATCATTCCAAATTTGCGCAGGGAAATCGAGAGACTGCGTTCAGCAGTTCTTCAGCAAAATGTCGATGAGAAGAAGTTTCGAATGGAAATGGAACAAAACATAATTCAATTACAAGAACAGCTGAAGCTTGCTCAAGATAATTTGGCGAAGCAGAATATTAATTACACAAAAGAGAAAACGCGCTGTGAGACATTGAAAGCTGAAATGACAAAGCTTCAGCAGGTTGTGACCGAAGCTAGACAGGAAGTAGAATATCAGAAACAGGTTTAATCCTTCTTTGTCAATTTCAAATAGTTAACTGTAGAAATAGAGTTTCAGTCGCTCTTCCTCTTCCTGTATTGTTTGTCTTAATTTTGGTTTTTGAGTTTCCTTCGAAGCGAATTGAACCGGTTGTTATAATTGTTAGATTTATATATTATAAAAGTGATATATGTTTTCCAAATGATGCGTCTTCAATATTATTATGAATATTATGCAGACCTGAGAATAAGCTCCTTGATTATCTTCATTCCTTAAAGAAATATTGTTCAATATAGTTTTTCTAGATCTCTGAAGAGCAACTGGCTAAAGCTCATGCTATCAATGAAATTGCGTTGAATAAACGAGACCGCACTATTCGTATATTGCTAAAGAAATTGAAATCAGTTGATGCTCAAGCATCTTCCACTTCGAAAATCGTGAGTTTGTTCAAGAAAAATTTTTAAACCAAACTTCAAAATATTATGTATGATTATTAAGGAAGCGAGCAATTTGTCGTCACTGCGTCATGATGTTCCGAATTTGAATCCCTATGCTCAAGCAATACTACACCGAATTAATGAGGTTCGTTCATTTCTATTACTGCATCCCTATTTCTGTGTCATAACACGGAAGTAGTTGAAACAACTATTCTTGCCAATTTTCTATTTTGCACTTTTCAGTGTATCTGCTCTGCACAACATTGTTAAGTTGCAGTGAAGAACATCACATGAATATTTACAGTTCACTGTCGAGAATGATGCTATTCGAAAGAAAGTGATTGAATGGGGTGCTACAAATATCGATTTAACAGCAGAAATTGAATCTAGCGAAACGGCATCCACTGAAGATGAGAGCTCTGAATGGAATACGAAGCATTGTGAACGCGAGGTGCGAAGCTGCATTTATTAGGAAATATTAAACTTTAGTACTCGAATAAAGATTCGAAGATATATTTGACTTCAAATTATAAGCTGTCAGAAGTTTAACCAATTCATTTGCTGAGGCCTGATTTGAAAACTGTGATTGAAAAAGATAAATAGAAAAATAAATTATTTGCTTGAATACAGATTAAGAAAAAACAGATTCACACATTCACTAATAAAGATAATATGATTTTGAACGGTTTTTTTCAGAACGAAAAATTGGCAGTATTTCTAGCGCAAAATAAAACTATTCCTGATATTTCAAATGAAGAAGAACTGAGAGAAAAACTTGCATTATTCGATGCTGTAAATGATTCTGGAAGGAAATGTCCGAAAGAGGAGTTAGATGATACTCCACGAAATATGAGGGCTTCTGAGATGGTAATAAGTGTTGACAATGTTCCTATACATTTTTTGAAGCAGTTGATTTCTCAGTAGTTTGTTGTCCAAACATATTGAAGTTTTCAGTTGAACGTAACATCAACAGCTGATCTTTTGAGCAAATCTTTGACACTGACAGAAGATCTTGGTGAGATTAAGAAAAAACTTTCGGTTTTGCAATCTTCTTGCACTCGTCTCTTTGAGAAATTGCGAGGTACGGCTAACTTTTTGCAGGTTAGTTGAACTATGAATATTATAACCAGTAGTTTATGTAGATAGTTAGACTAAGAACTTAATTAATTTATTTCTATCGTTTCTCTGAGTCTAGATATAATATTAGAACATAATATCATATGATCTTTTATAGTATTGCTCTATGTTTAATGATTTAATGGCAGAATTGTTCTTATTTATTTATTTGTTTATTTTTTTACTAGCACTACATCGTTTGATAATTTTTAACATGATTTTTTTAGACTCTTCTTGATGAACTGGGCTCAGGCGATCAAGGTAGAGAACTGCTGGCTAAGATAGAAGCACTTCGTATCGATCTTGATTACTCTCTGGCAACAGCTATTGATATTAGTCGTGACGTTGAAGGTATTTCAAAATGCACATCGGTTTAATAAAGTGAAAAAAAAAGTCAAAAGTCATCATTTACGAAGTTATTTGGCAATAAAAATCAATACCATTGTAGATTCAGTTCAATTTTAATTATGACTTTCATTAATTTCAGTATCGTATGTGTGTTCATTTTTTAGCCGCAGAGGAAGGCGTCGGAGATTTGTCTGCTCATTTGCAACAATCATTACTGAATTGTTCGTTCGGTGTATCATCGGTACCATCTAATGAAAATCAGGTTTCTTTTTTAATGTCTTAACTGATTTCCAGCGATTGTAATAATATATCTTTGTAACTGAATAAATGTAACATCTGTTACAGGATGCTCTTTCACGGGCTCAGAGAGCTTGTAGACGATTAAATGTCGACTTAGCAAACGAAAAAATGAAAGTAAATGAATCCACTAAACTTAATGAAAAGCTTCAAGCGCATGTTGCCGACTTGGAAGAATCAAAGGAAAAATTGATCGATGAGCTGAATGAATTGAAGAAAAATATGGCAGAAAAAAAAAGTGAAATGATTTCATCGGTGAAAGATATGGAAATACAACTTCAGCATAAGAATCAGCAGTATGATGAGCTCTGTAAAAAAGTCGAGGAACTTCAGCAAACAGTTAAGGCGAAAGAAGTTTTCGCTGCGGAGAGGGAATTCGAGATGAAGCAGCTAAAAGATCAAATGAATAAGAAGTGTCACGAATTGGAAGTTCAAGTTAAAGAAATTACTAACAATCTGAAAGTAAAGGATGAATCAATCGAAGTAATTTCTTAATTGCTTAATTTTAAGCCATATGTACTCTTGGGTCCTAATAATTAGCAGTGAACAGAGAATATATATTCTTTGTTCACTAAGCATCATCGTTTCTTCTCCATAGTCCACTCTAAAGGTCAAAATTTTCTTACAATTTTAGAAGCATTATTATCCTTTGTTTGAACTAAATTGTATATTACTTTGTCTAAAAAATTGTCAGTTTTGTATCATTTGGCTATATCTTTTCTGACAAAATAGCGTTCGATATAGAAAATTTGAACTCAGGATTTGTAGGAGGAAAAAAAGGAGAAATATTATGAAGTTAAACTTGCATATTATCTCACATCTTTCAGAAACTTCTAATTGATGTTGAAAATTATAACGACCAATTGTCGTCACGTAACAATGAACTAGCTCATTACAGAAATGTATGTTTCTCATTTTTATTCTGTTATCTGTAGAATATATTATTTTTGAAAAAAGAATATGTTTACATTACAGGAGATTATTGGTTTAGAGAACAAAATGTGCGAATTGATTGGTACTTTAAGAGAAAATTTGGGAATTGTTCAGAAACAAGTTGACAAACCAGTTGTGGAAGCTGAAAATATGGAAATAGCTGCATTAACTCAAGTCAGTGATTAGGAACCGTTATAACAAATACCATTAAGGTTGTTTATAGTTAAATGTTGAGTGAAAAAATCTGTCAGTGTTTTTTTTTTTTTTTTTGCAGCTATCGCAAATCGCAGCAGATTTTGAGGAATTAACTAAAGTCAGTAATTATATTGCTGATTTAAAAAGTCAAATGGCTAATCTTCAACAGAAATTGGATCTATGTGAAAGAAGTCGTAATGCCATCAGTTTAAAATGTCGTGGATTGTCTGACCAAAATGCTTATCTTGAAGTAAGACAATAATTCATCAGTTTTATGATAACCAAAATATTTTTTGTTCTTTCATCATTCATAGTGGTGCTGTTGCTGTGAATTTGTCCAAAAAATCGTAAATTAGTTCACTGGCATTTCTTTGTGTCCGAATGCTTACTCTCCTTAGTTATAAACCACGTGTAGTTATTTTTTTTAATTATAAGGTGCGTTTTTGTTCGTTACATTTGAAAAAATCTCCAAAAGGTTTGAGAGAGTAGCAGCATGTGTTACCAAATTCTTGCAAAAATCACTTTTATTTCAGGCAGAGCGTAATGGAGACAAGCAAAAGTTATTCACTCTTCAGCAACAAATACAAATAGAAAAAGAGTCGATGAAAATGATGGAAAGAGATTTACAACGTTTAAAATCTGAAAATAGTTATGTCAAGGAAAATGTATATTTTCAACACATGGTTTTTTTTTTCACCAGCGATCTTTTCGTTATTATTATTATTTTTTTGTTTTGTTTTATAGAATGAAAGATTAACGAATATGTTAGTGAACGTGGAAACAAAATACGAAGAATTGATTTCGAAACCAAATCATAGTTCTCTTTCCGAGAGGCAGCATTCGGAGCGATATACAATGGTGAGTAAATGGTCGAGATTTTTAAGTAACATCTTTTAACAATGTTTAATAACGTGAGTATCAGTGAATTTGGCTACCGACAAATTTTATTATTCCAGACTGTTAGTACTATGACTGTTATCTCTTCGCATGATTTTGTTGAATTGACGGATAAGGCAAAAACACTTGCTTCATTCACGAAACGAATGTATACACTTGCAGCCCGATGGAATGGCGAGACTGTTGTTACCACCATGTAAACATTTTTTCTCTAAGGACTTTCACCCATTTCACCAAGGACTTTCAGTAAAAAGAATTGTTTTTACGGCATCGAATTGTTTTTCAGTTGCTGAAATTATAGTATTTTGCAATTAAAGAGCAGGAAGTAATGTTAGTAATGTTATTTGGGATAAAGAGGCAGTTCATATCACAGCTTTTTCGAAGGACTACCATTCGAATTTAATTAAATTGAATCGGAGATTTAGCAGTTGTGATTCTGAATTGAATTGTAATATTTAAATAATGATAAATAATATTATCTTGGATATACAGCAAAAATATTTAGGATTTCATATAAACAGGCTGATCTAGATCATCTTTATCACACTTATGCCCGGATTTTGAATTGCTTGTCAGATGGATTCAGTGAACTACGAAATAGGATAGTCTTGGGCAAAGTCAAGCTACAGTCGATTATTTCTGAAGAACAACAAAATTCTCAACAGTAATTAATTTCTACAGTTCTTTTTTTTTTCGAGGATTATTCAGTTATATGAGTTAGTCTTTGGTGTGGAACACTGTAATCGAAGTGCCAAGCCTCTTTCGATAGGTTGTAATCTGTATCATTTTTATGCCGGATGACAAGACTAATCCGTACAGAAGTCACTAAGAGATGAGGAATCCACATAGGTCGAACAAAATGTTTGCGAACCTTATTTATGGTTATGTAAGAAAATTATAGCGCTTGATATTTTCTAGGACTAAAAGTGGAAATTCAAGATCAAGTAATGAGGAATTGAGTACGAACTGTTTCATCCCTGTAGACGGGTCACAAAAAGGTAAGAGCCATTAAAATAAATTTTACACAAATTAATGAGAGAATTGTAATGGATCAAAATTTTTTAGAGCTGCTATCAGTTGATCTGCGAACACTTTTCAATGATGCCGACCAAATTGTTGAGAAGCTTAGTGCCATTTCAAATAAACTAGTAAGAGTTTCATTTCCGCATGCTATTATTTTTAGCCAAAATAAGTTTTTTCTCTCTAGAGAGCTTATATCTTATTAAAAACTTATTCAAAAACATTTCAGCATAATGCAGAAATATTGGAAGTGCTGTCGAACATGAGATTATTACAATTTCAAATTGATTATCTGTGCGAACATTCGCGACATTTTGAGAAAACTAAAGAAAATTTTGCTCCGGTGATTTTCTTTCCTTGAAATCTTTGTTTCTGAGCGGAAGATAATTATTTTTCAAACATACCATTCATGATCACTTCGCTAACTGTGCTGATGAGTTTTCATATCTGTGCTCCACTCTTTTTCTTATTTGTTTCTTTCTCATAGTTTGTTTAATTTCTTCGAAATTGTTTATCAGATATGTAATCCGAAAATGTTTAGATGGAAGCACTTCAATTAGAAAATGATCGTTTGCAAACAGCACTTACCGATGCAAGAATTTTGCTACAAAGAGCTCATGAACGACTGAATAAACTGGTGAGTTTTAAATTTTGTTTTTCTCCGGCGTTTTTTTTTTTTGGGATAAGAGCATTTTCGGAATTTAAGTAGGAGAATTTCCAAGTGCTGGAAAATGGAAAATCATGATTTGCGAAAAGCAATAAGATCTATTCAAAGAATGATGAGCAATGATCAGTTGCAGCCTAATTCGAAAGATATGTGCGAACAGATATTGTGTGAAATGAACGAAATTAGTAAAGTAATGAAGGCGACAACGCGCGAGGTACATCGCATAGGAAGCCATTCAAGAGTTGTAAAAAGCTATAAGTAGCTTACCATTATCAAATTTCGTTTGAATTCATTTCCTAAATTGTCTTGATCCTACCATATTTATTCTCACATTTATTAGTCACTTACATCTTTTTCTTTGACCAGAAGTTTTACAACTAAATTTTCTGCTTCTGGTTTATGTATATTCACAGAAAAATAACTAACAACCTACCCTTGGAGTACTGCACATTCACATTTCCACAATACATAATGTGCATTTTACAGATTTGCTTTTAGATTTCTATTATTTGAATAAAGGTTTCTGCATAGTCCATCGAAGTTGGCTTCCAGTAGTTTTAAGTTATAGAAAAAACTCCTTTGATATTCTTTGTAATATTTTATAAGATTTTTTAAAAACAACGTATACTTTTGGCAGATAACTGATATGAAATATTAAATGCAACACTATAGAAATACAAAAAATTATGCTAACTTGTTAAATAAAAGTAAAGTAATAATCATTCAATACAAAAAAAGAAATAAACTTTGCAGAACACAAAATAGGTATCGTCAGTTTAGCATAGTCACGATTATGTAAAGAGATATTATTTCATTTCCCAATACAAAATGAAGAAAATATTTCGTCAAGAATTTGTTCATTCACAACTATACCTGACATCTCGCTAATGCAATCCGAAACGTCGCGTAACAGTTCTGCTGCAATGGCAACATCCTTCGCTTTCAGTGCCTTGAAGTTAAAATAAAAAGCTAGTAAGAGTTTTAAATCTAAACTACGATGAAACTTACAGTGATAAATTTCCCCAACCACAAGTTATCAAAAAGGAGTATGTTACTTCATTTAAGAAATGTTAAGATCACAAAGAAAAATGACTATTTTGTGATGCTTTTTTTTTTTTAAAAAGTGATCAAAAAAATTAAATAAAATACCTTTGCAAGCACAGAAATGGCTTCTTTTACCAGTAACCGATGAACCTGACTACTAACAAGAGCGCTATTATCGGAAATTGGACACAGCTCATCGATATAATCAGAAATAATTTTAAGCTGAAAAAATTAAAACGAACAAAAACAACTAAACGGAAAGATAAACATATTGTCATCAGTAGTGCTTTCTGGTTATATCTATTAAATTTATTTGTTACAATATACTCAAATCTTGAATAACATTGTGACAAATTACAGACTAACCAATGAACTGATCCCTTCACCAGAAATACATGATATGCTAATAGTTGGCCACGGAAGGAGTATATTATTCGGAACACTGCGTAAATCGCACTTATTCAGGGCAACAAAAACAGGTGTATCTTTTTTGAGATTACACCAAGAAAGCACTGAGCGCACATCCCTTTCGAAATCCTTGCACATGCTACTATCTAATACTACGATTATAATATCGGCCTCCACCGCTCTATAAATATCTATTTTATGAACTTTATGTAATATCTAATATACTCGATCACAACAAAATTATGGAATTATAAAATCAAACTTCTCTTTATAGATTATTTACATACTTCAATTTATGTTCTAATTAATATGAAATCGTACTTTAACATACTGGTTCCACAATTTTTTTAATTAGAGTTCTAGTAGTTTTAACATACAACAGAAAGAGGAGTAGCAGACCCTATAAAATAATATGAAATAATGCTTTTAAAAAAAGAAATAATGCTTTAAGGTTTAATATTGTCCCACTATTTTGAACTAACAGCAAAGGAAAAAAAATTGGATGAAGTTTCTTTCATGATTTCTTTTTATAAAGCCTGAGTTAATCACGATGGGGAATGAACAACCTTCTCAATGTCCTCTGGATGCCTTCTGCTTCAAGAGAATCCAAAGGAATTTCACGAATTCCTGCGGTATCAATAATGGTCACAGGGACAGAAGAAAGTTGAACTGTTACTTCCAATGAATCACGAGTTGTTCCCTCAATGCTGGACACTATAGCCATGTCTCGGTTTGCTACAAATATTTTATTCATGCACACAAAAGTAAATTTCTTATTAAGTGAATCTTGTGGAAAGTCAAAAATTACCCATATGATTGAATAAGCTGCTTTTTCCAACATTTGTTTGTCCTAGAATAACGATCCTTAAGCCTTCATTAATCAACGCTCCTCGCTTCATTTGTTCTTGAATGCAGCTCAGCTCACTAATTATTGAACTCATTGCAACACGAATGTCTTCCCACTGGAACTCAACATCATCTCCGAAATCAATGGATGCTTCCACAGAAGCTCGTACTTCAATAATTTGCTTTCTTATATTTCCCAATGCTTCATCTGTAAGAGATGGTAACAGTAGCACTACTTATACGAAATAATGTTATCGTTACACAGCCATTACCATTAGCAATTCTGAATATGTATAACTCACTTGCCTAAAGTGTTCCTATGTAAAGCTAGACGCCTTTGACGCTGTGTTCGTGCAGCCAAAAGATAAGCAAGTGACTGTACTTCATGCAATGTCATCTTTCCATTGAAAAATGCCCTAAAAAATTGAACTTGAAATTCAGAAATATAGAGTATACACATTTAAGAAACATAATTTAAAAAGGCAAATTTGCAGTACGTTCACAGATTTGAAGAACCAAATTAAAAAAGGTTAAAAAGGTCAAACATTTTGCCTTACCTTTTCGTAAATTCTCCAGCCTTTGCTGGCTGCACATTGTCAAACTGAGCAAGCGCTTCCAATAAACAATCAACAACTGCTCGACTGCCGTGCACATAGAATTCAGCCACATCTTCCCCTGTTGATGTTTTCGGACCTAACGATATAAATTATTGACCTAATGTTAATTTGGCTTATTTAAAAGAGTTTTTAAAATCATGATTCATAATTTCTATCATTAATTTTTTTAAGAAATTTTTACCATGGATGCAATCATGAACTATTCATGTTTATAGCAACTATGTTTATTACTTTAGTTATGTTCAGTTTTAAAGCAAAGAATTAGTAAGAAAACTAAACAAAGCGAATGCAGAAAATAGACCAGCAAAAAATTTATTGCGAAGAAACGTTTTCGGCTGAAAAATAAAACGGCTAACATGACTCTCTAATAAAATACGATATTTCCGAAAAAAAAAAAAAACAACCCGGCAAAAACACCGCCATGCCTCGATCAATAAGTTCTCCATCTCGTCGAATATTCGCATAGAACAATTCCCTAGGCAGAATTTTTTCCCGACCCGTGAGCTCTTCCAAGCATCGCCGACTTTCTTTTCCTATTTTGCAGAAATTTTTTACAAAAAGAGAAGGGTATGCTATTAGACAAGATACCACAAGTAAAGATTCTAAGCTACGTAAGAAATTCCAGAAGATTAAATGAACCAACCAGAAACTCGGATAACTGAAATGGCGGCAGGTAACGCACCCGAACTCATAGCAAATATGGTGGAATAACGCCTCAGATGTCTCAATACTGCATACGCCTCAAGCATTCCCTCATATGATGAATCTGAGAGGTGTAATATACTAACAAAAACTCATTGTTCTTGATATCAACATTCAATCACAAACTTCACACAAAGCCTATTACATACGAATTAAGCACCTCAAAGAAATTACGTGCATTAAATTGGAACGAAGCAGTTCAGAATCCTATAATTTGACAGAAGTTAAACAATAGTGGTAGGTAAAAACTGTCACTACTACTAATAACTTTAATCTTTAAATATGCATAGGAACTACTGACATAACTGGATAAAATTTACCATATCTTCAAAACAAAAAATCAGAAATATAAATTGTATGACGTACGAAAAACATACGTCAATATCGAAAAAAAAATTGCACTTTTTTTTCTCATTCACAAGAACCATAAAAAACATATAATCAGATTTTTTAAGATCTCCTAGTGTTATCTTAACGGCTTTACAATTTGACATGCTCTTGAATTCATTTCACCAGAGTGCTTCATATACTTAACAAGACTAACGCTTTACCCTTTAACTTGGAATCCCTTTAACTTCCCAATTTTGAAAATGAAGCATAAGAAAATTCATTTCATAATCAAAGCTTGATTATTCGCAAGAACAAAAATTAAAATGAACATTATGTCGTAATATATACAAATTCTAACAAATGCAATCATATATTCTAATCGTTACAACATATCCAATTATATTCTAATGATGAGATGTCAGAAATGCAGGAAAAACAGAAAGCAGAAAAAAAAACATGGAGTTAAACCTTCATAAAGGAATGAATTTTGAATCCAAAGTCCCTAATTAAGGAATTCTAAAACTCACTGATACAGACAAGGAGGGACAAAATATTTTGGATCTTCTAAATAGCAAATCATATTTGATGGCAAAGGTAAAGATGCAAGCAGTTCTTTTTCAACACAGTTACGTATGACCACTCTACACAAATATTTCAAAGATGGCAGAAGTTCATGTCGACGTAGTAAGTGATTTAGTTCAAGGGTCTCGATTCCTGTGCTATCACTTTTTGGATGCATCAACATGCAAATTCTCCTTTTGCAACAGCTTTGCAACGAATTTTCGATGAACGAAACTAATGAATTCGCTTTCACCAGTGAATTTGGTCCTGAAATATGCAATTCCTAATTTCAAAATATGGCAGTGCCTGAAAGAATACTCAAAGTCCTGTCCAGAAAAGGAGGGAGAGGGGACGGGAGATTGCCCTTTGAGGTAACAATCAAAAAAGATTTTACAGATTAAAACTGAACATATCATTACACGCTTTTCAATTAACTCGAACTCCTCCCTCCCAAAGTTTAATTTCTTCCGAAGCTGGAAAGCTGCTTTTTCCCCAAACCAAAATGAGGAGAGAACGTAGAGCCATAGTGATTCTACTAATTTTTGCAGACTATTTACTAAGATACTCAAAGTTCTACGAAATCCAGTGCAACACATTGTTACTTAGTAGCGTAGCTAAACGCCGAACATGTAGAAATAGCAGCTTTAACGGATAAAACTGTTCATTTGAATTCAGTTGATTGCACAGCCAAATTAATTCTCCAAGCATAATAATAATAATGAATAATAATAGTAATAATAAATAGAAATGATAATAAACGATGACAATAATTAACAACAATAATAATAATTAATGATAATAAACAATGATAATAATTAATAATAATAATAATAATAATAATAATAATAATAATAACGATAATAATAATTAACAATAATAATAAATAATAATAATTAATAATCATAATAGTAATTAATAATAAACAGCAATAATAGTAATAATAATAATAATAATAATAAACAATAATCAAGGATCCGATTTAATGCTATATATTTCACTGAATTATATTAAAGAATTAAATTACCACCAAGACAAAAATTTCCACCATGTTGTGCAAGACGCGTATGATGAACAGAATGTTTTGTACGATATGATATTGTGAAAATATAGCGATCACTAGCAGAATCTCGAACGAGATAGGTTCCTGGTAACTGACTCATCAGTACCTTCTCTGCATCTTTCCATGACATATTTCCCCAATACCAAGAACTCTATAACTGTTAACATCTAGATGAAAAATGGAATGGCATTTTGCACTAGAAGTTAGTGTATAATCCGGTATCAATAATAAATGGGAATAATCCATGCTTATTTCGAATAATCCATGAATATTCTACAGACCTATACAACCAAAAATAAAACTACTCCTCGTATTAGTTTCATTGTTTGAGAGAACTGAACAGTATGACTTGCAGCACTACGCTCCATCCATACGTCCCGTCTCACAACATCTAAATCTTAAATACTTCAATATACCTTTTATGAAAAAAAAAAAAAAAGACGCTGAAAATAAGCAACAGAGAAATTATAAGAATCATTAAAAGCAGAAATATGCATCGAAACAAATTTGCACCAATATATACTTTGTTAAATCCATCAAGAAACCACAGTACTAAAAAGCGAATCAAAGACAGCTATAGCAAACCGAAGACAGTTATAGAATATAAAAAGTAAGCCAAAGACTTATTAATTACTTTTTATTAGATGCTGTACAACATTTAATAACACCAACAAAACATTATGTAACAAATTGGGAGATCTGTTAAATAACAAATTTTAGAAAAGACTGGAAGGTCCAGGAGCAAGTTTATGGGGCAGATCAATGGCGGTATTCATTTGCGTGTGTGAAATATATTTTAATTTATTTCGCATAGATGGTGACAATCGCTGTATTGCTTGTTCTGCTTCATTCTTGACGAAATCACCAACGTACATATATTTCATATGGTATAAAAAATCGCAGATTGAATCTTCATATTTTAGTACGCCTACTCGTTCGTTTACTTTTACCGTCATCTTGTAAACATCTACAGCAAGCTAAAATCATTTTTTTTCCATAGAAAAAAAAAACTATTAATACATGAATATAACACATTTTCAGATTCATTAGTTATATTTTTTTTTAGCTGATTACTGTCAGTTTGTCTTAAAATTTTAGTTCAATTACGGGAACAATCTTTTGTCCTATAAAAAAGTTTCCATTAAGCATAACCTTTCCTTATTAACCACAACAAATATGTAAACTTAAAACAGTATTAAATAGAACAAGGACATACATCCTGTATTTGCTTGCTTCTCTCTTTGGCATCATAAAATCGCTGTAAAATGGGCACAACGAGACGAAGCACAAATATCAGTTGCGCTTCCGTGACTAATTTTGGTGCAAGCTGATCACGTACAAATTCAGGTAAAGCTGCTAGTGAACTCTGAAACATCAACTTATTGAAATTTAATTCATTAATATACGTGAAAGTAACAAGGAATTTCTAGGCTCAGCAATCATCAAATAAACAAAGAAAAAAGTGTTTTAACATGGATGTTTTTCACTTTCCCTTCCCAAAAATTTCTAAAAAAAATTTTTCATTTCTGTTTAAAACTGATTTTTTAAATTCACTTAAAACGACTGGAAAAAGCGAATACGGACTGTATTGCAGTGTTGAAGATAGGCATGCCCGAGTGCAAGATTCGTCAATAATTGGTTCTCGGTTAGCAACAAGCATTCACTTTCTAAACTGCCAAAGCAAACTGATGGATCACCTAAATCGAAATTTTCTATTCAAATCTTTTTATTTAAAGGTAGAAGAAAAAAAAATTATACCATGCAGTGCTTCCGAATCGAGCACGGATACAATATGATCATAAAAAACTTGCTGGAAAGAAACTGGTAGAGCCGTTAAAATTAGAGCAACTGCATTAATGGTGGCATATCTGAAAAAAAAAAAAAAGCTGTAGAACCACAATTCATTCCGAAACTCATCTTTTAGAGCATAACATATTAGCGACGTCAAAATAATAATATCAAGAAATGTAATGTAATGTCATGAAGCTAATGCCATTAATTCTATGCCAAATGAAGGAAGAGTGATAAATAATCGGAACACATAATTAAAAAAACGAACGGTTGATGCAACGGCCGAATAAAAACCAAATCGATGAGTGCATGGGCCGTAATAACTGGTGCATGTGGAGATGCGAGCAGCTCGATGCACGCTCCGGTGAGGGCTTGTCCTGCAGGTGGCATCTCCGCGAATCTCCAATCCTGAATATTAACTGATAAAATGAATTGTTAATCGAACGATTTCAAATTATTTAATAAAAAAACTATGAACCGAAACCACAATCAATCTGACCTTGTAAACGAAAGCTGGTGGCTGATGGGCATAGTTGGAAGCTTGCAAGATGCGATCCACCAATGCTTGACAAAACTGAGACGGCAATGACAGTTGATGATTGTCAGAAATAAATGACGGTGTTAGAAGGGCATATTTACCATCTCTTAAAAACTTCTCGAAATCAGACAAATTCTAACTTTTTTTAAAAATCTTCATTTAACTCGTTAGATCAAAGGTTTCAACCCTCAATTGGACCATTTTAGGATAAGTGTCGCTCAGTTATGTTGAACACACAATGAAATTTAGATGGCATCACTTCAAAAGTTAACAGAAACTTAAGTGAGTCCCGTCACTAAAATTGAGCATGTACCTGTCTTCCAACTGTCCGCAAATTTCCAACACGAAATCTCTAGCACGAACTGTATGTGAGATAGTCTTATCCAAGCAATACAAAACACTGTACATGTAAGCTGCTGGCTGTGCTGTAACACGAATTACTTTATCAATGTGTATTTCCTATTCAATCCACATCCTCTTCTATCCGAATTACAACCGTTAAATATTTTGCGTATTCATGGGAAACACATTTCGAATAAAGTTAATTGCATAGATAAACCTGAAAGCCATAGATAAACCTTTCTTATTTAACTATAATAAGCTCAGAAAGATGAAGGAAACCATCTCTCGCCCGTAGGGCTTGAATGTGAAAAATTACGATGATATCGGTAACACGGTTTGAAGCACATCAGCAGTGTCGTAAATAATTGATCAGCAACTACAGTTTCTATCGCTCGGAGTAAAATAATGTCCACAATCTAGAAACAAATCAACATACTTCAAATGGGAGAAAATATGGATTGCAGAAGTTAATAACAAACAAAAAGACAAAAAAAAAATCCCAAAATTTCGCTCCTCACAATTTACAGGATATTAAAAGTCAAAAACGAAAGCAAGACAAAAAAACGAAAAGAAAGAAAAATAAAAAAATGATAAGACATCAGATCAATTTGTTCTGCGAACAATTGGAATTATATATGAAGAGCAAAAAATTAGGTTGCTACAATCTTAAACTACTTTTTATATTGTTATAAGCATTTGCAAAAAACACCTAAATTTCAACATCATAGCCAAATTTTCTTCTATAATACCGAAATTTTTGGGGAGGGGTAAAACATATCTGGTTATTACGTACCGGGAGTATGCGTTCCATAATATTACCATAGTAAATTGGCATATGCAGTTCGGGGTTGACAGTTGACTGCTCGATTGGTCGCATACCCAGTTCAATTTGCATTTCCCTCCTCATTTTTGCTTCCATTTCTCTGTATGACAATTCCGGAAATTGCTTTAAAAAAAACCATTCAGTAAAAACATAAATATGAAGTTTGTTATGAAACTTCACTCACCGAATAATATTATGACATTTTATTAAAAAATGCAGCACCACTGTTCCCAAAAGTAAAAACATAAAATATGAAGTTTGTAATGAAACTTCACTCACCGAATAATATTCTGACATTTTATTAAAAAATGCAGCACCACTGTTGCCAATTTTGTTTGATGGTATTATGTGCACCAACGCCGTAATTCGATTATGAAGATCGGGATATGAGCCGACCTAAAACAATAAGAATTTGTGCTTCAAACTCCACAAAAAGAATACTTCCTATTAGACGTTGTAAGTTTATTTGTACTGAGCGTAAAAATTCAAAGTTGAAAATTTTGCAAACATTGCAACTGACATCTAGTATAATAATATCCTATTATCTTGCTTTAACTGGCTCTCCTAATTTCTAGCTCTGTTCCTCTATTACAACCCAATTTTCTCCTTTTCGTCTCAAATCACCTTTTTAATAAGCTCTACGAAGGGAAGCAACTAGTAACAAAGAGGAAAATAAGCATACCAAAGAATGGATTATGAGCATAGCAATTTCGGTGGCTCCATCATCGGTCGGGTGAAGAACAAGAGAAATAAGCAGCCGATCGAGCGAGATTAGGTGTAAATTAAATGCCATGTCATTTAAGATTCCAATCATCTGAATATTAAAAACATAAATTCAGTGAAACTGCAAAACAATTTTTAGAAAATCTAAAGCACAGTGCCGTGAGACCCTAACAAAGACTGGTTTGAGCATAAAATTAAGAAACCTGTGTTTAAATGCAAAAAAAGCAAGCAAGTAAAACAGATTCCTAAACTTCCCACTTAAACAAGAAGCAACTTACTGCTGTAAACTGCTGATCATCTGAAGGAAGGTTCTTTTTGAAAATAAATATGAAATAATCTGTGAATTTATTTATCGTTGCTGTGAGTTCTTTATTGTTCATTGAATTTAGCACACTACAGAAAAAAAGATGTAAATGCGAGCAAATTTATGGAACACAGCAGAAAGAAAAGATTAAATTAAATAGCTCCTTCAAACCGGAAAACTTACCAAAATCAACGTTTTCATGAGAACAAAGACTCTGGTTAACAAACAATTCAATAACGGGACTAAACTAGTATGAAAAAAAAAGAATGATAAGTTGAAAGTTTAAAAAGACTACAGTTGAAGACTTAATAGCATATACCTTTAGTAATTAACTTACGAATAAATTACTGGATGTATCTTCTTTGTTTCAAATAACATGTTGTATACAACACAGAAAATTGTTTGTCTCCGCTCACCCGAAAAAAACTTCAGAAGCTGCTCCTCGGCAGCTAAACCTTGCGCATAAATAATTTCTGAAAATGTACAATTCCCAAAAAAAGAGATCAGTTAAAAAAGAATTTTATTACATCTCCTCGCTAATTTTCTGTAGTGATTGACAATCCCACATATGTTGATTGGTACTTTCTTGCTCAATGTCTTAATTATTGTAGTAAAAGAACTAGGAAAAATTTTTTCCTGGGTAATTTCTTTCTCACTTCAACTTACGAAATGTGCAGCAGTGCTTCACATATCAAACAGATACGTAGTAGAAAAGACTAACATTCTATATAGTATCATTAACACAAGTTATAAAGTAAAAATTCTTCCAAGCGATAAACTTCAAGCGAGAAGTGAGAATATTCATATGTGCTATCGGTTGTGGTCTTTAAACAGTTATGTTAAATATATTATCATAGCAGGAAAATGTCCCGAAAGTATTCCCCAGAGTTAAACAGCAGTAGAACGACAAGTAGTGACGAATAATGCGTCAGTGGGAAGTGTTCGTCAAAATATTACAATTTAACCTTGTACTTGATGTACTTCTTGAATAACACGATGCATCAGCTCATCATATATAACTGTATCTGCAGCACCATCATCCACATTGCAACCAATGAGTTGAGAGCTGTATGTCCGATTAATCGATAATGGCCAGCAGAAATTGACATTGCAGCGTTGCATCATTTCTGCAGTCATTTCCATTCCTATAATTGAATATATCTAATGGAAGTTTGATAATATTTAAAAAAGTGAGAAACATTATTAAGGTCTCTTAATTAAGAAAAAATTAATTAGTGAAGATGGACAAAGTGAATGATTAAAAGATAACAGATTATAGCAAAACAGAAATAATTTCCGCCTGTTCTTAAAACTTTATTTTTGAGAGTACTTCTAATGATGAAATGGTGCTAAGCAAAATAAAAATATTATAAATGCCTGTCATTTTGAGCGATCTGAACATAGAAAGAAGTAAGCATCGTAATAATTCGAGAGATATATGTGAATTAGTATATTGCTGTTCAACTGAAACATTCCCATGCTGTGGATCACAAAATGCTGGATTAGCAGTGTTGAATATGACAGCCAGCTTGCCTTGTTTGCCTAAATTTACTATTTTCAAAGTCTAATTAAAACATTTAGAGCAAAAAATAAGGCCATATTTGAGGACAAGATTTATTAGTTAGAAGATCGGAAAAACTTTTAAGCTGAAAAATGCACATCATTCTGTTAAAATAGTTGCAAAAAAATCTGATCAAATACAAAATTCCTCAATGGTGTTGCTTCAATCACAATAAAATAGTAAAGCGACATGCCAAGGAAAGCATTGCTCAGATAGAACATTTCTTGCGGAGAATTCCACATCCAATACCGCATCATAACCTGTTCCAGGGCCGAACACAATACAATATTCATTTGCACTTGACTATTTCCAAGTGCTGTGTAACACCAGAGCATCAAATTAATCTTAAAAAAAATAATTTGCAAGATGAAATTAATCCAATGTTGCCAAGTTTTTTTATGGCGCGCAGTAGGGTAATATCAAACATTCAAATTCAAAGCCAACAAAACATATAAGATAAAAAAATAAACCTTTGATCCTACTGGAAAAGGATAACTGATGAATCGATATGAGAGGATATCACAAAGAACAAAAAGTAAATCACGGGAGCGATCTTGTTGTGCTGGTCCCAAATTGGTGCTTTTGTTTACTGAAGCTAGTGTGGATGACAGTAACGCCAGTACTTGCTTCACGCCGTATTCAAACTCCGTAGTTACTGCCAAACGTACAAGTGTATCTGAACATGAAATTGTAAAACGCAGAATGAATACATCATATAAAATGTAACTAGAAAAGAATGAAAATAACAAATGAATCAAGTTGTAATGAACCGATTGTTGCAGGACTAGGCACTTTTTGTGCTTGCTGAATTGAAAGCATAGCTGTAAGTTTCAATAAACAAAGTTGGAATAAATGATTCCGTGCATGGAACGTTAACGAATCGATCAACGAGAGTGGTAAAGGTGTCTTCTTCGAATACGAGACGATCCCATACGGAAGATGCCAAACTGTATTCATTTCTTCTGGAGATCCATCCAGAAAGACATCCACTGCTGTTAGGACTAGTTTTTGGAAATTTGGCATATCGCTACTGTCTAAAAAACTGACAAGAAATTTAATGGCTTTTTCATCTAAATACAAGCGCCAAAAAAAAAAAAAAAAAAAACCATACATACTTGATACTATCTTATTCCATACTATTTAATATAAGAATCCTGCAAATTAAATATGTCTTTTCTGTGACAGCATAAAATCATTAGATAATATTTCTTTAATCCGAATATCATCCTAAACTGCCGAAATGTATGGCAACCTTATCACATAGATTAACAAAGAATGTGTGCTATATTATCTGTTATCAATACTATAGAAATAGAGCTGATATGGTTCTGTGACATAATAATAGAATGATGTTTGTTAAAATAAATATAAAAAATACTAAGGAAGCATAAAACTCAATAACTGCTCAACAATTGTTATTATAATAACAAATATAAAGTAATACTGAAAAGTAAACAGAATTTAATTTAATACTCACAAGCATTGGCAACAGCAGCTAGAACTGCATTATGATCAGCGACATTCTGGATATTCGGGTCCGAATCTGCAGTCCTTTCTTGTAAAAACTGTATTTGTCGCCATAGAGATTCGGAGGGTTTAGGAAGTATCTCCGTATGAGAGTTGCCTAGTTTCTTATAAAAATGTATCCAGATCGCAGCCGGAACTAGGAACCGGACAAACAGCAATGGATCTGTATCTGCACCAGACCATGTCTGCTCATCGCTAAATAAATAAAATTAAATGTGCATAACTTTCATAACTGTATGCTTATGCTACCAATAAAAACTGTATCTAAACAAAAGTCCTTGAAATAAATTAGGTGAAATATTATACAGGAAACCTGTAAAGTAAATTGTAAATTTCGGCAACGCGAACCATTTCCTCATTTGATACTCTATCGATATAAACTGCAACGTATTGTAAGATAACCCACATAAGTTCATCTCTTCCTTTTCGATATACTGTTTCGGAAAGCTGTATAAAATAAATAAATAATATTACACTGGGGAATAAAACGAATAACATACAGCTCCTCTTCTCTTATTTAAAAGCATAGAAACCTGTGTTATTTAAAAATTTCGAGCGAAAAGGCTATGGTTCTAAGAAATTTTCTAATCGGCAAAAAAGCTTTGCAGTGTATCAAAATGAATTTACAGTGAGATATGAAAAGGTGAAGTCTGACCATTTCAAGAGACAGTCGAGAATCAGATCGCATTTAAAGTATATCGCGACCTGAATCAGGTTTTTTGAGCACATATTACATGTAAATTCAATCCTTACTGATTCGTATAGTATTTTGAGAAGGCGAGCAAAAGAAGCGTTTCCATGAAGTAAAGAGAATGTAACTGTTTGTGTAATGTTCATCCACTGATACTGGTTTGCAGGGTCGTCAAGGCGCGTGTCGGTCTTTTCCATTTCACTCATAGCCTCAAGAATGATCATGTGCAGCAACTCATCACACTGTAGCCGCTGTGGGGTTAAGCTCGTGTTTTGTCGCATCACATACTGCAATATATTAACATCTAATTCCAGATAAAATAATTTTACAAGTCTACTTCTAAATTCAGTTATTAAGTAAACAAATTCTATCAACAGTCATTGAAAAAAAAAGATGTTTTCCCCAAACTCTTCAAAAATGTTTTGTGTGTTAACTTCAAAAGTCAAATAAAACTATTAACTTACGGAAATTGTATCTTTTCCGCGAGGCTGTCGAAGAAGTGTATAAAGTAAAAAAGACTGGGGAGCGAAAAGTTCGGATTTGTATGGAAGATGAGCTCGCTGATGCAATCGAGTAGTTGTGACCTCAAGTTTCCAAGACGGCGTACTCATTGGGAAAGAAATGTGAGCAGCTATAGGATAAAGCCATGATCGACCGATTATTGTTACCATTTCGGTAAGTGGACGGAAAGAAATAAACATATCATTGAATTTTTTCGCCACCCTCTGTAAATGAATATTAATTTGTTTTTAACTGCTACTTTCGCTAATATATAAGTGAGGTTGTTTTTTAGAATCGACTTTGTAGATCATGATTCCTCTTCATTTAAATTTGAAAGCAGGAAAATAATACTTGAAACCATCGTAGGATGATAAAAATGAACGAACTGGAAGAAGAAAGGCACGTGAATTATTGGAAACACGATGTAACTCAGTAATCGTGAAAATGCATGGAAGAAGGTTTAGCTGTCGATCGATCAAAGTTAGTAACATCTGAAAAGTTATTTTAGTGTATCACACATTCGAGAGAACGCTGAAATAATTATGTCACATAAAATATATGAATTTAGCCGGATGGAATCATTTAACTTGAAAAGCTGTTATGAGGAAACATTCCGAAGAAGTGAGAAAACCGAACGTTTTCTACAGGTAAGAGCATATGGCGGTGATGGTGTGTGATCGTGGATGGCACTTCCTGCATGCGTTCAACCACAAGTAACTTCAGTATATTTCGAAGTCCTTTGTAATCAATTAGGTGTAAGTTTTTCTGCATATACTCAAATTTGCGAGAATCCATTGGCGTCGTAAGGGAGAAATTGGTGCAAAGAATGAGAAGTTCACAACAATCACTGGAAAAATACGTTAAGATAGACATTTTTGAAAACATATTAATATATAGAAACAACAATGGTTGCGATCTCATCTCACTCAAAGTATAACTATTTTTTCACTCTTATATTTAATAAAAAAGTTTTATAGGATTTATTAAAAACTGTATAAAACTTGGAATTGATTCATATTAAAATAAAGGAAATTTGAACAGACTAAATGAGACTTTACGCTAATGTTTGTTTAAAAACATTTCAATAACGAAAGAGGAAAGGAACTGACGAAAGAGGAAGGACGCCTTCATTGCAGGCAATCATAAATATCGAAGATAAAATCCTTTCATAATGGATGTATCGAGGATCGTCTTTATTTGAAAGCAGAGAAAGGGATGCTTTACAACACTGTGTCTTCTCCTCCTACAATTCGTACGCAGTTTATTTCGTGCATTACATCCACTACATCTCATGAAAACATGTCTATTTATTTCAGGACGTTTAAATGGATCTATAAATTAATCGATACCTCAGTCATTGTGCGCAACATCTTGACAGCCTCACTGCATGCCAGGACATCAACGTCAACGTCCTTACTTAAATCCCAGAACATTTCACGCATTTGTACTCCTTCCTGTATACAGTTGACGCAATAATATAAAAACAACGATTAGTTAGTTACTACTATCGTGTTAAATAAAGCAAAAGTAATTTGAATAAAGAAGTGGACTGAAGCACATACAACTTGGTTTAACACAATCCACTGCAATTTCTCTGCATCATTACCGACTGCTGCTGTAAGTGAAGTAGCTGATGCTGCTATTGCCTCCGTAGTAGTACCCATATCGCTGTGAGAGCTGTTCGTATGCGAGTAATTCACCGGAAAGTTATTGTTCTAAATCGACCAAAATCTGCAACTAAACAATTAATGATAGGTTACACATGAACCGACCCAGCATACTCACGTCATTATGTATTGAAAGTTTCAAATTTCTCAAATATGAATACCTCACGTTTCCTTCCTTCTCTGCTCACCTCAATGTAAACAGACCTACCAGTGTAAGAACACAACAGTTTAGATTTTGATGTCGCAAAAAATGACTTCGTTTAATTTGGATACTGTCGAAGATGAAGTTGGCAAATCCCTATCATCAATATGAGATTAAATGCATTGATAATTAATGGTTCTTTCAACGATCATTTGGAAAGGACTTAGGTACCACCGTTACCTTCTCACACTACTATCTGAATATTCGCATGTCCGCATCACCCTGTGACTAATGTTTCTAGCCATTTCATCCAGAACGGGACACCCGTTGCATTGGATTATTTGGACAATTTTGCTGAAGTGGTCTGTGACATGTTCATCTAGAATGCTGAGAGGTGTGAGGGTTGAGCTTTTGTACGTGACGTGTTGTTTTGATCTTATCATTTGGGCAGTCTTTCCAGTACATTCTGCGGAGAGGCAGTAGTTCGAATTTTAATATGACATTTATATACACATACAACATTACTTAGCACAACGTGAAAGGTTAAGAAGGGGAAGGGAGCGACTACTTCGTGTATTATATGGCTTAATGGCTTACAATGCAGTATCCATTTGGGTCATAAGTCAAGATTTCACAAATTTAAAACAAATCAACCTGCGCGGAGGCTTGGCTTTTCCGCATGCAAAGTGATGAATAAGTCTTGTAAAGGATTCCTATGCAACGCGATCATGAGACAAAGCTAAAATAGAAGTAGAGAACGATTGTCACAATTAATTATGTGGTTCCTGGCTCGCACAAACTGGTGCTAATTCGTCGTACTGGTCGCAGTGGTACTGAGTTTGCCCCTTTTGCGAACAAAGCCTGGAATGCAACGTGTATTGAAGTGGATTGTATAACTCACAGTATGTAACTGTGATTAAAATCATCTTTTGTGCTTCTAGATGTTCCGGGAAAAAAGAAAAAAACCAACAAACGAAAGGCTGCGGAACATACCGGATGTACGAATGGCAGGACGCCACCACCCGGACAGGTAACTCGAGAGCAGAACTGATTCAGTTCCTCGTCATTCTTCATAGCAAGTACAATGTGACGGGGGATAAGTCGCTGACGTTTATTGTCTCGGCAAGCATTCCCGGATAACTCCAACATCTGCAACACAACAGCTGAATATTGTATAACTGGCAGTGAGTTCAGAGGGTGCGAAAAGCATTGCATACTGAAATACCTCCCAACAATTAACGGAACGTGTAAATAAAAATCCTTACCTCTGCAGAAAGATATTCGATGACAGCACTCAAATAAACAGCTGCGGACTGAGAGATCCGTCTCGCATAGCGACCTTTCCTAAGCAATCGATGAAACTTGGTTACAGGAAACAGCAGTCCAGCACGAGCTGACTTGCTTATTTTCTTGGCTTTTCCACCGCCTCGCTTTCCAGCTGGTGGCCGACCTCCTTTATTCTGTAATTCTATGTTTTTTCCTTTTTTATCTTCGGTAATTTAGTCTAATTTTCAACGTAATTTGCAATATTAATGATGTGATATTTCCATCATCTAATATGACAATTAGATGTAATTTAGTGAGATGTAATTTTAATGATATTTGAACATTTCTTTACCAGTATACATTTTGGACAAAGTATACATTTTGAAAGTTTTTCATAAGCCTTTCTACCTTTCTCGTATTTGGTGAAGACGGCACACTCGATTTATCTTCTTTTTTTGCAAGCAAACTGTCGAGTACCGCCATAAAAGCTTCTTTCTGGAACAGTCATTTATTGAATCGCTATTGTTATACAGTAGACGGACATTCTATGAACACTATGGAATGGAATATATATATATGTATGGGTTCTAACAATTTGAACGATAAAATGTTATGGAATGAGGAGGAAGGACAAAGGGTAAGGTGAAAAGATGAAAAGGCACTTCATATTCAAGATAAGTGAATCCTATTTATCTACTCGCCAAGTTCAGTGCTGCTGTATAGCCCTTAGAACGGAGATGTATCTATGCACTGAAATAGATTATACATTCACAGCTATTTACAAACAAAATGATACCCCAAGAAAGTTGAAATCGTAGAGCAAATTGTACAGCTCAGGTACCACAGCTCTGATTTTTGCGTTTTATGCGAAGAAAAACAGTATAGAGTGACTGTGAGAGTGGAAGAGACAAAATGAAGATAAATGTTGGTAGTATTATGGAAAATGAAGAGCACCAGGAGAGGAAGCACCATCAACGCCGCGATCGATTCCAGGGTGCTCAGTTCTCCACATCATGTGTTTTTTGGTCGTTGGTGAAGAGAGGCATTTCGAGAATCGAGAAATGTCGATATTCGGCAAATGAACTCTTGTTGAAATGGTGAAGCTCAAGGAACGGTAGTGCGGGTGCTCGCTAGCCGAATGACACCGATCATTCATATCGATTATTAGTCACTGCACAATAATAATGATAGCAGAATGGGTGCATTCCTTGGAAAGGATTCATTAAATGAGTAACCCAACCCGATTCGTATTACGCCGGCCGGGTCTGTATCGCGAATGCAAATAAAAAGGCTGTTGGAGCGACCTGCAATGTTCAGGTCTTTACTTGGAAGAGTCTTTTAGCATTACAGAAGAAATGTAGATGAAAGCAGGTTTTCAGACTTGTTCATTGCGGCATTACTATGAAATCTAACACACTTGCAGCATTTCTGTCTTTATTCATAGACCTTTTTCAACAATGACACTAACTGTAAATATACAGGTTATTTGATAATAACAAAAAAAGACCTACGTCGAATTTGATAAACACGTGATTAATGAACGCCACATTGGACGTGAACGAATTGAAAATAAAAATGATGAATCAAATTAAAATTTTAAAGAGAAGATTAAAAGACGGAATAACAATTCAATTTGGAACTAATTTTAGTTTCTTTATTTTATTCACAAAAAAATGTGAAGAGTAAATTTCAACCTTGGGTTTACTATCCGAACACCAAAAAAAACGAGTTCAAAGTATTTAACATAAGTGGATCACAATTATAGGAGTCGATTTATCAGGTAATCTTAATAAAAACTGTTTTAATTTGAACTTGTTGTTTTTGGCGTAAAATCATGTTGGCAATAAAATAGTACTTATCTTTGCTGAGAGAAGTAATTTGGTTTCTTATTAATTTATCCTTGTTGAAATTTTTTTGTGTTTTCCCTATTCTATGTATAAATTTCGATCAAAATGAAGCTAGCAACAGTGTTAAGCAATATCTGGAATACCTGGTGTGGGAAATTAAGACCTGTATCGGATTAAATTATCTGAAATGCAGAAGTTTCCGCACATTACAATCATAAATTGTTATGGTCAGTTGTTACTGCAGACTATGCTAGAAAGTTAATTTTAGGTCATAAAGTTGAAAATTTTCAACCATAATTGATAACCTTTTTCATGACTCAGAAGTTGATGTCATTAATTTAACATCCTACTTTTTTAATTCTGTCTATAATCAATTTTGTGGAAATATTTTAAATTCAATAATTAACTGTGGATGATTAACCATTCGTTAGACGTTCAGTTTTCTTATATCTCTCACACAATAATAACTCTCTCGCAGTTCATTTCCTAAGCAAAACGTAGTGTAGTATGCAAATGAATTCAAACATGTTACTCAGTTCCGGTTTTCCGTAATAGAATTGATCCCGGACAAGTGATGTAGAGGAGATACAAATGCTTTGTATAGTTCGTACAGATGTATATAAACAGGACGGAATCAAAAAAATTAATGAAAAAAGATCTGCTCACTCTATGTAGCGTTGCATCAAACATATTGGAATCTAATTTTATTGTTTTCTGTAATACAAAGGTCCTTAACTAAATAATTTAAAAAAGATCTAACTAAATACTAACTACATATCTGCGCTCCTATTGCACTTTTTTCCGTTGAATGACAAATATTATGGCAGCATGGACATTTACTTCTTTCTTGACTCATTTAAGGATACAGTAAGCTTATTCTACTGTTAACATGCAAGACTTCAGTATTTGCACCATTTCCAGGGAGTAATCCCGCTGAGAGTAACTAAATTTAAAAACCTGTCTTATTTCTAAAAAATTTCGAAAAATGAAAATACAACTACTGTACGATGATATTATTGATCATCCTATGAAATATCACTTTCTTTTAACCTTTATTAATAGTTAACACTAACTCGAAGTACATACTCAAGTTAAAAAAAAGTACGTCGTGATTTACTTTTTATCATCCAGTAACTTTGCATACTGGATGGATGTATGTCACATTCCTCTGAGAACAATTAGCATTTGGAAATGTTGACTTCAGAAGTAGTAAACTAGAAGAAGTAAGAACAAAGATGTTGAGAGTTTGCTCAAGGTTAAGCTAGCTGGAGAATGAATAAATAAATACTGAAGTGGACGAATTCATGTGGTTATGAAAATGAGCTAATACGAATCTAAAATAGATGCTATTTCCACTTTACCGTTGAAGCATCAATCATTTACGCAGACGTATCAAACGGAGATTTTATGTGCCCTTTGAATCGAATGATATTGGTAGAAGATATGCATGTTCTCACTGCATCACTAATAGCATTTTCGGCATTTCTCGAGCGAATTATTCATTCCAATTATTGTTACCACAGTCTCGAGACAAAGTTCTTTGTCATCACAGCGATACGTGAAGAGAGAAAGAAAGTTCAAGAATGTAAGAAAGGAAAGATAAAAGACATTCTCTCTCCCTTCTTTTCCCCCTTCCTTGTTTGTATTGAACTGTACAGTTCTTCTCTGCCTTTTAAATCGCAATGGTCGACATTCCAGCTAAAGAAGTGCTCAGAAGAGAGGCTAAACAAACTGCAAAGAGAGTAAAAGATATCCCAGGAGCTTTGTCAACCAACCCACTTACCCACCGATTCTGTTCACGACAGTTGCATTATTGTTCTGGGTAACTCGTACTGCTCTCTTCAATGTCCCGTTCAAATATTTGTTGTTTTTACCAGATCGATTCAAATCATTGCTACAGTCCTGTAACTTGTTGCTAAAGCGTAACATTATGCGCATTAGCATGCTGCATTTTTAAGCATATAAAATTAATTTTTTTATAAAAACTCAATGAAATTTAAATCGGATTAATAATGATATGAAAGACGAAAGTTATTAATAGGCGTAATAAAGTCTGGAAATTTGTCTTCCACTTTAATGATAGTCAAGAATCATCGGGGAAGAATTGCAGGTATAAAAGGTGGCTTATATAGCAGGGTAAGTAATCGTAAACGATTGTGAATGTCAGTTTTCACCGACGAGCTTTTTTGAAGCACATTTGATAAGCCATCGGCACTTGGAGTTTGTTATAATTTTCCTGTCGTATATAACAAAGAAAGAAATAAGTATTTTAGAAAATATGAAGACAACAAAAATAACGAGTGTAGTAATTTCATAATTTTCCAGAAATTTTCAACTGCTTTAACAGTTTCTTATTGTACTGTTTACAGTGAATAATTCGACAAAACTTTGAAGAAAATGCAACAAAGCGATCGATATCTAATTGAATCATCTGTAATCGCTCTACCTGGTTAAGGCCTTACCTAATTTTATACTTAGGAGCACAAAGAATTAATTTGAATATATACTGAAATTAATATTTTACAGGATGCCGTGATCGTTCCGGATCACCATTACTGTTTATAAATTGTGTGGATAATGTCAGTAAACCTGGTATTACTTTGCATTTTTTTTAACCATTACTTATTACTGTTTCCATTATTTAAGTATTCTTTCTAACAACACCTCTTTTGTATTACTTACGAATGATTTTCCCACAATTTACTACTAAAAATTTACTAGTCATACCGTTGCGAGATCTAAATTCAAAATGATTAAGGATCTGGTAAACAAATAACTTACTGCTAACATTAATTTAATATTCTAATTCATACGCGTTGCTTAATTTTTATCAGATTAAGTCCAATTTGCCATAAAGTTTAGGCATGAAAACAACCAACGCGCCGAGTTATGAAGAACTGGTGTCAGTCATCAGTTATCTCTCCCAAATACCTGGTGAAAATGTCTGCAAGTTAGGATTTACAGTGGTGATCGATGGACGAAAGGCAACTATAAAACACATGCGTAGTGCATTACGAGCATGCCAAGTGTTGATTCATTTTTCTAGGGCTTCTTTGATGAAGTTGAATAAAAGCTTAATTTATAATACATCATTAGGGAGTAATGATAACAATTGCAGCAAGCACTGTATCGTCGAATTCGATTCATATTTGTCATTCAACCGGAAAAATTTTTAGACCAACAAAAGCTTAATTTTGAACTTATCAAAGAAGCTTATCAATTCAAGGTAAGTGTCGTTTCAATAAAGGAATGGATGAGTTAGCACAAAGACTATTATTTCAGTTAGTGTTCAGTTACAGAAAATTCTTTATTGTATTCTTTATACAAACAAATAACATTAAATTAAATTTCAAAAAAAAACTTCGTCCAGAAAAAAATAAAAAAAACAAAAACAAAGGGAACACGAGAGATAAAGATAGAAATGCATTATAATTGCTTAACTTTTAGTGCACTCTAATCTCTCTAAATAAATTATTACGCTTTGTGGACGCCATGCAATTACCAGATACGCTGGGTGGCACACTACACTATGATCCATATTTATGGATTTTACTTAGACAGGTTTTTTTTGTCAAACATAAGTTATGTTGAGTAATGTTTACTTCCAATATATATATTTTTTTTCACATGAACTTTCAAGAAGATTGAGAATTACGTGAACAGAGCGAACAATTGGATAGAAAATAACAAAAGACGTGACAATATGATATCAAATCAGTGCGATGAGACTTTCAAGAAGGACATTCTCAACTCAAATGCGCTTCTCAAAATAGGTGAAATCTCTGATCGAATTATTCCTATAAAAGTTTTTTTTCTTCACATTTGCTAGCTTTTCTGACAAAATTCAATGGGCTAGAAATAACTTCATCACAAATCTAATTTACAAATAAGGTAAAGTATTTTTACTTGAACAAGTCCAATTTTGGGGTATCATAAACATTTACACCATAGTTCGTTCAGGAGACGATTTACTTGGCGAATTAACGCAAAATAATAGAATGAACCTGCTGAAAAATGGCGATTGGGATAACGCTGTGCAACACGTCGATTTTCTCATGAAACAAATTAAGGTTCTTCAAGCATTCATTATTTGAATATGACTAATAAAATTTAATTCTTTAGCATCATTGTGTTCTTATTTTTGAAGACATTCTTTGTTGGTGAAAGCGTCTCAAATTGTTTCAAATTGTTCAATCCAATACCTGCACAATTAATATTGATCATTTTATAAAGATTGATACAGTTATATACTTTGTGATTTATCTACTTTTAATTAGGCTAAAGTGTGACTTTCCTATCAGAGATCACAGAGTGGCAATCATAAAAATATTTAGATTAGAATAGTTGGATCTTCTTACAGGACATCGAGGAGAAATCATCAGAAGCAAAATATCGGAAACAGAGATATGTACCACTGAAATTGTTGGAAGATCATAGTGAAGGTGTGCATAATTTAGTGAACTGGATTCTGGGCGCTGGTGAGAGATGGCTTCTGACCTTGCACGAAATTGGTGAATCATATGACGATGCTAAGCAATTACTGAAAGAACACAATGAACTGGAAAAAAAGTTGATAGTCTGTTCAGTGCTTTATTTAATAAATGTTATATTAAATCAACAAATAAAGCTTTCTTTTCATTTATGCTTCTAGCGGTTGCTAACATTAATTTCAAAAAATTTTTAAATTTTGTTAGGGTGTGGAAGGGCAGTCGTGTGAACTGGTAGCAGTAGGACGTGAGTTACAACATCAGTTTCCAAGACATGCTATGGCATTACAACAAAGCATAGACAGTGTGCAACAGCTGGTTCATGCTTTTTGCACACGCGTTATGTATCAAAAAGAAGTTTCTTTGCACTCCGTTAACTTCTATCACATGCTGAATGAGGTATGATTTTATTTTGTTAGCTGCTAAATTAGGGTTTGACGTGCTGTTGAAATGTAAGATGCTGTTGATAATGACAATTAATGGTAATGATCTTTAACTCTTTGCATTCATATGATTTTTAAATCACGAATTAGAGCATATCTGCTAAATGAGTAGTGGAATAAGGATGTGGAGTGAGTAAAAAATTAATCTACAAAGAAAAAGGAACTAATGAATGATTTTAGTTCTCACGGAAAACAAACTTATTATTGGAATCGCTATGTACAAATGTGAAAGCGAATGATATTGCAACTGCTGAGAAAGAACGAAAGGAAATGGAAGTTAAAGTAGATGAACTTGGTATTGTTTCTATTTTATTTTGAATTTCGTTATCCATTTTAATAATCGAGTATGTGACTTTTCTATCTTTCTTGCCAGAATATCATTTTGGAAAATATAATATATGCTTGCTGTTGAAAATATAGTTTATGCTTAGTATTGTAAGATTTCTATATTACAAATTAATTTTCCCTTTAAGAAAAAACTTACCATTGTGTGATCACCAGTGGTATGTCATTTATTAACAAGCTTTGTACTGATCAATCCAACTCAACTGGCAGACTTATTACACGTGATTATTCGGCAAGTATTGTACATATCAGGTTGTATTATTTGTTCCATCTATATTCCAATAATTTTCCAATATCCTTATACTTTCACTTATGGACGATAATAAGATGAATATCTGATTCATCAGACAGATTGCAGGGAAATATTAGAAGAATCATGTGGTCGAAGATGGCGTTGTCAGAATTTAGCAGATGTTCGCAGACTAAAAATTAACCAACTTCTACAGCTCTATACATGTGAAGAAGATGGACAGCAGGTTAATTTACTTGAGTTCATAGGAGGAGGATCATAAGATATTTCACGTATTTTAGTTCGGATTAGTCATTAAAGCAGCATTAACAACTAAAATTCGTCTCAAAACTTTGTAATTTTGTTATATATATATAGACGTTCTCACACACAAGAATTTTTGAAATAATACGTTAATAGTAATAAAAAAGTTTATTTCAGGTAGTTAATTGGATTGAAGAACTTTACCAGACATTAGTAAATAGCTATAATGACTTTGAGCAACTGCATCTCATGCTAGAAAATAGATCGAAACTGGAAGAAACCGCACGAGTTAGTAATTTTTATATTAATAATTGATTATCTGGCTGATTGAGTGGTTAAAAATTGAGTTGGGACATTTATTGCTTAAAAATTTGTTAGGTAGATTGTTAAAAGTGTTTGTTTAGGACTTTTCTAATCCCCATTTCTCTGGTTTTTTACTATTTTTAGTTTAAGTTTTTGGATAAATTTCAATTCCTTAAAAAATGGCGAACATGTTCAGAGCACGTATGGATACGGTAAACAATTATGTCAAGTGATACTCGTGTTGAGGAGATCATTAAGATTGGAAATACGGCCTGGATTAAAACTGAATCAAAGATTGGAGTCAGCTTGGGCAAAATTTTGTTGTGCTTTTAACAAAAAGAGAATGGAACTTGATATCATTAATGCATTTCAGTCTACGGTCCGCAAAGTAATTCCTTTTATAACATTTGCACAGTTCACAACACTCTGGTGAAAACTTCCTTTTTCAAATATCAGAATATTTTTCTAACTGGAAGTCTTATGATATCTGTAGGTAAATGAGCGCCTTGATGAGTTATCTCTTCGACTCGATGGCAAAGTTTCAGAAAGGCGTTCGGAAGAAGTATCACTTACAAATGAAAAGAGAAGTATTGCTAATAACATCCAACAACTGAAACAGGTTGCTAACATTCTAATTTAACAGCTAATAGCAAAATGTTGAAGTGATGTCTGGGTGTTCTTTGTAGTTTTTTATAGTAACAATAGTTGTAATAGAATTAATTCAAGAGTCAAGTAACAATATTCAGCTTAAAGAGTTATTCATTTCCAAATTCTAGTCGATTTCTGAATTGTGCTCTGTGGACTTTCCAAAACAATAAGCTGCCAGATTTTCCTCATAGAAATTAGGATTCTGGTTCGAGAAAATAAGAAAGCGGGTGCAAGTTTTGAAAAACTTACTTAACTGAAGAAGTTAGTATTGCAGAAGCAGACGTAGTGCAGAGATTTGCTGGATTCGAGCTCTAAATAAGATCGAACGAAAATTTGGTGAAGTGGAGTGAAAACAATGTAATTTGAGGAAGATATGTGAAGATAAAAAATGTCGCACTAGAAGTATCCGAGGAATTTAATGCACAATTGATATATGATACATGCAACGAAAGTGTTAAATATAATAGCACAATATCAAAAACTGCACTACCACATGGCTGATATTTTATTAGAACAGTCATTGAAATAAGGAGTCAGAAATTAGTTAAAAATGTGCCTTTAAACCATAGTGTAAGAGTGTGGTAACTTTAATGTGACAGTTCTGTTATACGTTGAAGATGTAAAAAGCTTTTTAGTATCCTACAAATGACACAAAATATTCACTGCTTCCATATATTTGTTAAACAGTTCCTTGTTTTGCCAATATCATTTCTGCCAATCAAAGTAAATTTCAGTTTCTTGATAATATACTCTTCTGTGGTGCATCTATTCCAAAATTTTGTACTTGCTTATTCGGTTGTGGTGTTTGTTTCAGTTAATAATAATTATGAATTATTATTTGAATTAGCTATGTTATCTGTACAGTGAAAATGTTTTCTAAAATTCTAAAAGAGTTTTTGGTAATCTGAAATCAAGTAGCAAACTAAACAGCTACGATTATATAGTTATTTATATACATGTGAACATTGAACAGGTTGATATCACTGCATCAATTCAATTAGAATAAGATGTAAGGAGACAGGAAGCTGTGTGCATTTGTAGTGGTAACTAAAATTGTTTGGATTCCTGCCCCTCGCCTTAATTAATTGTAACTCTTGTCATCTCTCGCCTTTTTTCTTTGAATTAACATGTGTAGCTCTTCCCACTTAATGATTGCTGAACTGGTTTTCCATTCATCTTTTACAGTAGCAATAAATGGGGCGCTGTTAACATTTGTTTAAGAAGACGAGAAAATGACAAGCACCGAACGGAGTAGTTTTAAAATCGGTCGAGTCGAAATAATTTCTCGAACTGACTTGGATTCTTTAGATCAGCAGAAGAAATCATCGGGAGAATTTTGCCCTTCGCAACACAGTGTTATAAGAGATTCATCTTTCTTTTCCGAATTGAAGTATGGCAGTAATCAGGTATTTTCACGCATAAAAAAAGACAATGAGTAGACAAGAGTAGGGCATATTTGAACTGATTGGAAATAGGAATTAAATTGGTAGGATAAAACAGACGGCAGATAATTGGTATCTTAAAGGGACTGATGTATTTTTTAAATGTAATTTTTTTAACAGCATCACCGGGCAGTGCAGTAAAAGCAATTTTGTAATATGGCAGTGGTCTTATTATTTGACCAGAGCTGTCGTTATATTGAGAATTGGCGTGAAATATTTATCTAAGCTCCCATCTTCGTGCTAGATGTAACTATGTTAACATAATTAGCTTAAAATATGGGTTGCTGCGACTTTGCATGGACTCTGAGACGAAGTGTCCGTACTACATAATGAGGAAAATGTTAATAGTGATAATAAATGGGGTAAGGGTGCCAATATTAATATCCTTCAATTTGTTTGATGACAATTAAGCCTTTTGCCTCAGCAGAGTTTAAGGGCTCTCAAAAGATTTCTAGTGTAAGGTTGATTTTTACTACATCAGTTCGTTTAGTCGTATCCCTCATTACTTCATCACAAATAATAAAATTGGAACCAAATAGTGTTTTCTGATAGTAGTCATGTGCAGACATGAGTTCCTCAATGTTGTAACAAAAATTCAGTTCGAGTCTATTTTTATTTCTCTGGATATTCTCTAAAGGATTAGTACCCTCAAAATTTATCAAAATTCGATCATGGTTCAGGTTTCACAGAATGGCCATAGGTCGATAGCATTCCATTACTGTACAACTTCATTAAAAATTGAAAATCATATTTTTATAAAATTCATTGCTTTTATTCATAAAAATTGTTTTTTAGATGAAATTTTATTAGCACAGAAAGCCCATTTTGTTTTTATTAACAACATAGAAAACTTTGTTCTTTTTATTGCAAGAAATCAAGCAGGTTTGCAGACGATTTGTAATTGTTTTGTAAATTGTTTGTACGTAGTTTGCATGTGATTTGTAATGGGAGTAAATGTTAAAGAAAAAAGAAATGGATAAGAAATAACATGCTTTTCAACATATTTTTAAGGGTAGAATGAGCTCTTCTTGTTTTAATTTGGAAATATTATGCGCCATTTTTGTGTGGATTTAATTCGTATGCACATGAACATTCTTCACTAAATTAATTAAAATTATGATTCAAATTAAATTGATTTGAATTCCCCTTAGTTACGAAGCAGTTACGGGATTGCAAAAAAATCGAGCATTTGTTGCAAATTGCAAATTAATTACAAACCACTTGCAAACGTGCTTCAATTCATGTGTTAGAAAGAAGCTAATAATGTTTCAGAACAAACAGTTCAAATAAAGCAAGGTAGAGGAATCTGTGAAAGAAAAAGTAAGAAAAATTGAGGAACTTTTCGTTCTCTTTCGTTTTTTTGAATAAAGTTTTGATCAAACATTTCCGGAAGATATTTGAGTTGTATTAAGAATAAGCTAAAAACATCTCTTCCGTCATTTCTTCGCTATTTTTGCTTTTAATTTTTTGGTTTATGTAGATTTTTAGTGCAAATCAAGCAACTGAAGTAGTGACATGGCCATAGTTTGATAACTTCTGACTCAGCATTTCATTGCTATACAACTTCATTAAAAACTGAAAATCATATTTTTATAAAATTCACTGCTTTTATTCATAAAAATTGTTTTATAGATGAAATTTTACTAGCACAGAAAAACGGAAGGAAGCCCATTCCGTTTTTTATTAACGGGCACAAAAGACTTTACCTCTTTATCACTTGAAATCAAGCAGGTTTGCAGGGTGCTTGCAATTGGTTTGTACATGGTTTGCATGCGGTTTGTAAATGGTTTGGACATTTTCTTTTCATGAAGAAATGAGTTGCACTAGTTTTGTTATGCATTGAAAATGATTGAAATCATTCAGTCAGCGTTTCCAGTCATTTCGAGCGACAAAAATAGTGGGGATCTTGTGTCAATCTAATCGTTTCCCATATTGTTATTTTTATTATTTAGCTCAACTTGCTTGCTCACTTTGAAAATTGTCCGTATCATCAATGAACAAAACTTTGTCTACTGTCACTTTGCGATGATCAAAGAAAATATTGATGAATATGAAAACAGAGTACAGACAGTATGATTACTATGAATGTAGACGGGATAATGAGAACGGAGAAAAAGATCTTGCCTATTCTCTGCAAAATGCATAGGCTTTGGTACATTTATTTTACATGCTTTTATTTTACAATATGAAACTAAAAAATTCTTTTTTTTATAGTAATTAGTAAAGCAAAAAAAAAAAACTTCTCGCACATATTCTTAGACATAAATAAGCTCAGCTATTTTTACTTGACATTTAAAATTGAAATAGTTTTATACATGTCTAAGGGATATTCAAATAAGATTAGTCTTATGGATTTAACAGTTAGCTTTACTAAATTTGCACATTTAATAATAACATGTACCTTTATTTAAAAAGTTTGATTTATCTATTGTTTTAAAAAAATAATAAAGATTTATCGAAAAAAAAATCAGAAACATCTATTTAATACGGTAAATACAAACAGTAGTTAAATTGAAATATTTTTGGTAACTTTAAAAGCAGTCTTAGTTTTACAAATAATTCGTTATATTCACATTGTCTACACATGCACTGTACTATTAGGATCACAGTAAAGTACTTTCCGTTGTTCTCTAACTTATACATCGATTTTTTTGTCTTTTACATATTAGACTTTAAGTTTTACTGGTCTTTTAATTGGCTTAAATTATTCATGTAATAAACATATTTTCATATAATTAAAATTATTATTAAAGGTTGATCCGAAACATTCATTGTTCTTTTCTTCTCCTCTTCCTTATTATTTAGAGCTAAGTGCAATGGCAAAACAGTCTATGGGATCCGTTCCATATATTATCTACTCGTTCTTCGGTTCTTATGGCTTACTTTCTTATTTTATTTAGGTTAATTATAGTTGTTGTTTGTTTACAGTTTTGTTTTTCATCTTTTTTTTTTTGTTGTTTTTTTGCAGTAGCAGTAGGAGTTTTATCTGTAACAGATTTATTTTTTACTTGTGATTAATATATGTCTGAAGTTTTTTGTCCTAATTTCTTTGAAGGTTCTTTTTTTGAAATTTTGAAAAAAAATTTGTAGTTTTTTTTTTTTTTTTTAATTTATAGTTTCTTTCTTCTAGTAACTCGACTTTTTTCCTAATTTTCTATTATATTAGCTTTTTTTTCTTTCCTTTTTTGTGCAATGTCTTTATTTAGCAATTCACCTTTTTTTTCTTCTTTTTTTTTTTTTTTTTTTATAATTGATTTCACTTTTGCATGTTTTCTTGAAAAAAAAAAAAAAAAACATTTTGTATTTGTTTATTATCATTTACATTTTACGAAAACTGCGCTTATTTTATATATCACGTTGATTAAATCTTAATTCTCGAAAGTTTTCTCTAAATATTATTTCTTTTTATTTTTTTATTCCTTTCTTTTTTTAATTTTTTTTAAAGCTTGCCAATGTTCAGTTTTTTCTCGGCTCGCATTTTTTTACTACATTAATTGCATGTTTTTTTTCTTCTGTTATTGTTACTTAGTACATGTTGACCTCATTAACTGTGTGTATTTTTGGCGAAATGTAATATCAAAAATATGTAGCTAGACGTGAAAAACCATTACGTGAACATTAATGAAAAAAAAATGTTTAGCAAGGATGATTATAAAGCATCATATCTTTTTCTAATGTTGAATGATTCAAATCTAAATGACAAACAAATGAAACCAAAATTGTATGACAGCATAACACATACACATTAAGGAATGAAAGCATGTCAACAAACATAAAATTGATAAAACTTGTCATTTACATTAGCTGTCATTTACCGCTATTGCTATTCTTTTCTATCACTTTCTACTGCCACTTCCTATTATTTGCAATCACATGTAACTGTAACCATTTGCGACCACCTGTTACTATAACCGCTCGCAGCCATCTTTCACTGCAACCACGTGCCACTGTAACTATTTGCGACCACCTGTCACTGTAAGCGTTTGCAACTACCTGTTACTACAACCACTTGTTACTGTAATCACCTGTGACCACCTGCCACTGTAACCACTTGCGATCACCTGTTATGGTAGCTGTTGTAGCCGCTTGTACAGTAGATGGTTGCATGTGTCTTGCCACCAGTATAGACTGGGTATAAATAATAAAAAAGGTTTAAGGCCCGAAAAAAAAAGAATGAATGCTTGATTGTTGTACGATCTTTAATAATAATTTTAAGTAAATGAGATTAAAAGACCAATAAAAAAACTTATACGTAAAAGAAAAAAGAAAAGTAATGTATAAGTTAGAGAAAATCGAAACATGCAAAACATCAAAATCCCCGCCAAAAGCTCTCTCGTGATTTCACAATTAAGTAAAACAAAGGAGTTTTCTAGAAGTGTTTGATGATATTTAAAGTTGCATAAATATTTCGAGTGATCACACCTTTACTTTTGTGTTTGCATTTTCATTAATGTATAATTGTCGCTAGTCAATTAATTTCAATTCTATGTATTGATTTGCAGCACGATGTTAGAAAATAGATTTGAAAGATCGTCCCAATAGTTTTATCATTCAAAACCTTTTGTCAGAAAGCAATAACATTATAAGTAATGGAGCGAATTGGAAGAGGGTGTTAAAATTCGACAAATTCTCGTTTCTCAAAATTACAGCATATTAAAGATTTGAATGATCGAATAATTCCTTTTGCTCTATGAAACCATTGCAATAAATAGATTATCAGCAAAATAAAAAAATTGAAAAGAAGCTGTGGAGGAATACACAAAACAATTTTTGTTTTGACTAAACATTTCTGAATGATATATGCATTGCACTGAGAATAACTCAGCAATTATTGCTTTTGTTTTCTCTTCTTTGTAAGGTGAAAATTCATTGCAACGAGATTGATGGATGACAGATCATTTACCGTATTATGTGTTCGACAGAATAAAGTTGATTAGAACAGAGTAAAAAAATAAATTTGCTAAAATGATGTGTTAAATAAGCCATATTCACACAGATTGTTTCAGTTGATTTTAAATTGCGATTAAAGATAAGCTAAGAAAAGATCTTTTTAAAATTGGTAAAAAATGTCAGTTACATCAATGAGGACAGCGATGGACAAAACTTTGTATATTATCACCATGCGATGATAAAGAAAATATTGATGAATATGAAAACAGAGTACAGGCAGTAAGATTACTATGAAAAAAGACTCATCGTCTGTTATAATGAGCATAGACAAAAAGAATGGTTCGTGCTATACTCTTCAAAATGCAAAGGCTTGGATATACATTTATTTTACAATATTTATAAAGCTAATCAGTTTTTTTTTATAATAGTTAAGTTAAAAAATTTTTAACATTTTGCTTTATTGGTTTTCATTGAATATGATCATAATTCTTTTGTTTTGATAATTAAAAGATGCAGATAAAAGCTATAAAGTGTTAAGGAAATGACATGATCTATGCATTTTCAACATGTTTTTAAAGGCGAATGTGAGCTCTTCTTGGTTTAATTTGAAAATACTTGGTGTGTGTCATTTTTGTGTTGCATGATAATCGTATGTGATGAACATTCCTTGTTAATTTAATTTATGATTTAAATTAAATTGATTTAAATTTCTTATAATTATGAAATAGTGACATAACCATACATCGACAACTTCTGACTCAGCATTTTAAAGTATATTGATTGTTATTTTACTGTACAGCTACACTAATATTTGAAAATCACATTCTTATAAAATCCACTGCTTTATTCATAAAAAAATTGTTTTTTAGATGAATTGAAAATTTTTTGCTATACAAATTAGTAACAAAAACTCAGGTTCCTCTAAAAAAAATTGATGTTTCAATTTCCAATATCACCTTACTTCCTCATCACTTCATCATTTTGCAGGCATTCCAATTCATCAATTTGCAAACCATAAATTAATTACAAACCAATTGCAAACCATTTACAGACCACATGCAAACCATTTACACAGCATTTGCAAACATCCTTCATATTAAAAAACATTAAAACAAGTTTTGAAAAGAGGGTGTTTCGTGTCAAAGGAAAGTTTCATTCCATGATTTAAAAAAAAAAAAAAAAAACAAGACGCAGATACAAGATGGAGCAATGAATTGATTAAGGATAGCCTCTTTTATATAGTTCGAATAGTTTCTCAAAATGTCAAGCAAAACGAAACTGTTTTCTAGTTATTATGTTCAAAATTTTAGCTACCTTTAATTTCAAATACTGATTACGGGACTGCATTTTTAACATGATCTTTGCCACGATTTTATACTTTCAAATATTTTCCCGTCTATATCTATGTATGTAATTATAGACATTTACAATTTGTAATTTATTTGAAAACTAAAGTTGAGTATTTATGGTACTACATTCCTTAACGACCACAATTAGCAATAATTTGAGTTATAAGCACCTGCATTTTGTTATTAACACGATAATTATTCCTTGTTGACGTATCTGTTTGTTAGTTTCGATTTAAAAATTTATTTCAGACTCTGAATTTCTAAAGTTCTCAATCAGACAGAAGAAATGTTGTTTCAGAACTACAGCTTTTTATCCAGTGCATTCAACCATAATTTGCTTTTTATGATTAAGGAGAATAAAGTTTTTTTGCTTTAGCAATAATCAGTTATTGCTTATCTGTTTGTCCTCTCCTTATGCATCTAGAAAAATGCAAAAATACCGGTACATCAGATGAAGAACCCCACTGCATGACAAAGTGACACCTATGCATAGTAGCATTTTTTTTTAGATTTTTTAAATTTTATATATGTGATAAGACTTGTTCCATTTGTTCCATTTTTTATTCAAATACAATCATTCAATATTTCACTAGTTGATAATGAAAATAGAAGTGACGTTCTTAGATTCTTTTGGAGATAGTGCCAAGTTCTTTTCAAGCATTCACATACAATCCTCAAAAATTGGTCTTTTTAGCATTAACTGAGTAAGTTGAAGTACATCGATCCAATTATTTCCTATATACTAATAATAAAACCGTATGAAGTCAACAAAATCCTTACAGCAGAAGAATATCACTACTTTCAATTAGGTATTATAATTCCCGTTAATAACTAATGCTATTAAGCAGTGTGTCATAATTTCATATGATATGATTATCATTAATTCATTATTATATACCATATAATGACATATGGAAATTTTACTTTATATGCAGATGTGCATTAAAAATATTGGACACATGGTAACAATATGATATAAACAGGTCTGACTATACCGTGATAAATAATACATGACCACTCAACCAACGCTAGGCTGACTAATGATTTCAATTTATATTTATTTGAAGCTTATTTATTTCTACAATTAAACCATTACTCTCGGAAAATAAATGACATTCCGTTTTGTTTCTTTTAGGTCATTAAAAAAATGGAAAAAAGCTCTTATGTTCTACAATGCTGTTTGAAATTTCAGCCTTTTTAAAATTAAATTCATTCAAGAAAAAGAAGTTCTTTTTTTTTCAATTTTTCTGATGCAATTTCGAACACTTCCAACTGGCTGTATCAGTAATGAAGTGCTGGGCAAGATACATCGATGATGAATATTTCATTGTAAATAGAAACAGCTAGTTGTATAGAATGGGAAAGATAAGATCTGAATTTATTTTAGCAATAGAAATAAACAGCAGAAATCAATCCCGAAATTTTAGTGAAAACTTGCCCAGTGGAATCAGTTCAATGACTGTAGGAATTTTTTTCATAAAGCATCTCTGCAAGGGTTTAAAAGAAATTTTTAAACAAAAGTCATTGTTTTTACTTTTTTGTTTAGGTGGACATTTGCATTGTCAAATATGTTCATCAGTTTTACCACTAAGATTTTTTTTAAACCATTAACCTAAAGCATCGTTACACTGAGATTCAGGGAGCATGCATTACTGGAGCTTGATAATAAGAATCAAAATTGGTAAACTTTGTATGCCAAATTGAGTTTAAACAATTTCATGCCTATACAAATTCGAAATGTGGAAATGTGCAATCTATCCAATGTTCCCAAAGGATTCTTATCACCATTTCAACTATTTGCTAGCAAATACTGGACAGAACTTGAAACACTAATTCTAAATGCATTTGCGCTCATACTAAATAAGAGAAAAGAATTTTCTGGTTTTCACATCGATGGGAAATTATGTGCTACATTTTTTACATATTAAAGTGACTATCACGTGTTTCACACAAGACTCTCGAGTTTTATTTCTTAGATCCTAAATTATAACCAAAGACTAAGAGCTAAGAGTTAATGGTTTACTTTTTCACACTCGTACTTCCTGAAATCAAGAAAAAAAAATTCACAAGAAAAATATTCTGATTAGGTATAAAATCCTTGATTTAAAATTCCACATTTGATAACTATGCTGGCAAAAAGTTTTTTTCGAGTTCTAAGAACTAAGGATTTTCAGAATTACCACTGGCAGTTAACTTAATTCTCGAAGATTTTAAAGAATTGCTAAATTATAATGCTAAAAGCTGTCATTTATATTACTGCTAGTTGCCACCTCTGACATAATTCCGTGCATTTAAAAATTGTTCAATTCGAGAAAAATAAGGCAGATTCATAATTACGTCCAAGGAAATTGAAAAATGATCGAACAAGCGTCATCCGACGAAAGAAAAAAACGATGTCAAAATTTTTTTTTTTGCTCATACTTCTAAAATAGATTCGAGATTTTAATAATGGTTTACTTGTTCCCGACGTATTATATATTTATTAAAAAATGGTGCTATGCGAAAATATCATTGTATGAATTATTCACTGTAAATAGAGCATCTATCAAAATTCAGTCTTTTTGCACTAATAAAATGTAGACTCTCTTCATATTGGGTTCAAATCATCTTTTTGTGGTTAAAGATATGCAAAAAAGTGAAGAAAAAACACTTCCATAGCATGCAATAATTTCAATTAATAATAAAATAAGTATTTTTGTGAATTCCCGCTTGTTTTCTAACTATTCAATGCTTCCTTCCCTAAACAACACATCAATGCAGAATGAAAGAAATAAATTTTATGATCAATTTCACCGAGACAAAATCTATTACCTTTGAAATTTAGAAAGACGAAGACACTATAGAAAAAGAAAAGCATACTTAAAAAGGTAACGGCAGAGTGTGCAGTTGTTAAGCCATTAACTCTTCGAGAGTTACTTTCATTTATTTTACAACTCTCACTCTTCTCTTAAACTCAACACTTGATTAATTCAAGATCTTTCAGACACTGACTTACAATTCAATATTAACATTACCTAAAATAGATGGCTGTGTGTGGCAGGACGGGGTTGGTCATCAACAATAATGCGTCATAAACTTTAAAGTTATTGCAAATTTAGTCTCATAGAATCCAATGTTTTTCCACTTTAATTCCAGATTGAACAGAGTTATTCAATTTTCTATTCTCATCATCAGATTACATTAATGGACAGGACGTTCTTTCCAACAATTAACCCTTTTTTGTTTGACATCACCCATTTGATTACGAAAACAGGCATCCATTTTCTTTCTATAGCAAATTTTTTTCAGAATTGTAAAATAATTTACGAAAATTTCGATTTGCCAGGAAAATATTTTCTTCACAAACTTATGACGATGAAGAATGTAACTGATGAATTTGTATGAGTCTGGAATTGCTATCTATCAAGAATTTATAACCATAAATAACCTAATTTAACGCTAAAATTTAGTGCGCTAATAACAAATGGTTTCATCAATCAATAAGCCTAAGCTAACAGTTCCAAAATATTTCTTTGTTCGTTAGCAACTTCGAGAAATCATATTACTTGCTTATTTTCAGTCTTTCAGTTTTTTAATAAATGATTGATGATTCATTTATACGCGGAATTAAAATCAGTTGTATCTATATATAAAATTAGCCCATGTGATTTCATGCTACTAATTAATTGGAAATTGCAAAAATGTATTTTGTTTGCCCGCTCGTTGTGAATTAAATTGAATGAGAGAACTGCTTTAATTGCTAAATATTGCATTTGCTGTCTATTCTCCTGCAAGTTACACTGTTTTGTAGGTGTGATACGACAGGCCTCAGAACTAATGAAATGACATTCCAAAGGCTGATAATGAGGTCTGATTCTCATGAGACTCGTAAAATAAATTTATCTGCCAGTCAGGTTCCACATTACTACTATAATAGAGTTTTAGATCTGATTATCAGCAGTTAACTTTGGTGTATTCGCGTAGTGTGGCATCCATTTTCGCGTGATTTAACTACAAAAAGTAAGTCATTGTTGTTGCAGCATATTTGGCGTATATCCGCTGGTCAAAAGATCTCGTCTTGGGAAATGCTGCGTTCCTGGATCACTTCAATACTCTTCATTCTTGGTTTTATCAGCATTGCTGTGAATTGCAGTTTACAATCTGACCGATTCGACAGGCAAGATCGCGACTACCGACCATTGCAGGTTAGTTCTGTTTTCAATAGTTCGCTCTTTTTTAAACCGAATTGAATTGAGCCACTATTTTAAAATGCAACTTACAGTTTCATTATTTCAACTACTATTGTCAATATTTCTACACAGCATTTTAAAAAGTACTTCGTTTGTGAATTTCTAAAACAAGAAATTCAATGAATTGTTTTTTTTTTTTTTTTAAAAGAAAAGTTTACTTAAGGTTAAACAAGAATCACTGCTTGATAGTACCAAAAGATTCACATGAAGTGAGAGTAAATGTAATTTCTTGGAGATATATTTATCAAGAGAAACTTTTCTTTTCTTCTCATATTTTTCGTTTCAATCTTGCTATCAAATTATTACGTACAAATGAGCCTTTTGGCCCAGAAAAAGAATTAATCGCATAAATTGTTCTTGTTCTTTAAGAATCACAAACATCACCGTTCTTATTAAAATTCTCATACACAGAACGCCAGTTAGATTCCTAAATTTTTCCAAAAATTTTCATAATAAAGATAGATTCCTAAAAAAATTTCTTTGCTTATAAATAAAGTTGGCTATCAGACTACACCAGAAACCCTCAGATTAGGAATTCATTTTGAATGCATTAGGAAATTTCGCATCCTTTTCACTAATTAAAAAAAAAAAGTGAGAAAGAAGTGAGAAAACATAGTTAACGAAATATGCATTGCAGAAAACTGAAATTTCGTCCAGGAAACAAGGAGTTTTTTAAAATAACTTTTAAAAAGAGCAAAGAAACTATTATAATGACATTATTATAACCTTATCGTATCTTCAGAGATCGCACAGTACGCTTATTATCTATTATCATTCCATGTGAATACATACGAGATATTAAAGATATCGGAGATGAATAAGTAAATAGGTGTATTGAAAAAAAAACGTCACGAAAGTTCGCTCCTGTCATTTACATACCACGGATTATTATAGGAAGCATCCCAACAAATTTGAACATTAAGCATAATTTTTCTTAGCCAAATTAAAAACACTACAGAAGTTTAGAGCTCTAATTACAAATTAATTACCAATGCCATTCCTTTATTCCACCTTTTTATTCAGCCTGCAATCTGAGCAAATGTTTGTGGTTTCAAAATTCTCATTTTTGACTAGTGAGCTTAATCAAACAATTCATTTTTATTTTTCAATATATCTTTATTTAGAAATTTCCAATGTAGCTTTAACATCTACGATGGTTCTGAAAGTTTTAGAATGAAAATCACAACAATTCCATTAGGAAAATGAGATCAGGAAACCTTTCTCTCTAAAATAAAAATAGAAAAAGTAAAATATTTGAAAACTGAAAATTGAATATCAACAAGGCAAAGTCAGTTATAATTTTCAAATAATTTTGCAACATCTTTCCTTCTTCCCAAGAGTTATTTCTAGGCTGTACGTACTATCTGTCTCATCATCTCGTCTAGCCAAGTCATTTTTGAAAAATGCTTTTGGCAAAGATACTTTTCATTGCTTTCATTAGCGTTACTTTATCGTACTAGCATATTTTCGATCTCCTCTAAATGTTCTATATGATGGACAGAGTTATACATTTTCATTTGGTCGCATTTGAGATTATATCTCCACTCAGACTGACTGTCATACAACAATCGATTAGTAAATAACCGAATAATATTCCTATAAATACCTTTTAAGCAATTAAGTTTTGATATGAAAATAAGTAAAACTGTTTTATTTAAAACTGTTTTAAAAAGTAAACTTTACAACGTGGTATAAATTTTTTAAAAATTTAAGTGGTATCAGTCCATATTAATCACTCAGAAACTGATGGCAAAATTAGCCTAAACAGTGTGACAAGCTTAAATCTAATGCATCTCATCCTTTTCTGAAAGAATGAAATTTATTAGGCAAATTCCCTCATTGGACCCGGTTAATATCTTATGAAATCATTTTTTCCAATAAGAGTGATATTAAATTAGTTCAAAGTTAATTTAGTTTTGAAAGAAATAATTCCTTAATCTTTTCCTAATCAATTTCATCTACTTTCTTAAAGAAAAATAAGAACAAACAATACTTTTTCCGGAAATGTTAAAATCAAAATTGGTTGTGCAAGGATACGACATATATATATATATATATATATATTATATACCACCACTATAATAGAACTTTTGCAGTTCGGCAAACGAGATGGTCATCGACCATTACAGTTTGGGAAGAAAAGCTTTCGACCGCTACAGTTCGGAAAGAGAGGTATGGACGAAGCACCAGACTACTTCTATGATATTTGATTCAACACAAATGAAATTTAGAAGTGTCAAAGTTTCATTCGATACAGATGTGTGATATAATACTAATTTTATATAAGTCATGTACCATTCTACATACATTCAGTTGTGCTCATTAGCCCTCAAAAGTCTATTAAACTTTACAATAATACTGCATTTAATGAAGAGTGATAGAGCACTTAGAAATATTTGAAGCATAGATAAAAATTTCAGTAATCCTGTATGTTCCAATGTATAATGTTTACTTACATTTGATAACACATTAATTACTAATATTTCATCCTCAGAAAATAAAAACATAATGTTGTTATTCTCATACTTCACCCCACTGCACGATCCGCAATCTCGAAAAGTATCGAATTTAGATTAATTAAACTTATGCCGTACCATTTTCGGCAAAGCAAGATATATGTCTCAACTGTAAAATGGCATATCATCACGACTGAGATTGCAATATTCCTTCTCTCAGCATTAAATTATCAACAATTTGACCACTGGCATTTCAGTGGTCAAATCCATATTCACTATATCGTACTTACTATAGAGTCTTCGCGTAATCGGTGGGAAAACTGGAAAATTATTCAAAATAAGTGACCGGAACTGACTGATGGGTCTGGGACAGCTCGATAGGGATAGTTAGTGTAAACCAACGCTACCAGTAGACTTATCAGTAGTGGCAATGAAACGATCAACTGGAAATAGAAAAGTACAAGACAATAGATATATAAGTACTGATCAAAAATAAAAAGGGAAAATATATTCGAGATATGCCAGTCAAAAAAAGACCACTAACAGAATTATTTATAATTTCCCGTTTTTAACTTGAGATATTTTCGAACAACGTTGCAGATAACACCTATCAGTATTATGTACAACAAAATTAACTGTCACGTACCGAAGTCACATATTATACATGGCAGTTACTTCTGATGACACAAACATTTGCATGTCGCGACGCGCTTGTTGGCACGGTGAAGTGATGAAATGATGTTGGGTGTTGTGCTTTTGGCCTTGGTTTGTTGGTGGTTCTGTGCTGGTCCTTGCCTGAGGGTTTTATGATAAGAGCGTTGTGTGTATCTTTGTGTATGTATATATTACTGTCTGCTTTTATTATTATTTTTTTATTGTGCGATGAATAATTAATTATTCAAAATCCGAATAAAATATTTATTTATATATTTTTTTGCAGAATAACTGATTTAGTATTGCAGTGCATAGTGCATAGTGTCAAACGAAAGCAGTTACTAACTGATGGCAGGTTTAAACTCGAATCCATTTGCAGATCCATTTGCGGTATGTTGACGAAGCTTCAATTTTAAAGGCGCAAATTTTTCGCCTGAGAAATTTAGTTAATTCATTTACCAGTAAGTTCAGACATTTGCTTAGTAATAACTTCAGATACTCACTTGTTTCTTCATTTTTTTAAAAGGAGGTATAAATAGAAATCAAATTAATACATTTCATAGAATATTTCGATGTGTTTCATTCTGCTGCATTCTCTTCACAACGTTTTATTTGAGAATTGGCTATCTCTTTGCCCCTAAGACTTAGGAGCGTACACACAGTATTAAGCAGGTTCACTTAAATAGTTTTTTCAAAATGATAGCTATCAAAAAGTTTCTACGTAGGATCCGAGTGTGCAACAAGTTGTCGACCAAGGGATAGTAGATTCCAACGAAGATTTCAATCCGTTTGCTCAAAATGCTCTCTCTGCTCCTCCAAGGCCTCTCACACAGGTAAATAAAATATTTATTAAAAATTGCGTACATTAGGTTTGACTTCAAATTGCAAATTGCAAGAGTGTGTGCACTAAATTTTCAAATCATTCGATTTCAAATTATCCCAGATCAAGTTAAGTTAAATCTACTTATCACATATGTAATTTGCGTGACTGTTGTTGTCTAACCATGTACATTTTTTGAATGACACATTGGAAAAGATTTTTGGTCAGTTATATTTTTTTTTTCCACTTTTCTTTGTTCAACTTCAAAAAAAGATCTCTGTAGGCATGATATAGGGTCAAGTTGCTTTCTGAACTACTAGTACAATTTGAATAAAATGTGCCCGAATTATATTTAATTCAGATCTTTTCCCAATGCATTATTGATTAATCGATATTTTGTATGTAGGTCTTATTTTGTGTCCATCCCTCTTGGTCTCATTTAACTCCTTCTTTATCCATAAAAGTTGACACTACTTTTTTGTTATCCGACTTGTCTTTAAAAAAATATATATTGACAAAACCTTAACAGTGCGAACTTTTAATGTATCTTGTAACAATTTGGGTAATTATTTGGAATAGTTAAAGAGATTTAAGGAATTACTTCATGAAATTTACGAAAAAGGGACTACTTCTTAGAGTGAGAGTGAAGCCGTAATTGCTCCAATTTAGAAGATTTTAGGAAAATTTATATATGTCACTTTGAACGGTAGGGAAGACTGTTACTGGTCGTGCCCAAATATATTCCCTTATATATCCTGAACGTTTTTCATGATATGGACATGGTCAGTCGAACTTTTAGTTCAAAACACAGATATAGTTCTTTGAAGCGTTATGTATAGCAAATCTAATAATTCCAATAAATATTCGCATTATGTTTATTGTGTACAAAACAAGATCACAGAAACAGAGTAACAATCAGAGCGATAAAGGCAATGTATAGTGTTTTAATTTTGAACATGCAGTGCTTTCCTCAGTTTCCCATTTTATTACTTATATAAGAACTCGACATTTTAACAAAAGTTCCTAAATTTGTCGCCTGATTAACCTTGACTGCTTAGATAATAAATTACTCAAATTTGATCTAAAAGATTAATTAGTGATGAATTGCATTTATGGGCAACTGTTCTAAATATCCGTCATTAGTAAAAAAAGTAATACTCTGTTATGGTGCTACCGTGATTTCGATGGTGAAATGTTGCCATACGGAAAGGAAAGATACAATTCATTCTCGTATTAGCACGCTGAAATTATAATGGAAAGAAACTGCGGGGAATAGTGGCCAAGTTGACTTGAAAATAAGGTGGATTCAATTGCTATTTTTTTTAGGTTTCTACTTTACCTGCTATGTCAGTAATGTTTTGAGTTTTAGCCTGCAGCTGGAATAGCTGCAACAAAAGTGTCAGGACCAGTAATGAGCAGTGATGAACTATTTCGACGTCAGGAAGAACTAGAACGAAAAGCCCAGGAATTACGTAGGAGAGAGCAAGAATTAGAACGACAACAGCAAACTGGTCATAATGCTTCTACAGGAAACACACGGTCTCATAATTGGCCACCACTTCCATCTTTTGTCCCATTGGAGCCATGTTTTTATCAGGTATGATTGAGATGCATGTCCATGAAAATCTGAGATAAACTTCTTTTCTTAGATTACAAAGTTCTTTTAAACTTTAGCAACGTGTAATTGCACATCATTTCGTTAATTATGCCTTATTCTTGCTTGCTGAGTTAGTGTAATAGTGTATTTTGTTCAAATTTTTTTTTTTTTTTTTTTTTGAGAAGATTATGTGATTAATGAAAAAGGATTTATGTTCGGTTTCAGCTCATTAAATGAAATGCTAATTCTTCACCTATTCTTTAAAACAAAAATTATATTTGATTATATGCGAAACATCTCAACTCTATACACTTAAAGTTAAATATGGAAAAAGGGTGAGACTTGCCTTTTATTTCCTTTCAGGATATCGAAGTAGAGATTCCAGTACAGTTTCAACGCACGGTTACTTTAGTTTATTATGTTTTCTTGAGTTATGTGTTGGCTTTGGCAATTAATGTCGTTGCCTCTTTTTTTTACGTTATTTTTGGTAGTGGACCTATTGGCATATTGGTTCTTGCTATTATACAGATTTTGTTGCTGTCCTCCTGTTCATTTCTGTTTTGGTTTCGTCCTGTCTACAAAGCTTTCAGGTTTTTATATTATCTTCCATCTGCTTGAAATCCTTAATTAAACATGAAGTAGTGAGCAAATAGAATTCTTTTTTGAATAAATCCAGAATTAATAAAAACAAGTAGAAGAATGTTTGTATTAGTGCATTGTGTTTTGATGTACTTGCGTATTTAGCTTCGGCCAGTTCTCTTCCCTAATCACAGCTGCAGTTTTACTTTAAGATAATGAAGTAAATGAGTAAAATCTTGAGTTTGCTGTATTTCAGAAATGACAGCTCATTCAATTTCATGCTGTTTTTCCTTGTCCTTTTTTTTCATTCAATATTCACATTGGTGCAAGCGCTTGGCCTGTCGCAGTATGCTTGTGGTTGGATTAATGCTATTAATACGTTCCAGTAAATTTTCATATTTTGGTTAATTTTTCCCAGTGCTTCATTTCGATGCAGAGCTAACAATTTTTTTTCTAGAAGTAAATATGAAGGTCACTTTACTTTTCTAGCTTCCTAACATTCCATATATTTGTAAGCTAAAAATTTATTTAAATGAGATTAAGCTTATGATAGCTATGTGTGAAAAAAATGAGATGTGATGTTAACTTTTCTTTCTTTCCTTCTCCTTATACATCATTCCAGCCATAACATATTTGCATCCCTTATAATGACTACATCAGCGATCGCATTCACGGTTTCATTTCTTGGAATGGTGTTTGCATTGTTCAGAGTTCATCGTTTCTATCGTGGTGCTGGCTTTAGTTTGGACAAAGCACGCAAAGAATTTTCTGATGGTGTTATGGCCGATCGAAATGTTCAGCAGGTTCTTGTTGGTTTATATGTACTAAGTACCTTTTATATGTATTATTTCTATATACTAAGTGCGCTCTCACAACTCTCATAGCTAACACTCTAGAGATATGAAAAAAAAAAAAAAAAAACTGACGCAGAATCATAAATTTTTTTATGTTCATGCGGATGGACTATTGTCTTATAAATTCGAAGGATTGTTAACTTTCTCAAAAATACACTGTAATTTAGATTTAGATAAACTGACCTTACAAATGCTTTTTTTTTTATGCAAAGGGGACTTGTTTTTAATTGTTGAATTTTTTTTTTTTTGAAAAACTGTTTGAAATAATAGCATTGAAAACTCATAATTTGCGCACTTCTACCACTGTAAAGGGTACTAAGTTATAGTTTACGTTACACGAAACTGGTGTTATTCAAACAGATACATAGACTATATGTTTTTCCAGAAATTGAAATCTTAATGATAAAAGAGAAATGGATAGTTCTTTCATAACGTCTGTTTAATTTAGGCTGTGTCAGGAGCAGCCCGAGCAGCTGCATCAGCAGCTACTATACAAGCAATGAATCACGCAACGCAAAGTGGGCGATATTAATGCACTTTTTTTTTGGGTTGTACTTTACTTCATTATATATTGCGTTTCCTTTGAGAATCTTTAAATTTATTTATTTTTCTCTCATTAAATAATTTGGTAGAATTCTGTTTTCCAAAGCTGGAAAAATACAATTTTAAATGTTGTATTTTATAAATTAAAGCGGAAGTGTGTTCATTTGCAAAAATTTTTCACTTGTCATTTTGTGACTTTACATGACACATTGTTGATAGTCATTTAACGCTCCGACACTTTCGTAACTAGTTGCTAATTCATTTTCTTGTTCGATTAGACTGTGAACATATTTTATTTGTTTTGTTTCTGACCTTTTTTCTCTGTGTAATGATTTTACAACAAAATTCGGCTGATTTTACTGATCAGTAAAGAATGGATTTTAACTTTATTTTACCTCTGATACTTGTCGCATTGAGTTTGGATGAAAGGATGCTTGATACCAAATAGCAGTGCGTTTGAATATAAATTATGCTCGACAAAGTGTAAATTTAAATGCCTATAATTTTTTCTCTATCTATCTAAGCCCAAAGTGCGGCAGTAACAGAGACCGTTACTTCTTGTTTTCTCCGTCATATTTTGAATTTATTGCCTATATATATAATGTTTAAATCTGGTATTTTTTATAGGTTTATTTAGGTGATACTGTCTATTTAAATCTGCTGTTGCAAAAACTTTGATGCTTTGTCCGCATATTGGGTTTATAATAAACGATCTCACTGTGGTAGGAAAGCGTGATTTGGGGAAGCCATGTCTTATATTTCGTCTTATGTTTCGGTTATGTATGTTTATCAAGGTAGATCGGTTTATTATACTTGACGTGTTTGCTACCACTTCCTAATGAATATTTGTGTCCTCCATGCCATTTTAAAAGAAAAAATATTAAATGTATAGAAACATTCATTGTATATTATGGAAGACTCAGATCTACGATTTAAAGCTTTTTGAAATGATGATATCTGAACTTGTTAAGTGTGAGAAATGTTAAAGAATGGGCTCTCCATGTTATTTGCTTTAAAGTTGATAGGGGTTTTCAAGATGATCATTGTAGAAAAGAGGAATTTAAGTGAATGTAAAAACTGCCCTAGTGAGTTATGTATATTAAGTTGAGGGATGTACTTGAGTTGTTCGCTACCTGATTTGCAAATGGTCATCGCTTTCAACTATGTCTGATTTGATATTTCATTTTCGAAGCTCACAGTGAAACAGCACATGGGATTTTAGGCAGTCATAGGAATCCTTAGTCCCGACCAGTGTTTTACGAGATCTAATAAAATTTATTCAGTCTAGGTAATCTGCCACCAGTTTTGCATAAACAAAATTCAGGCAGGATTATTTGTGCAGTCCATACCTTGACATAATCTCGAAACAAATTTGTTACGTAATAGCTTTGAAATGTGATACAAAAAGAAATTACAGCATTTATTTAGTTGCACTACAGACTTTAGTTTTGATAGTCGTGAAACTGATGACGGAATAATTAATAAAGTTTATTCGTAGTAAATTAATACATCTTTGAGTCCCTGCAATCCCAAATTTGGTAAACTTTCCAAGTATCTTTGGCAACATGATCTTTTTTATAAATTTTACTTAAAAGTTCCATGATGTGTTGGTTGTCTGTGGTAACTATTCCGTAATGATCTGAATTTGAAATTTCGCTGCTTTTGTAATTGTCAGTATTGGCGGCAATATTCATCATAATGGCAGTTGTGATTTACTTATAATGGGACTGTTACTGTCATTATTATGATTGAATGGGACAAAGAATTGTACCCTACATGATTGTTGATCTAATCATAGCTACTGTTTATAGTCACGAATTAGTGATACTGATCTTTCAACAAACTGATTATCTTCCTTTTTGGTTGAGATCAATAGATATTATTTAAAAAACAAAGGCCATTTTCGTTCTTCTTAGTCATTGTGATAAATCATTCAGATAAGGAGTCATTCCAGGTCGTCATAAGTTCCATGTGATTTATGTGGCCAATCTTACAAGTCACTTTTATCAGCAGTTCAAATTCTAATCTTGTAATTTCAGAAGCTGAAATCTAGTTCCTTTTACCGACCTATAATTTCGATAAAAGATGAACTGAAATTGAATTCAAGTGAATGTAGATAAAGACGAGAAGTTAATAAAGAACTAGATACTATGGTTCAGCATTTGATAGAATTTTCGGCTGCGAGGCAATCGGAAATCAGTTTTCTGACTTATTTGGCAGTTCAAGAATCTTAATCATCGCTTGAAAGATATTCTGCTCGAAATTTAAATGACATACCTTTCTGCTTTCTAGACTTCAATAATTGTCTCTGTTTTAACCTGAAAGACTCGTACAATAGATTATTGCCATCCTCTAGAGTGCAGGCAGGAAGAAAAATGAGCGGTAGAAGAATGTTTCTTTCTGCTGTATAAAAAAATAAATGAATTATTACCTCACCTGGCGACACAATATGTTTTGCATAAATATGAAAGAGACGATGGGGATGTCATCTGCAAATAAACATGGTTGACAACTGCCAGTTGGAAGCGCATTGATAAACTATAAAACAGGTTTAGTGTATCCATTACTTTCATGTCACAAACAGCCATGCCGCCTTTTGTTCTGTCATACTAACTTGCCCCTCTCAAACTGTTACTAATTTTAGAATTTTATTGGAATATTTTGCTCCTACCCATTTATTTTCATTTTCTTTTGATGCATGTTACGTGTAGTTTGTCTGTCTCTGTTTCGTTTTTGTTTATACATCTTATCACTGAGATCATATCGGAATTTTAGCTAATTAAGAATGTTGCCTTTCTCCATTTGTCAATGAGATAAATATTTAGGATATTCATTTGCTTTTATTTAACTCTCACTTTTTATTTTTTCTCTGTTCAGATTGATTTATTTCTCTTTCATTCACGCTTCTGTTGCAGTGTCAGATAAAAACTTGTCTTGTTTTGCAATAAATTTCTCAATTACTGTCATCCACTAGAGGCATTTAGTCAAGTGATTATTGAAAATATAGAGAAAGATAAGGTAGCGCTTTTAGAATCTGTAAGAAATTTGATAAGTTAAGTATTAAAAAACACATGCTTTTGCTATCTGCATTAATTTGTAAAAGAATGTCTGTGGTCAGTAAGCACTGACATATTTCCGGGATTTTGAAGATTCATCATTTCTTCTGAAGAACTATAAGTTAACTTGCACTTCAAATTAAGTAACGAGCACCAATAAGTCAAAGTTTTTCAAGTAATTTCAAAATTTTCACAATGGCCGTCAGTTCTTGGCTTCTGGACCGACTACAGTCGCTGCATTGTGCGGTATAAATGTCAGACGGGAAGTTAATATGTTGCTTTTAGAACTTTATCTCTTATGTCCTATTATCCTTTACGCAGGAAATAGTATCACTGCCTCAAAGATTACATTATCCTGATAATGAAGTGCCATTGCTTTGTTCAGATGAAGTACCTTGACGCTCTGATCACCTGTTATTCCACTAATTAGGAAATTTATTATACTTTCCTACTTCCCGTCGAGTATTTCAACGTATCACAAAAGGCTATTTGTATGATTGAATAAATAATCATCAAAAGGTCTATTGCAAGAAAAAGTGAACCACGCATACGTACAGTGTATGAAGATCATTTGGGAAAGTGACGACTGGCCTGGTTGTGTTGTTGGTTCTAGCATTACTTGTTTGAATTGGATACCTAACGGCAACAATGCTAACACTGGCCTCTTGGCTACCGGTAAGCTCTTTCAGTTTTTGTATTCACAGTGCTTTGATAATACATTATTCTAAGTATCAAGCATATCAACATTATTTAACCTACAATTCTGGATGATTTTAGCGGAATAAACTTTCAGTCATATTTTTTAATATACTACGCGTTCTGTAATGTCGTAAGTTGTTTTCTTTTCTTTTTTTTCAGGATCAGAATCAGGAGCAGTGGGAGTAACAGCAACAGAAGCTTGCCCAATACGAGATGATAACAAGAGAGTTAACTTTAATCTTCGCGGTCACCATACTGCGGTGAATATAGTAGCATGGAACAAGGAGCAGATGAAATTAGCGAGCTGCGATAATTCGGGAATAATTTATGTTTGGGTACCGAACGAAGAAAGATGGAGTGTAGAATTGGTAAACGATCGTGGTATTAAGGTTAAACTAGTTTGATTAAATATGTAGTAAGATAGTTGAGATATATAATATAATAGTTATATAAGACAGTTAATATTCAGTGATGTATATTTTAGAAAATTTTTGTATTCTGATAAAATTAACATCAAAATTGTAAACGACCTGAAAAGTGATCGTAGTAGTTTTAGGTTCGCGGTGTAAACTGGAGCCCGAGTGGTTCATCAGCGCTTATTTGTTATGAAGATAATTTTGTTTTAATTGGTTCTGCCACAGGTCAGAGGATATGGTCTAGTTCATTTCCTACTACCGTCACTTGCGGTGTATGGGCTCCCGATTCGCGCGAAATTATTTTGGGATTCGACAATGGCACATTTCAGGTGTTAAATGAACAAGGTTACTTCTTTTATTTATTCAGCATTACATTGTGGATTTTTTCGCTCCAAATAATATGTAAATATTTCAGACAGGAAATCATTTAACTGTGATATCTGTTAATGTTTCATCTCACAATTTCAAACCACAAATGTTGTTGGTCATGCAGCGCACTGAAACCTAAACATTTGTGATAATGCAATTCTAAATAAATTGCCTGAAATAAAAAAAGGCTTTTCATGGGTTAAAATTAATTCTTTTTTTCTTGTCAGAAAATATTATGACTGAAGCAGATATATATTTTTGAAGTTTTAGGTGCGACAGTTACAGAAAGAAAGATGTATGTAAATGGTAGTATTCGGTTTTTAGCAGCATCTTCACGACGTGGGAATGACAGGTGGACGTTAGCCGTCTGTTCTGTAACGGGTCTTCTTAATTTCTTGAATTCTTATGATGAGGTTTGTTTTTACATAGAATTCGTTATTTTTATTATCATTGAATGCATTTCCGAAATTAGGCGTCTTGAATGATAAATAGATATTAGGTATCTATTGTATAGCGAGTCCTCTATTTTGCAAGCAGTCTTTCTTTTTATATGATGAAAGCTGATAAACTGGCAATTATATATTTCAAAACTTCCAAAATCGTTGTAAATTTTTATTATTTTTCAGTTTATGTATAAGCCAAAGTAGAACGAATAGTTTGATAATTGTCTCCACAATATTTTCTTAAACCTAAAGGAAGCTCTGTAATTTTTCGATTTAAAATTAAACCGTTTTATTTTTGTAGTTCACTTCGGGGAAGAAGCAGTTTCAAAATCCTCAAATTTGTTTGCATTTTTTATCATGTGTTCAGATTGACAGTGCAAAGTGGCAGTGCAATGAGGATCTCTTAAACATTGAGTGGAATGCTAATGGTACACTATTAGCTGTTGTTTGCAAAGAAAATCATTTCTTTATTATGACATATCAAGGAAACGTTATCTGTGATAGCCGAGTTTCGCAACCTTCGGCTACTGCTCTCACTGCGTTTGCATGGGTTCATGATGATCGCTTTATTATTGCTACATCAGGTTCGAGTTCAATTTCAAAAATTGTAGAGTTTTCTAAGTAAAACGGTAATATACGTTTTTTGTTTGTCTGAATCCTGCTGCTGGTTTGCTCATTCAAAAGTTCGTATGGCAGCGATGTAAGCACTTTTTAGGTGAAATATTTCAGGGAAGACGACGTACCTTTAAACATTGTACGTCTTCATCCTTTCGCAGCGTGCGAATCTTTTTTTACTATGCGAAATAAATTTGATTTCCTGTCTTCTGCTGTATTGGACTTCTGATTAGGTAATCAACTTGCTGTTGGACGGGTTCTACATGATGTGCCATCGTTATTCAGTTTGGTTGCTTATAACTTATGGCAGTTATTGGGCGCATCCGCACGACATATTGATATACTCCCACTACCTACACGCGAGCGAAATGCTATTCGTGCGTTGGATCATCATATAATACGAGTTAGTTTTTCTCAACATTGTGGCTTTTGTTAATTCTTTTTACAACCTCTTTTGAATTACCTTTTCTTGAAAACTGTACGAAATTTCAGAAGATTTTCAGAAATTAAGGTAGTGAAAATTTGGAACTGCTAACTATTTTCATACATGATATAAAAGTTTCAGTGTCGCATTCCATCACAAAATGATATGCTGATGAAGGTTTGTGAGCCCTCTGACTGGCGATGGTATTGTACAATACGCCCAGTACCAAGTAAAGTTCATACATATGTATTATGCATGGAGCACATGGCCGGCCTCATTCCTGTTCTACTTGGCAAGCAGACAAATAGAATTATTCCTCAATTCCAGATTTCTTTGTACAATTCAAAATTGACACTGGTAAAGTCGGATAGTGGGAGCTCGGCACAAGTTGGTGAGTGTACTATAATTCCTTTCCTTATTTAAATATTAGCTTTCACTGGGACGTACACCAAAATCATGTATTATTTCACTCAGACAATAAAGAGTCTTAAAATTAATGTATGAAATCTTATTCGAAATTTAAACCATTATGCAAAAGGATTTATTTGATATATAAAATTAATATGAATCTATTATTTATAAGTGCAGTAATCCTTTCATTTGCAGAAGATGTAGGCGCATTTGCTCGACAGTCTACACAGCGGAATTCTGTTTGGAGGCGAAGTAAACGGCAATTAAGAGCTCTTATGAATCGTTATGTTAGCTGTACTGTTAACAGAGATAGGAGTAAACTAGTTCAGGTACACCTCTTAGGAAGAATTGATGAAATACAGAAATATGATTCAAGCTTTCCATTATTATAACCAATTAGCAAATTTTCAGATTACTTCCAATGTATGGTGCACTCGTTTTAAAATGTTCTCCGCTACAACTAATATTCTTCCAACTTTCCTCGCTCAAGTTTGTTTATTTTTTAGGCTCTTTACATGGAGATTTCATCTGCTGGAAAATCAGAAGCTGAAAGAGGGATACATAAAACTGAAAAATTTGGTGATCGGAAGATCTTTATTTCAGGTTGTGTACAAAACATCAGTTCTTCACTTGCAACCTCGTCAAATGACAGTACAGTTGGCTGATTTGACCAAAAGGACTGGTAGTTCTCTGTTGAGTTCTCATTGTGCAACATATCGTAACCCGACAAATGATGCATATTCAAGTGACGACAGTGCCTTTCCAAATGATATTCGCAATCTCACTATTGCTCCAAGTGATCGGTATATATCGGTGTTTAAATTTTCTTCTTGTATTTTCTTTTTTGTTTATATTTTGAAAGGTTTGTGAAAAAATAATGGGTAAACTTGTAGTCATCATAACTTTTATAAAATAATCTTTTTTATTTAACTGATCTATTTTGAATCTTATTTTAAGAGAGAATCTAATCGGAAGGCGTGATGTGACAAGTGACATAGAAGCTCTGATTGATGAGACAGTTAAAGAACCGTTATCAACTGAAGAAAAACTTCTTTTTCAAGTACGCTTAACTTTTTTGTTAGCTTGATTGGTTTGTAAATAATGAGACACTGTTTGTTTTGAAAAGATTACCAGTTACTAGGGATTGAAATGAAAGATTTTTTCATACAAGTTAAACATATGGTTATTTAAATGGAAAATATCGAAATATGTTGAGATAGTGATATTCAGTAAAAGATTCCTTCAAAATGTAAACAGTTGGTGTTTTTTTTATAGTATTAGAATTATTTATGTTTGTTTAATTACAGAGTATCTTATCAGAATTCAATGATCTGAAAGCGGCAGTGGAAAGGCATATTGCAAAGATGAAGTGTTTTGCTAGTGATCTTGAAAGGTCATCGCAGAAGTTAAACTCTTTCGGTGGTACCACTAACGTGATAAGATATGTCTCTAAAGTGTCAACAAGGGCAACAACGCTTCCCAAAGAAGTATGCGTAATTGGTCCAGGCATGAAAACGCATTGTGATGAACTTACCTGCATTGAACCTTCAACGTCTAGCAGTCAGTGGTCACAACAATTCGATGATATTGAGGTTGTTACTGATTGGTTTCCATACATTCTAATCAGAATCAACAGTTAGATTTTTTCTAGTCTTCATGTCTTTTTATGAGATATTGGCATCGAAATATCGTAATAAAATATTCTTTCCTTTTTCCTTTTTTTAAACTATGTTGATTAGAATACAAACCTGATCTTTAGTATATTGATGAAGATGATGCTGTTGTAATAGATGATACTACTGAACGCACTCCACTTATCGAATGTTTTAAACCCACTGATGCTTCTCGTAAAGGTAACAGTTTACTACAGATTACTTTTTATGATATTTATTATGCAGTATTTCTGAATAATTCGTTATATCAATATAGATGATATTTTTATATATTTTTATAAGGATACATTTTTTTTTTAACACTGCATAGTTCAAATGTATTTCAAAATGAAGTTTGCAGCTTTAGGGATGAGACAGTTAACTGATATAACATCAGTACTGGATAAACTGGCAAAATTAGCGAACGATTTAACTACTCGCTGTGCGGTGGGGCAATTAAGTAATGGCGAGAGCTCAAATTCGGTGAATCTACAGTCTTCGTCATATTACTGTATGAGCGTAAGTGTTATATGATCCTGTATGATCATATAATAACAAATTATGATTTCAAAAAGAACATTCTAATATACGTAAGAATTTCTATGCATTGTGTTGTTCTAACTTCATAGAAAAGATGCCGAATTCAGAAAAATGAAACAGTGGTTTTATCGATTTCCACTATCAAATCAAAAAATTTATGGAAATTTTTTAAAGAATTTTTAACTTTAGGATTCAATAAAAGAAAGTCATGCAACAGTATCCTCTCTGAAATTGCAGTTGAAGGATATTTCAAGGAAAGTTTCACAGATCGAAAGGAAAATTAGTTATGGTTAGATTCTTTTGCACTTATTGTCTTCATGCTATTGTCATCTTTCACTTTTTGCCATGATCAATTTTGTTGCTGGGTATCGAAAATAATTTCTAATTGTTTTATTTACACCATACTAATTTTGGGAGATGAATTGCTCGATGAAGTTTGTGGTGATTTGCAAGAAAGAATTCAGCATATCAAAGCTGTGCTTGGTGAACAGCCTGCATTAAGTGGTGAAAATATCTCTTTCCTTACCATGAATAATAAAGCACCTTTTTGGAATGAAGCTAGCCAAGTGTTTCAGGTATGTACACCTTCTATTTTCAGTATATATTATAGAAAAAGTAGAGTATAGAGTATAGAAACAAATGACAAATTAAATTAGTAAATAAGTATGACTCTGACAACATTACATATCAACTCACTTTGCTTAAATAGTTTGTATTCAGTAATTGCTTTAGAGGTATCGTTTCTGTTCGGTTTTACAGTATTCGACCATTTGAATTTACTTGTATTATACACGGCATATAATTTCGGTTTACTTGAAGTTCGGGAATACTTCGAGTTTCAAAATATTATGCAGTCGCTTTTCTTCATTCGGATACCACGTTGTGATGTTTAAGATGATGGTTGCAATTGCAAGATAAAAAAACTAGTTCACTGTTTTTGGTGCACACTAACTGCTACCACTTATGTTTTCAATTATTTAATAAAACTGACATCTTAAACAAGATCTAATAATACATTGCAGTTCAGATAGTAACATTAAAAATGACCTCTGCATCTGAAAGTAACTTGACCGAGCAAGTGTTAATGGATTGTTCATTAATCTTAACTTTTGTTGAGGTCCACCAGTTTTGTTGTAAATCTTAGATCCATGTCATAGTCAATATGAACGATGAAGATGAAGATTTAACTATTTCAGCTGGATTTTGGTGGTCGTGTAACTCAAGAATCAGCAAAGAATTTCCAAATCGAATATGATGATCAGCAGGTTATGCAATTTGGACGCATAGAAAATGGCGCATATACGCTTGATTTCCGTTCACCATTCAGTGCTGTGCAAGCATTTGCTGTTGCACTTGCATCTATTACCCAACGTCTAAAATAGTATACGTTAAAGAAATAGTTCGAGCTCAATTTTTTTAAAGTAATTTGACCGTTGACCAATTTTATCGCAGACAGTAATGAAAGTGAAGAAAAAATTCGTCAATGAAATATCGTAGTTTACTCAGATAAGTGATCTACCATTTTGGTTAACCTTATAATGTCCGTGATACAACAGAATTTTCCAATCTATTTTATTGTATTGATGTGTGACAGTACGGAGACTCTGCATCAGTCGGTTTTCTTTTTTCTACAATAACTGTTAATTAATTGCGAATTCCAGTTAGTTTTGTGTTATTTCTGTGGTTTGACAATTCATCCAGTCACTGACCGGTATTTTTATTTGCTATATTTTGGCGAATTGAACGCCGACTTTGTATTCACATTATACACTTCGGTTGCTCTGTCAACTGTGATGTTCTGAATATTCGCCAAAGTCATCTTTATCCCGTTTATGTACTACAAATAGAGTTGATGAAGTCTTTCAAAATATTTTTGGGGACCCATCCCTAAATGCTATCCATTACTAACGACAGATTTTCTAGACAATGGTTAAATAGACAATATTAGTAAATCTCTTTTGCTAATTCATCAACTTGGTTTAGCCTGAAACATGTATATTCATTCATGTAAGTTTCGGGCTATTATTATTGCAGCAAACTGTATTAATCGTAATTATGTCATATAAGAACGGTGATATTGGCTCGCACGGTGTGGTATGTGGTAATATAAATTCCTCTTTAATGTGATATTTTTCTAATTCGTTTTACTTATTTGCGATCTAAAAGTTTGGTGCAAAACTTAGGACTTAGTAAATTACATTTGTTTTTCCCCATATAAAACAGAAGGTGAAAACTCTTGAGATGAGATGTTATAAATGAAATAAGTTTGGATATTGAATCGAAAAGCCTCTTATTCATTGTCGTTGAATTACATGAGTTCCAGTTCCTAACTATATTAATTATATTTTGATAACATAGTAGTGATGATAGAATCATTGTGTTGTCAGTCTTATTGTTAGATCTTCCACGAAAGTATGTTTGAGCAGAGAAAATAGAAACCATTGGGAAGGACATTCAAATGAATTATTGGGCATTGCTTGAATAAGTTTAAACTATTCAAGCAATGCCGCCTAGCACACATAATAAACTGCAGTATATGATGAGGTATGGAAAAGGTAGCTACGTGAATAATGCACTAATTTTGTTACAAATAGTAATACCATCTCAAAGTATTTCCAAAAATCAACACAACAGTAAATCGAAATATTGATCACAGATGAAGTCACTGGTTAGTGCTGGCTCCATTCTATACTTTTCAAATCAGTGCCTTCCTGGATCATTTCCCATAATGGGCTCATTTCTCTAAGTCGTTCCACTTCTCTGATACAGAGATCGGCTGTATAATCAATTTCCTAAATTACTAATAAGATAAAGAACCGAGGAGAAGATACGGAGTAAGAAGCATAAAATTTTTGCACGCAAGCTAAAAAATCAAATACTGTGGCAATATATAAAATACAAAGCTTCATAACCTCTTCTGTGGTAAACCTTCCAATCCCAAATCTGATGCTGGAATGAGCCAAATCTTCTTCGGCTCCTATAGCTCGAAGAACATACGAAGGCTCAAGCGATGCACTGGTACATGCACTGCCCGATGACAATGCTACATTTTTTAATGCCATGAGCAAACTTTCACCTTCAACGCAAGAAAATGAAAGATTCAGACATCCTGGAAACGTATATGCCTTATATATCTAAATAAATAGTGTACAGTTTCATTATTTGTAAAACTAGAGGCCGATTTGTAGATCTACATATTACTCTGATTTTCATAAAACCATCCCCATATATAAAAAAACTTTTACCTTTATTTTAGTTTCTAAACCCAGTCAGATAATAGCTTCTTAACAGTATGGGTATCATAAAGCTAACCTTGATAAGTCTGTTCTGGATCACCATTTCGCACAACATGACTTAACTTAGAATTTATACGATCTAACAATCGCCTCGACAGACGCTCGATATGTTTTTTATCCATTTCCATTTCTTCAGCTGCGATAGCACAAGCCTGATTTAGTTGAAAAAAGTAGAATACTGTTTATTTAGCAAATTAACCCGAACTTTCAGAACAAAAAAAGTAAAAAGAACTTTGCCAAAGCCAACAATAAGCGGTGTTGGGAGAGTTCCTGACCGCATGCCCCTCTCTTGTCCACCTCCTGACATTTGCGCTTCCAATCGAACACGAGGCCTCCGACGAATATACATTGCTCCAACACCTTAAAAGCAGTTACTTTTAACCATAATTCTTTCCCAATAGTCACAGTATTTTATGTAACAGAGTAAGGTGGAAAAAAAACCGCATTTCTTTACAATAAGACCCAAACCTTAACTTTGACAACCATTCACCTTTTGGCCCATAAATTTTATGGCCACTAATAGACATTAAATCAATATTCATATCGTTAACATCTATCGATATTTTCCCAATAGCTTGTGCTGCATCGCAGTGAAAAAATACGTTCCTCTCCCGACATATTTTCCCTACAAATAAGCAAAGGAACTGTATACCTTGTTCTTGACTAGAATAAATAAAAGTTACCTAAATGTAATATATATTACTGATATAATATATAAGATGTATTCCTAATACCAAACCCTTTTTATATAGCAAAATATTTTGATGCGTATCTAATTTAATGTCTAACAGTATGAAGACGCATAAAACAATATCAAAATCTCAGCTCGAACAAACACATTAAAGTAACCAATTTCTTTAGTAGGCTGTATGACACCAATTTCATTGTTCAGAATCATAACAGACACAAGGATGGTACCATCTGTAATAGCATCTTCTAATTCCTGCAATATGAAATTATTTCCAAGCCATAGCGTAATACCGTAAATGATGGTACAAAAGCTTGATTACTTCCTTCATATCACTACTCCTCCCCCATACCTGCACTCAAATGTCCTTTCTTACAAATCATTTATACGCGCTGCTGAGTAAGAACTTGAAAGGATATAAAGTTTGCCTTCAAATTGATTATCCCATTTTTCTGAACGGGTAAATAGGTTACTTTGAAGCCTTTCGTTGACAAGTGGCGATAAGAATCCAATACGCATTTATGCTCCTAAACAAATTAAATGTTATCAGTTTATGCAACAAATATAATACGCATAATAGAGTAAGTATAATACGAGAATGACAATTTAAAAAATATTCTTGCATTCATTTACGTATGAATTGGAGAGAAGTATACAACACTTCACAAAACTGAGGCAATTTGAAATACAGTTTCTAACCGTCTGCACTGTGATCAAGTGATTTTTTCCAGTTTCTCTGTAAAAACTGGCTACTCCTTTGATGGCAATATTATTCGATTCTGTAGCACCAGACGTGAAAATAACTTCACGTGAATCTGCACCAATTAATTTCGCTACCTGAACAGCGAAGTAGATGACGAAAGAGAAGGTGTAATAATGCACAGTAATCTTCAGTACCAATGTAATTTACCGTACTACTACCTGTAAGCGGGCTTTTTCAACTGCTTCTTCCGCTTCCCATCCATAAAAATGAGTTTTACTATGAGGATTACCATATGAGCTCACCATATATGGTATCATAGCGTCCACCACGCGTGGGTCCTTAAAACAAAATTTTGGAATCAAAGGACACTAAAATTTTGTGCGAATCAAAAGTGGTTGTAAGTATTTAAATTGATAGTAATTTAATTACTATCAATTTAAATCACCTAAAATAGTGGCATCATTTTCTGCAATTGGTAACCTATTGCTTTCTATGGAAAAAATGAAACAAGCAGTAACCATCGGTGTAGTTGCTTGCACATCCAAATACAAAGGTTTTAGATATGAATTTTGTGATGCCTTCGCTGCCATCCTACGAACTGCATACCATCTCCCAGCGATAATAGCAGTAGCTACGGATTTTGGCCAACCAGTAACTGTCGTTATGAACATTAGTTTACCTAAAATTGAACCGTTATGGACTTACTGACATCGATATATGAATGGTACAACAATATCTATACTAACAGCAAGAAACTACGATTCAAGTATTCAGTTTCCCTATTCTAATAAATACACTCATGACGGAGTGGATATACATGTAACAAGCAAAGATCAAGAATTTAATAAACAATGATTGCGGCATTTCACTTTTAGTTTACTTCAATAGCATTACACTCAGTTATGATAAATAAATGGGAAGAGGGAGAAAAGTCTGGTGTCTTGCGAAGGATGAGAAGGGAGACATGTTTATAGGAATAATAAAGCAAATATTCCAAAGGACGAAAGTTCACTAAGTCATACAGAACAATTTTCTCTGCTTTCGAAATTTTTCTCGATTCTCTGAGGAAAATGTGAACACAAGTGCTCATTTACAACTTACAACCGAAGGACAACAGCAACACTAGCAACTCACTAATTAATAAGAGCTAGATTAATAATAAGAAATATTAATAAGAGATAATAAGGGTTAGATAAGCACTCCAGCGCTGCAATAGTGATGGAAGGTCTCAGGAGGAAATGCGAGATATCGTATCTAAAGTGATATCTGGAGTGAGGTTGTCTTGCGTGTGTGTCTTCTCGATGAGGTGTGGATGGATGTAAGTGTAGAAGAGGAGCAACCCGGGAGGAGTATGCCAATACCGAGTCGTGCAAGCGTCTACGCCGAGGTCAGTTGTTGCTCTTGTGATTCTTCCAGTATCATTTACCTGGACCAAAACTAGAACTAAAGAAATAAATATTCCAATATATTATTATCTAACCGATATCAGTAACATGACGCCAGTGTAAAATTGTAGCATTAGAATAAAGTAAAGACAGCATGTAATCATGCAAGTAGGAATAAATAAAAGCTCTCAATCACATAATAAAGGTTTTATTGCTCTTTAAGATGAGTACATAAATAACTTGATTGAAAATCAGAAATGCGTGCACTAAAGCTTTATTGTAATTCTGCAGTCCAACTCTATGTTTGGTGGAAAAAAGAGAAGCATTCATTAATCTCTTTCATTCAAATGTTTGTTATGGCTTTAACGTGTGCAAACCGCTGTGGTCACGAATTTAGAGATACCTTTTTTCAGGTCAATCAGCAGAAACCTCGTGAATATTGGGACTATGAATGTCATATGATAGAATGGGGTAATATAGACGATTATCAATTAATCAGGAAATTAGGACGTGGCAAGTATAGCGAAGTTTTCGAAGGTGTCAGATCACCGTTAGATGAAAAATGTGTTATCAAAATTCTTAAGGCTTGTTTTTATTAGTATTAAAAAAAAAATTTTTTTTTTAAAAAGTAAGAACACGTGATAGACACCTCACTAGTACATACAGTAACAATAATGGAACAATTTTATGTTGGTCTTAGAACGATTTAAACAAAAAGAGGCATTTATTTTCCGTCTCTTTCTTTTGAGAAGACACGAATTATGGTGATGCCGATTTCCTTTTTTCTCTTTTAAGGGACACGAGTGTTTTTAGTAGGAAAAAAGCGAGTCTCATATTTCAGCCTGTTAAAAAGAAGAAAATAAAGCGTGAAATCAAGATTTTGGAGAATTTAAGAGGAGGAACAAATATTATCACACTGCTGGATGTTGTGAAGGATCCTATTTCTCGTACTCCAGCACTTGTTTTCGAATATGTCAATAATACTGATTTCAAGGTTATTTTTTATAATTGACGAATACTGTAGAGTATTACCGAGGTTTGATCAACATTTTTTGTTATGAACAAAGTAGATGAAAGTACCAAAATATTCTAGTGGGATAATTTGTGTAGAGGTAGTAGTCTCCAAGCTGAAGAAGTGGTTATTATAATTGTACAACTGGAAGTTGCATGTTACAGCATGTTATAATTGCAAAGTTGTTTTAAAAAGACATTTTTTAATTTTGATACTTGATAATCATCAAATATTGTAAGTGCCGCATGAACTTGATGGAATGATTTGAAACCGGGGATGTTAATTTCTTTATGAAAGCCTATACATAGTTATTGCTGCATTATCACATAATCAGTATTAATTTTGCTTACACGTGAAACTATCCGTTTAATTTTTTGTTAATTCTTCGACAAATGTTACGATAATGCTGAAGATGTGGGACTGCATAGTAAGTAATCTTAGTTTTAATGACAGTTAGTGTAGCAACAGTGGTTAGTGGATGTATTTTTTTTCACAGATTATACGTTTTAAATTTCCCTAATTATATATGCTTCAGCAGCTTTATCAAACTCTGACTGATTACGATATCCGTTATTATTTATACGAATTGTTGAAAGCCCTTGACTACTGTCATTCGCAGGGCATAATGCATCGGGATGTTAAGCCACACAACGTTATGATCGACCATGAAAAACGAACAGTTAGTATATTATGCAGTCTCATTAATTTATTTGAAAACTGCCACGATCTGCAGTCTTATAAAGTGTATGTGTATGTCCACTGAATTTTTTTTGATTTTTTAAGCTGAATAAAATGTAAAGATTTACTCCCTATTTCGAATTTATTTTTCTTTGTTTCATAAAAGGGAGAAGAATTAGAGTTAATCTATATATTTTTAGTTAAGACTTATTGATTGGGGATTGGCTGAGTTTTATCATCCGCGTCAAGAATATAATGTGCGTGTTGCATCGCGTTACTTCAAAGGTCCCGAACTTCTAGTTGATTATCAGGTGAAGTTGATTATGTTTTGTTTCTTAAATCTTCAAGTTTTGAAGCTTTTTTCTATGAAGTTTTAATTTACTATTTTTTAGTGTTATGATTATTCACTCGATATGTGGAGTTTAGGCTGCATGCTTGCGAGTATGATTTTTAGGAAGGAACCATTCTTTCACGGTCATGACAACTATGATCAGGTTTGTAACATTTGGCTTCAGTTTCTTTCTTCCTTAATTTTTTGACTTTTGATAAGTTCTTCATACTTTTCAGCTAGTGCGAATTGCAAAAGTTTTGGGCACTGAAGAACTGTTTGAATATATAGACAAATATCAGATTGATTTAGATCCTCGATTTAATGATATTCTCGGCCGGTTAGTTTTAATTAGTAAAAAATTTTATTTTTATAGTAAAAAAAATTTTTTTAATATATAATTATTCGTATAATTATTCTTCCCACCTATGGATACTTTTCTAAAGTTTGTTTAGGCATTCCAAGAAACGATGGGAGCGTTTTGTACATAGTGAAAATCAGCATCTGGTTTCTGCAGAATCAGTAGATTTTCTGGATAAGTTGCTTCGCTATGATCACCAGGAACGACTCACTGCGAAAGAAGCTATGCAACACCCGTACTTTTACCCTGTTGTTGAAAATGAGCAGCACAGTAAGCAAGATCTTAATGCGTCTGCTGCTAATTGTAAGTTTCACTTCGAACACAAGGTATGTGAAGGAAAGGGGAGAGGAAACGTGGAAGTTACATCTATTTTTTATTTTGCAATTGGTTTGTCTAAATCTAACCATAAAATTTTTTTTAGAAAAGCAAATATTTCTGAATCTTTGTTACATTTTGTTTTATAGCTGGAACACCAGGCAATCTAAGTGCACCATTGGGAACTCCGCTTTTGAATAACAGTGGTGTAGTATCTTCACCTCCGGCTACCACTCAGTCGGCACAATCCTGACTTATGGAAATACTCATGTAACGAGATTACCATACGTGTGAAAATGTGCAGAGGCACTTTTGCCTTTCGTCACTTCTAAAAATGCATACTGGTAATCAACTTCATGTGAACAGTTTGGCGGCTTGCATCACGCAATTGAAAAGAAATATCTTACGTTTAATTCTTATCGTTCGATTATTTTTTCAAGATATGTTGTACTCGGTTTTTTTGCTCAGCGAATGTGTATAAAAAATCGTGTTGTTAAAAGAATGTTTTCTTCATCAATGTTCTTTCCTCTTATGATTTCTTCCGTCAAATGCACATGGTTTTCATTTACTGAACTGTATGGATAGTTTATTTTGAAATGAAAATGTTTCCTGATTATCGTAGTGTTATCATACGAGAGAAATATGAATAACTTGATAACAGTGGAATTACCATAAGTTTTCCAGGACAGTGCGCTAGCATTCCTTTACAGTCCCAAGTAAGCTTAAACCATTTCATCACTTTTCCACACAATTCCAAACTAGATTTTTAAACAATCGCAAGGTTAAGCCAAATTCTCATTATTCGTGTGTACTGGTTTCATTGCCAAACCAATTTATCTGGACGAAATGCACCTGCAATGCATGCGAGGGTGATACAACCTGCAACTCATGCCAGGATGAGTTCAAGTACTAGAAATTGTTCCATTTATCACTTCTCTACACAATTCCAATACTGAAGTGTGGAATTGCACATCCTTTACCTTTTTAAAATAAATTCAACACTAAAGAATGCGGCAATAACTGATAGAGCCGACCTGTTCTCCGTGAAACAGCCTCAAGTTTGATGTACAAGTTTCTAAACGCGGATTTCATGACCAAGCATTCCTCATGTTCCACTCCACAAATCATAGGAATATACAAAAGAAATCTCCCTATTCGACTTGAGAACATTGTGTTTTGCCTCCATATGCGCAAATATTGAATTCATTCGTTTTCATGTGTCATATAATATTCATAACTGACAGAAGTCATTTCTTGTACCTAATAACAAAATCAAAGTTGAAACAACTCATAGAGCCTACAAATCCTAAATCAACAGACGAAGCATTTTACGCTTGGGACCGATTATATGCAGTCCATCTCACGAATGACGTTATGATATCATTATTCCTGTAGAAATAAAAATTCTTGAGACAAAATGATTTAAACATTGACAGCTACAAAAGTGGAAATGTATATTTGCTTCAAATTACGAGCATTTCTAAGTTAAAAAGCATATGAAAACCCTTCTGTTAATCTGCACACTTCTAGAAATGTAAGAGGGAAAAATAAAACAATATCGATGTTCTACAAAAATACACAAGGAAAGATGACGGTTGAAATTTTGCCGGCATGCGAAAATGCAACCACTCGAAGCTTCCAGAGCCAGAGATCAATCTCCCCTTATTTAGCTGCTCACAAACTATTTATTGCTTCGTCGTTATTCACCAGACGCACTTTCCTCTCCTTCAAGTTATTTAAGTTTTCACAAAAAAGATTTTTTAATTCAAATATTGACCGCATCAAAAATTTGCAGAGGTCAGCTGATATAAATATATACAATGATTTCAAAACTGCAAAATTCATATGTATTGGTCTTTTTGTATAATACTGGACAGAAAAGCAAATGCAAGGTGCCTTAATACAAGATTCTTAACTTCTCCAGCAAAATGTGGAATACAAAGCCCAATATTATGTCTGATTAAAGTCAATTCATATTTGTATTTGACTATTTAGCTACCATATGTAAAAAAAACATTATATTGAACTACCTTATGCCTGCTTTGCAACAGTATGAAATCGGGGATCATAATCGTCCCATCTCCAGATAGAAGTAATAAAATCAAATAATCTTAGCTGCTTTATTGATAACACAAACTAGCAGTAAAAAAAACAGATACTGCAGAAAGAATGTTTTAAAAACAAACCTGAGTAGCACAAAGCAACGATGCAATTGCGGGAGTACAGTTTAGTTCTTCAGAAGTAAAATCTGTACATGAAGGAATAACACGTCCGTTTGGTAACTTTGTTCCTGGATTGCGCAACACATCGAAAAACAAATGTGCGCAAGCTTCTAGTGGGCTAGGTCGTTGATGTGGTGAATAAACAAGTACAAGTGATACAAGATCGATTGCTTCCAGATTTGTATTTGAACGGAAAACACGTATCCACGGGCGCGGCTGCAAATTGTTGATTGGGGAATAGAATATAGCGGAAACATTTAGATGCGATCAATAAAAATGAAAAAAGTAGTGAGCTGAAATTAAAAAAGAAATAGAAGAAAATGGAATGATCCAAGTTGATGAATGTCTATCGCAACAATACTATTATTATTCTCCATAAACTTTTCACAGTTAATATTTCATAACGAAATATAAATCATCAGAAAATCGTAAATACATCTACATATCAACAACTGACTATTCAATATTTACTTTGATAGGTGGGAAAGTGCGTTCCTTATAATCAGGGTTCATCTCATGAATATGTGTTTTTGACGGAGTACCAAGAACTTTGATAATTTCGACAAGCTGATCAACTCCAGAATCACCAGGAAATATCGGTTGTCCCAACAAAAGTTCTGCTAGAACCGTTCCTGCTGACCACATGTCGATGCTGCAAAAAGTGATTAAATATTTCACATATTTCATGATGTTGTGGGATTCACTTCAGCAATGCAATAGCTAGTGCTTGGGAAAAAAAAACCCAACTATTTTTCGAGGAAATACGAGATTAAAAAGTTCAGAAAAATAAAGTTAAACTTTAAATACGCTCTAACCAGGTTGAAAGAAACTTTATTCACTGTTGACAAAGAGTTGGCGTAACTTCACTTAATACCTGTTCGTATAATTGGTGGCACCGAAAATAAGCTCTGGAGCACGATAATAACGAGAACAAATATAGGAAACATTTGGCTCATCTTGAATAAGATATTTGGCTGAACCGAAGTCACAAAGTTTAAGCACAGCAGTTTCAGTATCGATGAGCAAGTTCTGTGGTTTGATATCTCTGTGGCAAATTCCTGAAAGAACCCAAAACCCAAAATAAGTGCTTAAGCTGTACAGCATTTATTGTCACTGCTAAATCAAAAAATTCTCTACGATTTTCTGAGTAGTGCAGTCGATCAAAAAATATTTTTAAAGTCGACAGTAGATCACTGTTTATCCCATTAGTTCCATATTTATTTATAGTTGATAAAAAAAAAAAAAAAATGAACTTATTTTCTATATCTGCAAATGGATATGTAATCAAATGATCAAGAAAATCTTACCAAGTCGATGGATGTATGCCAGAGCTCGAAACAACTGGAACATGTACAACTTGACGTATATAATAGGTACCGTTTGTCGCAACTTGGAGTAATGTCTGGCCACACGGTAAACTGTCTTCGGCACAAATCTATTCGTAAAAATGAAAACTAGAAGTTTAGAATTTACTACTTTGCAGTACGTATCATTTGGTATTAGATCCAAAAAATATTCATTCTAATGAAAAATATTAGTAAAAAAGGTAGTAAAAAAATGAAAGAAATGGAAGTGAAAAATGAAACAGAAATAAATTGCAAATATGAGACTTACTCTAAAATCAGATTCAAATACAGTTCGTCCTTCTTTTCACCCCCTGAATAAAAAAAGTATTTGAGTTGCACAACATTTTTATGATTTAACTTTCTCATTATTTGTAATTCGCGATTCTTAAACCGCTTATCCTGGAGTACCTTCTTGATTGCAATTTTTTCACCTGTGTCGATCAATTCAGCTAAATAGACGACACCAAAGGAACCACTACCAACTACCTGTAATCAAACCGAAATTTGCAGAGCTAATTCAAAACAGAATTCTGAAAATGACTTATATTAAGATTGATTTTTGTATCTAATAATCTGATTTCGGTGTGGTCTCAAAATTTCGAACTGATGATGGAAAAATTAAATATAGAATCGAAGAAAAACCTATGGACAAATTCTCACACTAGTTTAAATTGGAAATAAAGCATGCCAAATACCATAACCAAAATTAATTCGCTTAATCTTGAAATAGAGAAAAGTAACCTTAGTATCTGAGTACTGCACTTCTATCTGCCGATCAGGTTCCTGCCCGGGTGAAGCAACAACTGTAGTCATTAGAACAATATGTGAGTGTGACGATTTTGTGTGTTCAGAGCGGTAAATGTTTATTCATATAAATCAATCCAGCATCAGCACCTAGTCTCTTGACCCAGTAAAATCTACAAAAAGAGCCCAAATAAACTGAAGAGAAACGTGCGCAAGATTCGAGTTTAGCAAACCTAATTTATAAACTGAACAAAACTAAACCAAACATAATAAACTGATACCGTCAAATTGAATCCTAATCAATCATTTTAGTGTAACTCTTTCTTCCAAAGATGCATTCAACGCAAATGAAAACTAAATTGAAATTACGAATGGCAGTGGTGGTATCTTTCTTTCCTCACTACATCTGTGACAAATGACAAAATATCGTGATTCAATTAAATAATAACAGCAACAATACTTACTTGCATACAAAAAGGCATCTCGTAATGAAACATTAGCAAGAATAAGGCCAGTTAGCTCTGTTAATAATGAACCACAAACTATATTGAAGTATCTTCTCCTGTAAACCTCCTCAACTGATGCTCAAAACCTACGGCTTGCTATCCGCACTACTAACCCGAGCAGATACATTCACCCCAGCAAAAGCCAACACCCCCTACACCAGTCTGGAAATGCTCAAACTAAACGGAAGGAGGCCTTGCGGCCCGTTCGTTTTTAACGATGGATTGATGTGTAGATCATCTTCTCTCCCCGTCCCAGTAGCTATTCATATTTATAATGTTTTCACTTCCTTATTCGTGGGGTGGGAGCTTATTATGTTTTTATTCTCACTCTCTATTTTCAGTCATGACTTGGAATTATCAGTCTTTCGTTGCTTTATGTATAAAAGGATTGCTGTAATCAGGAAGTTACGATTAATAGATGTCTGATAGTTGCCGAGATATTCTGTCTTGCCTTTATCATTTATATCATTCATTTAACAATTTTAATGGGTTTAAATGTGTTACGAATTGATGCTTTCCTAACTGCTGTAAACAAAATCACTTTTTAATCTTGAAATTACTGACAACGATGTCTCATTGCAGACATGCTGTTTGATTATGCTTTTTGCAGTGCAAGACGACACTTGTTTGCTCTTTTGATAAACAAAATGGAACCCAGAGGTATTGTTACGATGACTAATGTGAACGACGTCTCTTTTATCAGGTTTGCTTCATTTTTGGTGATAGCATTTTAGATAACTTCTGTACTTAGCCTTTCCCAGGTGTAATCTTTTATTTAGATTGTAATTCACGATCCAAAAGTTCGTAGTATTTCTAATAAAACAGTGTTTTTGTAGTTGCTCATCTCTTTGTTCTTCCTGATCATTTCTCTGTGTTTCAGAACTCTCCTAACATTACACAAGCATTTCTCTAACATTTGCAAACAGTATCTGTTTAGTATCCATTTTACTGTCTTTACTAAATAATAATGCAGTATTTTTCTAATTATTTTCAAGTATTCATGTTCAATTCTTTTCTGCTGCACTATGTTATATGTCGTTATTCCAAACAAATCATTAAATGTAGCATTCTTCGCAATTCCTTCTTCCAATATTCTTTTTTATTCTTTAATATGTCAAGATTCACTGTTTTACCTTTCCAGTTAATATTGTTGTGCGTTAACGTACTTGATATCGCCAAGAAGTCCTAGAACATTTATTGATAACTGCGTTTCTTTTTTGTTTTTCATGCATTCGAAATCAATAAAATAAATGACTTTTCTTCGCTATTAACATTTTCATAATATTCAAATGAGGGCATCTTCAAAATTACGAATAACAAAGGTATCGGAATTGTCCTTATAGTATCTTCCATATGGTTTCAACTTTTTATGTCCAGTACTTTTTTCTGCCAAACTCAATTTTCTTTTGACATGTAACTCAATTTTCTCTTGGCATTACTAGAGATTTTTAGCATACTTTCACGAATATGATTTAATAGCAAGTGTAATACTCAATTACCAATTGGAAAATTGACTAATCGCTTACACAAAACCATTATCTGTAAAATACAGAAGTTGGATCGACTTTTTTTTTAAACCTTTTATACTGTTTTTCTAATATTGCATCATTTTTTATTCATTTATGCTATTTTCAGTCAGTATGATGCGATTGCACTGGACCGCGAGCTCTTCAGCACGTATGCATTCAATATCGATCAGCTAATGGAACTTGCAGGTCTAAGTTGCGCTCATGCAATAGCACGCAGTTGCGATAGAGGAAAAATTCTCATCATTTGCGGGCCAGGAAATAATGGCGGCGATGGTTTCGTATGTGCACGCCATCTAACATTTCTCGTAAGCATGCGAAAACACGTCAGTCTCTGTTTCAGGAATAGCTAGGCGATTTGCTTTGGAATATTAAATTATGACGCTATACTTGAAGTAAGCTACTATATGAACCGTGTGTTCTGAAATTTTCACTGAACAGTTAACAATCTCCAAAACATCAGCACAACAAATCCTGTAACATGCAACTACATAGAGCGTTAAAATGGGCTGTTGATGATTATTTTGTTAGAAATACTAATGTATCTAAAATGAAAGGTAATTTTGATTTCCTCCCAATGAAATTGATAAAACGCATTCATAGGGTTTCGAACCATTTATTTTCTATCCAAAACAGTCAAAATCAGAACTGATGGAACGTCTTGTGAAGCAGACAAAAAAAGTGGGTATACCACATATCGATGACAGTGTTTTCAAAAATCCGTCTGATATGAAAAATAAGTTCACGTTGGTTGTGGATGCTTTATTTGGATTTAGTTTCAAACCACCATTAAGACAGCCGTTTGATCAAATAATCGAGGCAGTCAATAAAAGTTCCCTACCAGTGGTGTCAATCGATATACCTTCAGGTAAATGAATTTATTCAAGTGTTTTCGAAGTGAATGTAGATATTTATGCATCATTTTTCTGCTTCATCTTTTTTGATTGTTATTTGATTAATGACTACTTAAATTACGTAAATTAGTTTTCGCAATGTGTACATTCCTAGATACTTCAAAATTTCATGCTCTATTGTCAAGTAAAATAATTTGAGAGAATAACTGCTTTTAAATAGAGCTTTCAATAGCTATTTATTTTTACGAAAGTTTTGAAGAATGACTGTAGAGAATTCGAAGAATTCATTAAAAAATAGGGTTCAAAAAACTAAAAGCAGTACTAGGAATATTTTGTTTTTAATTGCAAAAATGCGTTAAATAGCTGAAGTTAATTCGATGGCAATACTTTAAACAGTTTATAATTTAAAGTGATTTTATCATCATTTGAAAATACAGTATTTCTTTTAGATGACTATTTGTACAACACACTCAAGATATGGTCACAGTAATGAATAATGAAGGCGGGTTTTCTCTTTTCCATCCCTTCCTTCCATTTTCCGTGTCATTAGTGTTAGAAAATTTTAAGACGCTTCTCATTATAAGCAATAAAAAGTAATTAGTAAATTGGATAGATGCTGTATGATATGGGAAGATCGCATTGCTTTGTTGATGAAAGAATTGTGTATTCAAAGAGTACTCCAGTTCTCCTTTTTCACACCTTATTCCTCTCGTCAATGTCGTTAATGTGATTTTTACTGATATTTTCTGCATGCCGCCATTTTGCCAGCTCCCTGCTGGTGAAATTGCCTCTGATCCTTTTGATCATGCTCCCGTGAATTCCAGTCGCGTTTCAGTCTTTTCGATTTCTATAAATTTGTTTTATCATGAAATTAAGACGTTCTATGTTGTTTACTCAGTCAGATTCCAGTACTTAATATATCGTATTTCAGGATGGGATGTCGAAAAAGGTCCACTTGAAGAACAACTCTCATTCAATCCTGATGTCTTAATATCTTTAACAGTACCAAAACTTTGTGCAAAACACTTTCATGGTCGAGCGCACTATATCGGTGGTCGATTTGTACCGAAAGCTCTCGCTTTGAAATACCATCTAAATCTTCCCGAATATCCTGGAACAGACTGTGTTGTGAAACTATTCTAAAGTGCCCGATTACTTTCTTATCTTGGAATCAATTATTTTATACTGTTAAACATTTTGTTTACTTATTATTAATGATTAAATAAAAATTTTGTTTAAAATGATCAAGTTCAAACAAATAATTGATTTTATATATGGAAGACAAAGATAACTCAGAATAGGGAATTTTCCTCAGACGAGTCTGGAATATAAGGTCCAACGACCATTATCTGTAGTCCAACATGAAGTGTTAGTTAAACTTTTATCCAGTACTATTTCTTAGTCATTTCCTTCGTACATAGAAAACTTAACTATCCAAATGCTGGTGTGGTAGAATGGTGTGTTTAACATTGCCAGGAAAATTATCTAAATCAAGACGAACGGTTGTCACATCTCGAATAACTGATTTTTTTTTTCCTGCAAAACATATGACAGCGAGTGGGACGACAATGTACCGTTCTATGAATTGATTGGATGCAGTACTCACTCCTAGGAGACAATAATTTCACCAAGAAACATTTGAATATAATATGCATCTCTAAATGAGACAGCTGAGAACGAATACGGTACTGTATGTATGTTACAAACAGTCTGCACTGCGGGGTGCACTGCAGTCTGTGCATCTCTATCTGTTCTTTCCATTCTTCCGTTTACGGTAGTTACCTTACAGCACACTGCAAATGAGCATGGAGGACCGCCCTATTGGTGGACGTTCTTGTGCACTTTGGCCGGAAGAAGATTCACCACCCCCTTCGATTATATGTGCGAGATGGTGCACACCGTTGGAAATGGTCTTGGAGTGTTGGAAAATTTTAAAAGCAAACAAGAAGGGTCATCTTATTGAACTGCTTGCTGTCCTCCTGCAGCACTGGACACACACGTCATGAGCGATTCGGAGGATTCGCCAAGAACGGTAAGATTCCTGCTATTATTCATTACTTACTTATTTATTTACTTACAACATTTGCATCTTTGCACAACTTTAATAACCTATCCAGATGGCAATATTATCAGCACAGCATTATTGTCCCAGTTCCATACTGTGATATTTAGATAGAAAAATAACGCTTCACTCCCGAATCATATGTTACACTGCCATATAGATAATAAAGTTAGTTGATGTGACAATAGAATTTGATACATCATTCGATAATTCTGTCTCAGCAATGTTTGAGTCGAAGATTGCATCTTATTAAATGTAATTTATTCAACCTTCATCGAACTTACTTTTCAATATACACATAATTTTGTTTATTAGAATGTTATGGTCTTACAATATGACAAATTCTCACTTTATTTGAAGTACAAAAAGATCTAATGCTTAATTATTATAACATCCATCTAATATAATAAATTTAACACTGAGCTGTTGTGACCATTGGCAACGTAATCAGATGAAATAGCCTAATGTACACCTTCGTGAGACTCTTTATATAGCTTTCTGATCAGAAACTTCCTTATGAACGAATTGCAATATTAAACAAAAGCTGAACTTTTTAATAACATGCTTAACAAGTTAAAACTAATGCGGTATTTCTGGTGCTCAGTAATCAGCTTATGAAATTGGATGTTAGCTGAATTCCAAAGCGGAAAGCATTGAACATGAAAAAAGTACAATAAAGTTTCAACAAAGTTGAATTTCAAAAATCGAAATTAATTTAATAAAATGACAACAAAGATTTCAAGTTAATGCTGACTTTGCCTTTTGTGACAGACTGTTGAAGTGAAAATACATACCGTGCCGTTTATTCGATTTCTTGTTTTAGAGTAGTTTGTTAAGTATGGAAGAAATCGAGCCATATGTAAGGCGAAAAAGAATGAATCCTGGGAAATCGAATAAGTTGCAAGGTCTTAACGAAGAGGTACTCATTTCCAGCTATGATTTTATTTCAATTCCACAAAATTCTCTAACCACTTCTTGGCTTATGGTTGATTGTAGGAATCAAATTCTTCCTGAAATTTCCTTTTCAGGAACAGGCAGTCTTGCGTATGAGTATTAATTCAAGGGAACGGAAAAGGATGCACGATCTGAATGATGCACTTGATGAGCTCCGACAATGCTTACCATATTCGCATCGTGCCGGATCCAGAAAAATGTCCAAAATCAATACATTGCTTCTAGCTAGTAGCTGGTAGGTATAAATTTTGTAATTAGCAGCTGTCGATAAAATGGAAATAAAATAATCCAGAATAGTTCTATGCACCCTTCTGACGAAGGTTTTGTTTAGATGCTCAATGCTTCTAATGTCAAATATCAGTTGATCTTCACTTATTTTTCAACTTTACTTTTATAAAAAACATTCGAGATAGAGTTGGTCTTAGCCTAAACATAAATTACTAAATTAAGATGTTCATTCAGGATCAAACACCTAACAAACGCAAATAATGAACTGCGACGGAAATTGGATGACCTTGGAAACCGTAGCCAAGGAAATGCCACAGCAGTTCTCCAAGCAACTTCTACATCTTCACCTCATTCGGAGTCGCCAAGTGCATTAGCGCCAATTGATCTTTTTAAGCAGTCACCTCCATCTTTACCATTCAAATTGGTACCCGAAACGACACAAAAAAGCCTTCTTAGGCTTTCGGTACCTGTATCCGTACCAGTACCGGTACAACCATGTGTTAAATCTATTAACGGCTTTTGCTTCTGTGTCAATTGTTTGATTACAAATACCGGTTTAACAAAAAATTTCCACAAAGATAAATAATTTACTTAGCTCATGATTTGAAAATAAATTATTACTGGAGATAGGAGATTAGAAATTCTAACTTGAAAACTAAAATAAAAAATTATCGTGGCTGTGATCGAATTTATGAATTTATGAACTTAGTTTTGGACATCATCCACTTATTGTCTTTTTGCAATTTCTTGTTACTTTAAAATATATGTAATAAGTAGTAGCTAAGACTATCTAAATTGATAATATATTAAAGATAGGCATCAATCATAACGTAATTTTGATGAATTATTATTTTCTCGTTCGTTGTTAGTGTTAAATTAGCTTGAAATTAAGAAATGATAATCCGGAATTAATCCGAAAATAGCAAACACATTGCGGAAATATGAGAAGCTGATGATGACCCCAATAAAGAGGTCTGGAAAATGAGGAAGTAATTCGCAATTTGCTCTTAGCAACCTACCAATTAACACATCTTCAATAGTGCATCTCTTGTATTCCCCAACCAACTGTTCTATAAAAAATTATCATATGAGATATTGTACATGCATAGTAGATAGTGGTAGGTTATCTAGAAATAGCTCATATGACAAATAAAGCCTTCAGTCCATGTTGCCAGACTTTTGGTTGAAATGAGCTGTTCAGACAACTAAGCTTCCAGAAATTAATTTTACCGCTCTTAATTATTTTACATGTATTCTCTTAGCCTTCTTCATCATTGCAAACAGACTGACTCATGAAGAACAATGAGGTTCATAAATCCTACTACTTATGATACAAGTGGTTGTGACAAATAAAGCGATAAAGGAGCAATTACTTGTTTGTTTCCTACTTTTTAAAAACCAATGTATATCATAATTTTCCATTAAAAAGGCAGCTATATGAATTTCTGAAGAAAGAGCAGTTTTTATAAGCTATTTGATGTCTATCACCAGCTACCAACAAGACATACATTTACCGCTCTAGTAATATGATCATGTAATTAAACGTCATCTCGAAATAAAATATTCTTTATATACCAGTAGATCAGATCAAATAGCTATGAAATTCTTCCAGTAACCTTCTTCCCTTCCACTTCTACATCCTTTTTCATAGGATATAATCGTAATATAGTAGTACAGTTCCTGACCTAATAACTTCATTACTTAATCTTCATCTCCTGAGCATTTTATCTACTTACTATCCACTAAAATTATTCAAAAAAAATTTTGTAAAAAGTACCGAATGCAGTGAAAAGTAAGTGTATTGGTATCTTCATTGTCAAGTGTCACAGCAATCAATCTTTTCATAACTGCCTGCTGAACGATTTACAGTTCCATGTTTAATAGTTACCCTTCATCGTTACCTCATTTGCATATTAAATGCTATGCGAAACTGTTTGGATCATTTTGTTCACTGCGCTAAATAATGACAATAAACAGGCACATATATATTTATCAACTTTTATAAAACATCAAAATTAAACTCACTAGAAGTGTAGATAGATACTAGGAAGAAATAAAGTGTGAAATAAAACTCTCTGAATGTTTGAGAAATGATCGAATCAGTGACTAATGACAACATTGCAAGAAGAGATATTATCAGCACCTAATGTAGGAAAACTACAGAAGTGAACAGAAAAAGTTGGAATAAAGGTCAAATATACTGTCTATTACCAATCGTAGAAGAGCGAACTGATCCATTTTTCTATTTTGCTTTTATTCAATTCCCAATTTGCTTCAATCAAGGGTATTTTCATTAATTTATTTCTTCTCTCAATGTTATTTAACTGAGAGTATCTTATCAGTCATTCAGCTGCAAAAAAACTGTTCATAATTAATAGAGTCATTTAATTGCTGTCTGTCTCTGTGTGTGGAAGCAACAAGTATACGAATGAATAAAAAGTGTGTAAATGCAATTATCAGATCATCAGCAGAACTATACTGATGCCGTTGCTATCTATCGCTGTTGTTGCTGTAAAGAGGATTATCGTCACTGGAGAGGTCCCTGCACCAATAACTGACCTGTGCAGTGGCCACTAATCGGTATTCCTTATCCACTTCACACACTGATGCCAGAAGGTAAGAAGCTTCTAGCTGGGTATTTCAAGAGAACAGTGAAGAAAGTAGCAGTGGACGGGCAGACAAGCAGGTGGTCTTCTAGAAGATCCTTGAAAAGAGCACCGCGGGGTGCCCACCCATACGAATGCTTGCACCAGAAGGGACAGATGATGCGGGGGTTAATGAGGAAGAGGGATTAAACAATTCCAAGCCAGTCCAACTTACTAAAGATATTTTTTGACCTTAAACAATAGCTTAGCTTACGCAACCTGAATTAACACCCTCCATATCTATCATCTGGTCTTCTCCGTTTCATTTGCTGACGCAAGAGAATTTGTAACACGTTATTGTTGTATTATATTATTCTATTTTCAATAGACACTTCTACAAATCTTTCAATAATTTACTAGTAGGAAAATATAGCAGTATTTTTTGGTATCTAATTTGCATATACTCCTTTTTTGAGAATATTTCTGTCCTTTGCAAATCTATTTTGACCATTGTAGATTTTGCTTTTAATTTTCACTTTTTGCGATACTAGTTGCCATAAGTGTTGTCGTTAGTGATATCGCTAATAGCAACTGGAAGATTGATAAGATAAGCGGGTATAGCAGAATTTAATCTACATGTCAGCAATGTTTTCAGCTATCGTTTTAAGCAGCATAGAGCTTCCAATAATCTTAAAATCAGTAACATAACGGATAATTCCCCTTCGATTTTATTTCATTGTTTTTAAAATGTCATCACTTCTACGAAAGTAAGTTAATACTTTGATACTATTTCTTTCTCGTTCATAATGTTTATGCATCAAACTGTCTGAACAGATGAATAATTTGCCCAAATCTACCCCAAGAAAAGTAAACTAAAATAAGACACTAGAATTTCCATGTCTTTGGGATCACGATTTTCGCATCAATCCTCCAAACGTGACGTATTGGATTGATATTGAAGTGAGTCTTCAATAAACGGACGTATGTATGGGACGTATTTGGGTGTGATGTCCGTGTTCTGGACCTATGAATTACATTACAGAATGTTTTGCAGAGTTCGCGGCTGACGAAACGTTTAACTTTTGTTATTTTGAAGTTTCATGATCTTGCAAAGGGTTTTAGGATAGAAAAACGTATTACTATGGGCGTTCCAGCATTTTTTCGATGGTTAACCCGAAAATATCCATCAGTGGTTGTAGATGCTGTAGAGGAGAAGCCACGTGACCTGAATGGAATTCGAGTTCCGGTTAACACTGTCGATCCAAACCCTAATTTCCAGGTACTTCAGCAGAATGTTCATTGCGTGATCCAATGTATAGATCTTTTCAGACACAGGGCCTATCTGATTCCAAAAATAAGGATAATATAGCAGTAAAATTTATTTCAGGAATTTGATAACTTGTATCTGGACATGAATGGTATTATTCATCCATGCACCCATCCAGAAGATCGACCCTGCCCCAAGACGGAAGAGGAAATGTTTGTTAGTGCTTTAGATGAAATAATTTTTCTATATTAATCGAAAAGCAATTTAACATTTTATCTGCTTACCTCTATCTCATCATTAATAATGTACTAATTTTCTGCATTTTTTTTTGTTTTCACTTCATTTATTAGATACATCCAATTCTATTTACATTCTCCTTGATTATATATAACCCCTTTCAGACGCTAATTTTCGAGTATATAGATAGATTGTTTGCAATCGTTCGTCCTCGCAAACTTCTGTATATGGCAGTTGATGGTGTGGCCCCAAGAGCGAAGGTTATTGTTTCAGGATGCAAATGACATTTTGCATTTGTATGGGAATATTAATTTATATAAATCTTTTGAATACAGCTGTGCATTATCATTGTTTATTCCATATTCTGTTGGATCAGAAAAAACTAATGCTGTCAAACGTCTTTTCACAAGTTAGCAAAGGTACGGTTCAGATGAACCAACAACGCAGTCGACGTTTTCGTGCCTCGAAAGAGGCTATCGAGAAAGTTGAACAAATTGCTGAAACAAGATTACGACTAGAAAGTGAAGGTTATCCACTACCTCCTGAAAAAAAAACCGAGCATTTCGACAGCAACTGTATAACACCGGGCACACCGTTTATGGCACGGTAAGCTTACTTAGAGTTTGTAACTATTCTTTAAATTTTATTCAAGCGGTTTATTTTTATTCTGCAGGCTAGCTGTTGCTCTTCGTTATTATGTCCATCAGCGATTGAATAGCGACCCAGGCTGGAGAAAAATTGCGGTAAAGTTTGTTATGTCTTTTTTTTTTTTTATGAAGTTGGTAATTTGAATTTATTGTGGGATTGAGAATTGGTAGGGTCTTCAAAAAACTTTGAAGATAAAAGAGGTGGTTTCTGTTTTTGTGTTTTTCAGCAGATTAAATGATCAAGTTTAAGGTTATTCTATCAGATGCAAATGTACCGGGTGAAGGTGAGCACAAAATTATGGATTTTATACGACGACAAAGAGCATCTCCATCTCATGATCCTAATACCGTACATTGTTTGTGTGGAGCAGATGCGGACTTGATTATGTTGGGATTGGCTACTCATGAGCCTAATTTCAACATTATAAGAGAGGAATTTGTGCCGAATCAGCAGAGACCATGTGACCTTTGTGGACAGTACGGTCATGATTTAAATGACTGCAAAGGGTTGCCTTTTCTGCTTTGTATTTATGTGGAGAAAAGACACTTTAGTAGGAGATTTAAATCAGAATAAACTATCTCGTCAGTTTTACTTTTGTTTAGATTCCTGTTGAAATCTTGATATTAAAATTTAATGTTCCAGATTAGCAAGTGACGATAATTCAGAGTGTCAATCAACTCCATTGCAAAAAGAAACAAATTTCATATTCATTCGTTTGCCTGTGCTTCGTGAATATCTCGAACGTGAACTTCACATACCTAATTGCTCCATTCCTTTCGATCTTGAACGAGCGATCGATGACTGGGTCAGTAATTTGAACATTTTGTAAGATATAAAAAATACACTGTG